TTGTATATTAGGTTGTGCTTGATTGTGTTATAATGGTTTGAAGTCAGGCTGTTCCTTCTTGTGTTTTGTTAATTCAACAATTTCTGTTAGTTTGGTTTTGTCAGTTGTGTTTTCTTGGTTTATCATTGTGTTGTGCCCGATTGTGCTGTGTTAGTTTGCACGTCGGTTGTGTTTTGGTTGTTCTTTGTCCGGTTGTGCCTGCTTGTGCTATGTTAGTTTGGTATTGGGCTGTGCCACATTGTGTTGTGTTAATTTGACGATGAGTTGTGTTATGTGATGTTGTTATTGTATTGTGCTGGTCGGGAAGCAGGTTGTACACAATGTGATGGGGTATCGGATGGTGCCAGATTGTGTTGTGAGATTGATGTTGTCTCCGGTTGGAGAAAGTTGGTAGGGTATAACTTAGTCCAGCCGTGAAGCTCAGCGGTAGCGCATGTACCTCTTACGCAATAGGTCCCGGATTCGATCCCCGGTTCAGGCAAGACTAAATTTGCTCATTTGCGTGAAGTACTTCAGGGTGTTTGACTGAGTGGTCCGCAACTCGTACAAAAGGCTGTGGTGTGTACTTGTATGTCTATGTATAAGTGCACATAAAAGAACACAGGGCTCCTTCAAGGAGGGGTTTCTGGGTCTATCTTCCAGGTTAATTACGTAAATTACGACCGTATATAAGGGATATACCCAAGAGGTATTGCTTACCTTCATTGGTGGTAAACAAAAATACAATACAATACAATACAATACATTAGTGGTTGTTTGTATGGTTCGATTGTTCGGTTGTTCTTAATCGTGTGAGGTGTCGCATTGTGCCCGACCGGGTTGTGTGATAGATGTTGTCTTTGGTTGGAGAAAGTTTGGTTGGGTTCAATATATTGGTATAACAGTTTGGTCGTGTTTAATGGTTGAGCTTGGTGTTGGGTTATGCACAGCTGTGTTATGTCAATCCAACAATGGATCGGCCGTATGTCTGGTTTAATTTTGTTGATTGTGATGGTTTATTTTTGGGTTTTGCCTGATTGTATTGTGTTACTTCGACACTCGGTTGTGTTTCGGTGGTTGTTTGTCTTTTTGTACCTTGATTTGTTGTGTTATGTTATGTTATATTTATTTATTCAAATACTGGGTGCCACCTATTAAAATAGCCAGACCTATCTGGGTTTATGAGACAGATTTAACAACTAACATGATTTCAATTGACATTACAATATACAATAATTGTTACAATTTACTTTAACATGCATGATTATTAATTTCAATTTTTGGATCACACTGAATGATCGAGGCACAAATGATACCTACCTAGTACTACATAGAAGTACAGTAAAACCTGTCTAATCCGAACGTCATTGGGACCGGATAAACGCGTTCAGATTAGGAGGTGTTCACATTTCGAGGTTTTTGCATCCGAAATAATCCGGATTCTGAAGAAATGTGAACACATTCTCGGTAAATATTTATAGTTCTTTTGACCACATAGCTTTATGGCATTCCAGAAATTTGAAAATTTGATTCAAATGAATCTAATCATGCTGGAAAGCCCCCTTATGAATGAGACCATTCAAGATTATTTGAAAGTTTTTGAGCAATTTTGTATAAAACATCAGAAATTTTATGAAAAGTGTTCAGATTAGACAGGTGAATTTTTCAAATATGACTGTTCACTGTTCAAATTGGGAGGTGTTCACATTTCAAGGTTTTTTAACATTGGAGTCAATGGGAGGAAAAAATGGGACCGAAAAAAAGTGTTCAGATTGGTAGGTGTTCGGATTAGCCAGGTGTTCAGATACAGGTTCTACTGTATATACGTTTTGACTTAACATACAATGGTGATGTCTGGATTGATTGTTCTGCTGTGCAATCAGTTTTTAAAATATGTGTTTCTATTCTGTTTATTCTCTATCCCTGGTCTTGTATAGGAGAGTCGCCTGTATGTTTATATACCTTAGATATCATATAAAGATGTTGAGACTGATATAAGTGTTTGAATATTCAGGGTGTCACAAAATATGTGTTCAAAATAAATAGGTATAATGCTACTTGTGTTTCCCTTTATTATTCAATTGTGTTCAGGTGATCAAATTTTGGAGAATATTTTCCATCACATACAGAGTTATTCCATGTTTGTCTCGATACAATTCTTGGGGTCACCCTGTAAAATAATAATGTTTTCGCTTGTTTTGTCTTCATTTCCCTCTTTTGTATCGTGCATCTTCAAACCCAGACAATTCCAGATAATTTCATCAATTTCATAATTTCAAGTTGACAGATGAGTGGAAACCTATTATAGTTTCATATAAGGAATATTAAAGGTTGTATATAACTATCAAAGTGTTTTTGACATCTTTTCAAAACCCTAATTTAGCATGTTGCCGTGTATGTTTAATACTTTTCATTACTTTTAGAGTGGATATTCATTTTTATTATAAGACCCCTACTTTTAGCAATTTTCAGGACGTTTCGTCCAGTGTGTGCGCCAAAGTTTAAAACTGCGCAGGCGCACCGCTCTCGCTAAACTATATAAAGAGATTACCGGGTACACGATTCAGAGGTAAGCCAGGAAGGCGAACGATCTTCGTCTCATGATGATTTCCCATATAATCGTAACCAGGGAAGTTTCACCATTGAAATTGAAAATTACTATTAGATATACTTTGTAGATGTTAATTATGAAGCTATTTAGTGTTTGCATCAATCAAATGGCTCATTTTGAACATATAAAAAGTATTTGTGTTTTGTTTCCCAGGGAATTGTATTGTGTACACACATAAATAGTGTACATTATACAGTACTTGAATAGCCTGGTTTACATAATATTGAAGGGCATGCTGATTACATGCACACGAGTACATGAATGAAGGCCTAATATTGATATACGTAGCTTGCATACCTAAATAAAAAATAAACTCTTCTAATCCCCTAATGTAAACACGGCGGTATACGTAGCCCGATTTATCGGAGACTTTAAAACAAATACAATAACATTGCCGTTTTTGGGCTTATTACTTGAAAGCATAGTGTATTTTTATTATCATATATCAATATTAATATGACGAATCGAGGGTGCATTTATTAGATTTAGTTAATGAAAGGGAATCAAATTGATGATTAGCCTCACAAAGCCTTGGTCGTTTTTAACGTTTTCTAAGGCCTACATAGTTATATACATCCTTTAAGCTAGGTGCTTATGTAGGTCAAGATGTCAAACTTTGCAATCCCTTGCAAAAAAGTGTTCTTGCAAAAATAAGTTATTTTATTTCATGATGCACAGCAACAAGCCTGCACTACTGGTAAAGAAGGACGATGTCAACGCGGTACCCTGACAGTCGTCCCAGGGTATCTCGAAAAAAGTGTTCTTGCAAAAATAAGTTATTTTATTTCATGATGCACAGCAACTAGCCTGCACTACTGGTAAAGAAGGACGATGTCAACGCGGTACCCTGACAGTCGTCCCAGGGTATCTCGATATAAAGGGACTTCCTTGGTTAACCAGGAAGGTTCCTTTCAATTTTAAAATGAGTTGTAAACCATAGATCTATTTTTAAATGTTAGGCCCAAGGTTTTAAATTATATATTCAAATTCTATCACTGTTAAATTATATATCTGCTTTATATGGGCCTTTTGAAGATTATTGACAGATTATTGACATAGACAAGATCGTTTGAATCCTGTGAAAAGAATTTAAGCACATGCGTCAATGACTTGTGAATAATATAAGTAGAGGTCGCAACAGTACTGAACACCAGTACCGGTAACCGTCACGCTAATAACAATACCGTTACCGAAATACCGGTAAAAATATGTAAGATAAAATGCCAATGCGCTGCCACCCCCACTTTGTTTCTAACTCTCTCCGTAGCTTCTCAAGTCTATATGCATACATGGTGCAAGACCGATCTGAACCCATACTAATGAACTTCACGAAATAGTATGTAACTATCTTAGGAATCAAGATGTATTTTTAGTTTCAAATTAAATGTATTACACATTTCAAACCATTTCTCAACTGTATCAATAGCAAGCGACGTGCATTATAGGCCTACATGGGGATGGGGTAGGTAAAATAGATTTTATTGACTGTCTTGAGTTCTGGAAAGTAAACGGAGGAAAATATCCTGATGTGGTGAGTTTGGCTGAAACATATCAAGCTATTTCCGCGTCATCCGTGTCAAGTGAACGCCAGTTCAGTGCAGCTGGCAACACTGGGCACGCAACTGGGCACGACTTCAACCTGAGGTTGTCAATGCCTTGTTGTTCGTAAATGACTATTACAAACATAATTCAGTTTCTGGATCTGACGTTGACACTACAACTACACCGGAACTGCCAAACATAATTGCAACCAAATCTGGGCCTGAGCATGAAACTACTACACCCGAACTGCCAAACATGGACATCACACCTGAACTGCCAAACATGGAAATCACATCTGAACTGCCAAACATGGACATCTAAATGTCTATGTAAATGTACGCATCGTGAAAGTGGAATTAAACGAAATAATTAAAAACCGACGTGTCTTTTATATCCCCGGGGATTATCGTCGGTTAACCGGTTAATAATTTCAATACCGGTAAATGCTCAATTCCGTACCGAAACCGTATAACCGGAATTACCGTCGGCCTCTAAATATAAGCACCCATGTCTTGCATCCTAGATGCAAGGCAAATGCGGTTTAAATCAGCTACAATTCATTGAGTTGATATACGTCCATGCTTGAATACACGATGGAATATTGAATGCCCGGATCGTGATGTCACTGTTTTGAAGAACGATTCTATAGCACCCCCCTCCCTCATAAAATAGACCCCTGAAGAACACTTCATAAATTAGGAAATTAATTAACCCATATCAATAGTTCTTATTTCAAAATATTTGATTAATTCTAATAATTAATAAATATTAGCACGCTATTCAATATCAGTTAATTTGAGAAATCGGTGTTTACTTTCATGACCTCGCGGAAAAATGTTACCGATCGTAATTTCACTGGAACATAGTCACGTGACTATTGTCTTCCTGTATGAAAACAAAACAAAATATCTAAAAATTTATTTTACTCTCAGATTCTATTTTACTATCCTTAGGATGCCTGTTCATGCTGGCCTGGCAGTAGGATGGATTCTTTTTGGTGTCATATCAGCGGTAAGCTTGTTGACATTTCATCCATTTCAGAGTTTTCAAAGGAACTTTTGCATTTATTTTCAATTATTTTTTTGACTGAGATTTTGAAAAGTAGGTCCTAAACCACAGAATATTCTAGGCTAGCTACTCAAATATTCTGAAGAATTACCAACCCTTAATCAATAGTCTAGGTACACCATCCAAGCAGGTATCCAGAATCCGTACTTCCTTCTTCCCCCTGCTATAACCAATTTGGAAGCGCCCGATTAAACTGAATCACGTGATCTTATTATGCGCAATTACTTATACATGATTTCTGTCGCAGTGTTGCGACAGCCAGTCAGATTGCCAGTTCTTAATCGGGGAAAGGCTAACTGCTTATCGCAGGGGGTAAAAAGAAAGAATATATTCTGGATTTTGAAGCCCTGTGATCGGAGGATGAGGTACACTAATGCATCTTTTGCGCAAGAATGAAAGATGTAGATGATGTGTGGAATGAGTTATGTTTATCTGAAAATAACAGTAAAGTGGGGGACAAAAATAAATCTCAACCCTCAAAAGTTGTCACAATGAGCTAAATTCTAAGTTTTGTGTCTCAAACTCTCCCAAGCGGTAGAAAAATAATTCCCATTCACTTTAAGTAATAAATGAATCTAAAGCTTCATACCTGCAAATGATGGATAAATCCCTTCCAAATCGAATGAATGTTTTCATGAATCGCCATGTTTGTGATCCAAGGATTGACTCCCAGAATGCAACATCAGGTAACCTTATTTACTCGTGACAGATTTCAAAATGTCGGAACAGCATTTGAAAGCTGACACTTGTCATGTTGCATTCTCGGAGCCAATCCACATTGTGGCGTAATCGGGCTCCAAAATCACCTCAACATTTGAAGAGTCGGCATTAACATGTGAATTCCACTTCAAATTTTTAAGTTCTTATTTGTCATTATGGACACGGATTCCACTATATCTGGACTTACTAGGACGGAGAAAATAGAGCACTGAAAAAACAGAAGTAAGAATTTATTACATGTGCGAGAGCATGTAATTTCCATAGCTTTTGTAATTCTTTATGTCCCCCACTGCACATGGTCATGAAATTTCATTAAAGTGCACCCTGACCTTAGGGTGCCGTGGTAAATTTTCAGAAAAATTCAAAAGATTCTGTTCAGTGAACCTTCTTAAGCTCCTACTTTTAGCTATTTTCCAGTCACCTTTTCAGAGAGTTGAAAAAGTTATTTCATCATGTTTAGGGTCATTCTGACCATGTACATTGTGATCCTACAGTGTAGTCCTGTAAATGATATGTCGAACTATTTGAATTGACTGGATGTCGAAACAGAACTCTGTTATCTTTGTTTAAAAAATGTCTAAAAATGCCACATTTTTTGTCACTTCCCTGTTCCTGTTTTGTCATTTCCTGTTAAGTACCACGGCACCGGTACCACGGCACAATAATTTTTAGAGAGTGTCGGCGGTCGCTCAAATTATTTCAATAAAGACATCAGTCACGCCACCTTGTCTTTGAAATTGTACATAACATCAGATTTACATCTACTTATCACTGTGACTGTAATAGCCCTATCTATTGATATGTCTCTGATATTACTCGAGTCTCTAGCCAATTCTTGGCTCGAATTAATTCCATCTGGAACACCGTGAACTATTGTAAAGTTTCTAGTCGGGGTTCAATAAATTTAAGTAATAATTTAAAAATGTCGTGTTAATATTTCATGAATTGAAATGGAACTGGCTGGGCTCCTTGATGAGATATTGCATGGTTTCGTCAGGATTTCATTTAAAATTAAAAGAAACGGCTCTAAAACAAATGGTGATATTCGAAAACTGGACAAGTGTTTTGGTGTATATCCAAATACTTAATACAGAAAATTGCTTCCAACCATTCCTGGCAAATGATTAGCAAAGAAGTGGAACACAATGTTTTCCATTGAAAAGTGGGCATCACCCACAATGTTATCCAATGAGACGGAAAGAATGACAAATGGACCAGTTTAAACGTTATCACATTTTGTTGAAAAGAAATCAACTACCAACCATTTGTAACCCCGTGTTAAAGGGCCATTGTGATCTGAGAACATTCTTGAAAAATGAAATGCCCTACAGGTGGTGCCTAGTGAATGATTTGATTTCCTCACTGAAATTTTATATTCAAATAAGTGATCCTTCCTCTTAGTTATGCTATTGAAATCCTTTATTTTCTACTTTGGGTTTAGGGTCAATGGGATACAAATAACATTAGAGCCTGATAACTGATAACATTCTAGAGCCTCATCCAAAAATGAGAAATGTCAATGGGCCATGTAAAGTGCACTGGTTATACATACTAGTAATTGCTAGTTTGTTATTCCCAAAAGGAAATATGGTCGAGCAAAGCCATTATATCTTTGTTTGGATATATGTTTCTGACTGGATATATGTTTCTATTTAATTAGAAACAAAGATTGTTCAGGTCAATAAATAATCCTTTAATGCTTGAAATATTTATTTTCAGTTAACATTGGTATTTTCATTTCTGTATATCCGCTATTACCAACACAAGTATGACAAGGAACTGAGCAGTACAGTGACATCTATTTTAGCACTGTCGATATGTCTTGTGACGTCAGCTTTGGGTCCAGTTGACATATTCCTCGTTTCATATATGAAATACAGCAATGGCACATTTAAGGTAAGTCCGACATTTTGTAGACCATTAGATTTCAATGGCAGTTCTAGGGGAACTAGGGGCCTGGGTTTACGCTTAAAGTAGGCCAAAGTGATTTCTATCCGACTAATAAAAATATGACTTATCTGTGTATAATGATATCATTTCAGATTTGGTAAAATGGGTCGTATTTCAAAAAGTGTCCTCGAGAGTGGGAATAGGTTCTAATATGTTTCTTTGTCTTTTTCCTAGTGATATATGTATAAAGTAAATGTGTATGTACTGTTCATGTATTCTGGTTTGAAATCATGTTTTCATACAATTATAACTAAATAAAGGTCATACCCCCAAACTGCTAAGGGGCTACTTCATGTATTGATTTCATAATCAATTCAATATACAAATCTCATTTTTCAGGAATGGGCTAACATAACAGAAGAAAGAAAGTCCATTGAAGATACAGTTTTGTATGCATATTATGGTAAGGTTCGATCCTCCATGGAACTTTGACATATTGGGTTATTTCGTCATCAGGTTATTTTGACCATGGAGCTATTTCAACCTTTGGCTTATATTTTCAATTCATGCAGTCCATCCATCACAACCATTCTTGTTATTTGTTTATTGATAAATAAATCGAAGTCAAGATCTCAATCCACGATGGCCGATCTCCAGAAATGCAGGCCTGTCAACTGTCCCGCAATTTGCGTATTTGTCACGCATTTGCTGAAGAATTTGAAGTCACGCCAGTTTTTTTTGCGTGACACAAAATGTCACGCAAATACGCATTTTACCTGGTAATTGTCACGCAAATATGTTTCTGTAAAAAATTTTTCAAAATATGTTTATGATACGGTAAAAATACGAACGTCGGAAAAAAACGAACGCAATTTGTTTGGATTTGTCACGCGAATCCCGTATATGTCACGCATGTCCATTGGAAATTTTCGTACCTACCCCCCCCCCCCCCCCCCCCCCCCCCCCCCCCGTTGACGACATCGCGAGTGTAGCGAGCGCGAAAAATTTGAGGTTATAAAAGTTTAGCAAAGGTGCTCAAACTTTGGCCAAAGGTGTTTAAAAGTTGGCCAAAGGTGTTCAAAATTTGGACAAAAGTGTTCAGATTTGGACTTCGGTGTCCAACATTTGTAAGTCACTCATATTAGGTGGTCCCAAGTTGACAGCCCTGAGAAATGTGAATAAGAATTATTGACCATGGTTGAATTACCAAATAGTCAAAGTAGCCCCAGAACGAAGTTACCCTGTATATCGTGTTCCTAATAACTTATTTTATTGTGTAAAGATTTGTATCTCATATAGTTATTTGAGTTTACAATCATTGTAGTGGTGAAAATCATCAAAAAGAACATTATTGAAACAATACATTGAAGACGTACATATCATGACATCATATGTAACTATATACACCCGCATGGGTGTCAGTTGCCTGTACATTGAAAATCGATATAATTGACAAATAAACAACTATGCAAACTGTAAAAGATGATGAAGTATAAGTCTTATTTATTTGATCATCAAAAATTTTGAGATCAGCAAGAAGATGAGGTCAGATTTATGAAGCTCAATGTCACATGAAAGTTGAAATACTTGAATTATTGCTCTTTATACTTTTCTTCTAGCGTACCATATGCATGCATTTTGTGATTTTCTGAGAATCCCCATAGCTTGTTCAATGTTTTCATTTATTTTATATTTAACTTTGAATATGACTGCTTTCACACCTTCTATAAACTGTGAACAAAGTCAATATTTCACCCAGTATTTATTTGTCAATACAATACCTGGTCTGTAAGTGTTTCGTTCAGTGGTAAATGCTGAACTGGAAGTAGGACGTAAATTATGATTTTGCAAAATTTTGATGTTTTCATGTTCAAATCAAAATATAGACCTCAGATCAGGTATTATATCGAGTAATAAATACCTTAGGGCTAGGCAAAAAATATTTCTTTCGTATAATTGATTATAAATTGCCTCTTATATACCTCCTAATAATACAATCACTCCATTGACGTGTAATTTGTAAGTCTCAAATGTAGATTTCTGGCAGCCATTTCATCAGTTCCTGCTGCACTGATTCTTTTTGCACCTGAGTATTATTTGTTTTCAGCATTGTATATTTGTGTCATGGTGTTTGTCTTCCTATTCCTTCCACTTGTGTATTTCTTCTATGAAGAGAAAGATGATGACGTTCAGGTATCCACAAAACAGGTGAGTCATTTTGAGTCAGTAAAACCTGCACCTCTCTAATCTGAACCCCTCTCATTGTGAACGTTTTTGTTGGGCCCATTTTTAATCTGACATAAACCTCCATGTTAAAAAAAACTCAAAATGCTAACCTGCTAAACTGAACACTAATCAGTGGTCTCAGTGGTCTTCGGATTAGGTTTTACTGTACAATATGATGTTCTTGTCAGGGCTTTAGAGATGCTGTGTGAGGGAAATCTTATTTGACAAAATATTTGAATTCTAACAACAGAACAATAAATTTAATACAATATAAATTGGTGAATTTATACCAATCTATTGCATTGGGTAACGTAGTCCAAACAGACCAGGAGCTGGATGGATGCAAGATATTTTTTCACTGTTTTTGAAGATGCAAACTTGTTGTCTATATAATAAGCTAGATGCTAGTGATAATATTCTTTATCCCATGCCAAGTAGAGTTTTAGGGAAATAAGTTGGTAAGATATATCCCGTATCTTGATTTTGAGGTTTCCATATCCAGAACCTCCATATCTCCCGCCATATCTCCCGCTTCAGTGCATATCTTCCCGCTTCCGGTAATTTCACTTCACAATTATTTTTTCAAAATTTCTTTTTCAATTTAAAAAAAAGAAATTTTCACGTTTTTAAATTTTTTTCAAAATTTCTTTTTTTTTCAAATTTTTGGATACATTTATCCTTTTGTTATATTGTTAATCAACACTTTTGTATTTTAAAAAGTTATCAATGTATTTAAAATTTAAAAGTGGAAATGCAATAAAATGACTATGCCCCTGAAAACTCTACTTGGTATAGGATAAAGCAGTTATGTACGGTCGGTTTGGATATTGGGTTCATCCCTCGTGAGATATGCACATCTACCTTCGGTCCCTACGGTCCCTCAAGTAGATATGCATATCTCCCTCTGGATAAACCCCATATCCAAAACCTCCCAGTACATAACCCTTATTTATCTTCATCATTTGATATTACTGTAGTTGAAATTATTTGAAATCTACAAACAAATCCACTTCTAGAAATGTATTTTTAAATGACCCAAATTAGCCACCATCACAGTGGTGGAACTGGTAACTATGTCCTGTTTACTATGTAATTGTCACAACCTTGTCTTCCAGAGATGCTGTACTGCAATGAAATATACCGCAGGATTTCTTTTCATGGCTACAATACTTCTTGTCGTAGGGTGAGTATTGACCATCTGACCACATAACACTGGACGAGAATACACATTGCCTTCCATGCCCTTCCCCATGCACTCACACTTCTCAAACATTTACTGTATAAGTGGTAATTTTGTCTTATCATTTAATTTGCCTATTGCCTAATTTTTGTCAGGTTTGAAAAATTAAATGTCATAAATATTATCTTCATAAACATAATGTTATCCAATGGGAAGTTTCTTGTCATTAGGAAAATTAGAATTCGGAAAATTATAAAATTTGAGCAAATTTGGCAAATTAACCACTCTGATTAAATACCAACACAGTATGTGATGAGGAGTAGATAAAAGATACATGTAGGGGAGGAGGACCAAAAACTACATGTAAAGCAACAGGACACTTGTAACAACAATAGTACATAGTGTTCTGTTTAATATTGATGCCCATATATTCATGTATTTTTCACTTGAGCTGTACCACGGCGCGGTAGCCAAACTGCTTGCCTAGTATGCAAGCAGTTTGAAAGACTGACAAACTGCGCGCCTATCAACATTGCATCATAAAAGTTGGAGTCTGTGTTTTCCAACGTCATTTTAAGACATTTATTCTGAATTGTTTTATAGTTCCAAACGTCCATTCGGTGGCGATTATATGATTCTACCATGTGATAGCGAAATGTATGTCCAGATGGACGTAGGTTTAAAAAATATAAGAAGATTAATACAAAAAATTGACATCGATTTTTCGATCACCGATACATAAGTTGATATCGCACGTTTCACAGAAATAGAAAACACTTGGGTTTTGATTCACAGGTAAATCTCAACCCAGTTCTCCCATACAATACAAAATATTTCGTATTAAAACAGACATGACAGAAAGAAGTAATAAAACACAAACTGCGCGCCTATTTTAGCTAGAAATCACAAACTGCGTGCATACTCTTCCAAACTGCGTGCATATCAAGTTATTGATGACTTCTCAGTAATGCAGGCCTATGTGATTTCATGGGAGTACGTAAGTAAGTTGAAAAGGTAGAGATTGAAAAGGTTCAAATAAATCAAAAACTAAAATTGGGTTGATGGTTGACAACCAGTGGAAATGTACATATTTATATTTTATTTTGTTCTTGTCTATATGATTTTTATAAAAGTATGATGCAATGATTCGACTTCATCATATAGAGTTGAGTTCAAAAATCGCATGTTTTTTCTATTGGGGTCCTACTAAAAGACACCCAGGTGGCCCCCGCCTAGTCCCCATTGAAGTGCCGAACTTGCCTTACTACTTTATTTCAAACTAACACTATTTGATGCATGGTGCAACATAAATACAATACGTTCATAAAAATTGTGTAAATATATATTGAATCCTTTTTTATTTATATTTTTGATTGATCCAGTCCAAAAAGCCATTTCTTAGAATTCAATGAAATCCTCATTATAAAATGCTATAAAAATTCACAGTTTTAGCAACATGAGTAAGAAAAAGATATTTACAACAATCTCACTCTTTCGACTTGAAACTTTGTTTATTACCCATGTTAACATAAATAATTGACCATGCATGCATGACGAGCAAAAATGTTTTTATGTTTTTTCAAATGAGTCACTGGTTCCTTTAAATAATCGCCCCTTTGGTTTATTGATTGGTTTCCTTTTCTTCATGGGTGCGTTTGAAAATAACATCTTGTTTAATTCTGAAGGGGGTGTCATGGTTTTTGAAGATGCGCTGTTGATATCTACATCTTTGCTAGGGTCAGACTTTGGTTTCTTTTTATATAGGGACAGGTTTAGTGGCGTTTACGTTTTCTGAAAATACACAACAAACTTGCACACAGCTTGCAAATTAGGCGCGCAGTTTGTAAATATTAGGTACGCAGTTTGTGAAATCCACTTGAAAGTATGCACGCAGTTTGACAGCGAAAAAAATAAAATCACGTTAATGGCTTGTCACTGTTTAACACACAAACTATATTACTTAAACCATGTGCATCAATCCTATATCTTTCAGAATGTGCAAACACAAGGGCTGAATAAACGTCAAACTACGAACAACAGACATTATATGACGCAACACTGTATAATTTGAACACGAAAGCTCCTTGGGAACCTTATTTTGAGATAACTAGATATGCATCCACTGGCGGATTAGGGGGGGGGGCCCAGGGGCCCGGGCCCCCCCCCCTTGGGTGGGCCCAGAAAAAAAAAATTGGGCCCAAAAAATATTTTGGGCCAAACAAGGCCTTCAGGCCCCAAAAAGTGGGCCTTTTTGGTCATTACTGGGCCTTTTAAGGCCTTATTTGTTAATTTCAGGCCAAATTTTGAAGAAAATGGGCCTCAAAATTTCAAAATTTGGGCCCACTTTTGGATTTTAGGGGCCCAAAATTTTTTCCGCGCAAGCGCGGACGTTTTTTCTCTGACCTGAAATTTGGGCCCCCCCCCTTGTTGGTTCCTGGATCCGCCCCTGGCATCGGGAAAAAATTCGAGTGCTACGTATAAAGTAAATTAGTCTCCACATCTTGGTAATGTTTGAAAGCCAAAATTAACCTTGTATTTCCAGTAATTTCCATCCTCTTGGGAGTCGTGTCCTCCCTGTCTGCCATTTTGTGAATAGGCGCGCAGTTTGTCAGTGTTCCAAACTGCGTGCATAGTAGGCGCGCAGTTTGCCTACCGCTCCGTGTGTACTAAGGAATGAATAAATAAACTGAAAAACAGCCTGAGTAGCATGTATTTTTCATTATTCCCCTAGCTTGTTTGGGGTCAGCATTTCATGATTACAACATGTTTCAACAATGAAAATGAGGGGGAAACCTTTTAGTTGTAAATCAGGTGACTTAGACAAAAAATTGTCCTTGTGAATGAACAGTATTTTCTCTATTTCACCAAACTGATCCTCTGTCCATTCAAATGTCCTCAAGGGTTATGTTATCTGCCATATCCACTCAGATATCACTTCAAGTACATGTAAGGGCAGTTGCAATTAATAGAGATTATCCTATATGAGGTTCAGGATATTGGGATTATCCCGAGGCAAATATAATATATTTGCCCGAGGGCCGCAGGTCCCGAGGGAAAATATGTTATATTGGCCAAGGGATAATCCCAATATCCTGAACCAGGCCTGTCAACTGTCCCACAATTTGCGTATTTGTCACGCATTTGCTGAAGAATTTGAAGTCACGCCAGTTTTTTTTGCGTGACAGAAAATGTCACGCAAAATACGCATTTTACCTGGCAATTGTCAAGCAAAAATATTTCTGTAGAAATGATAACTTCTTATACCAACATGTAGCTGAACCAACTAGAGGGGACAACATTCTAGACCTGGTGATTTCTAATGAAGAAGACATGGTCACAAATTTAGAAGTAACAGCTGGACTGGGTAAAAGTGACCACCAAGTACTGAAGTTTGAATTCCACTTCAAAGCAGAATATATAAAACAAGTCCGAATCATCCACCTTCTAGACAAAGCTGACTATGGAAAGATGAAAGAAGAGCTCACTTTAGATTGGGACAGGGAATTCAAGGATAAAGAAGTCACCGACTGCTGGAATATATTTAGAACCAAAATGGAAGACAGCTACAGTAAGAATGTCCCTCAAATAAAAGCCAAAAAACAAGCGAAAGCATGGATGGATAAAAAATGCATGGCCCAGATAAAAAGAAAACACAGTGCATGGAGAAGATACCAAACCACAAAGAAAGGTGAAGAATATTTACAGTATATAAAAGAGAGAAATCAAGCCAAAAAAGAAGTCTCTAGAGCAGTTAAAGAATTTGAATGTAATATAGCCAAGCTGGCGAAATCTCAGCCTAGAAAGTTTTGGGGCTACAGTAATAGTAAAACGAAAACACGGAGCGGAATTCCCCAACTTCTAAGAGAGGATGGATCTAGGACAGAGAATGACCTTGATAAAGCAGAAGAGCTCAACAAATTTTTCTCTAGTGTTTTCACTAACGAGAATAAAGAGAATATACCAGCTGGGCACTATATCAGACTGAATAACTACATACAGGACTGGACATTCACGGAGGAGGATATAATGAAGAAACTGGAATTACTGAAAGTAAGCAAATCACCTGGACCAGACAATATCAAGCCCCGTATACTCAAGGAATTGAAAGAAGTAATATGCAGACCCCTCTACCTGATATTTAGAAAATCTATAGATACCGCAACATTACCACAAGATTGGAAACAAGCCAACATTTCACCAATCCACAAGAAAGGCAAGAAATGTCAACCTAATAACTACAGGCCCGTAAGCCTCACATCTGTAGTGTGTAAGATCCTGGAATCTATAATAAGAGAAAGAATACTATCTCATCTTTCACAGAACAACCTCCTGTCGCAGTGTCAACATGGATTCCTGCCTTGTCGATCCTGTGTAACAAACCTACTCGTGACACTAGATAAGTGGACTGAAGTACTAGACAGTGGAAGCAACATTGACGCAGTCTATCTTGACTTCAAAAAAGCCTTCGACAAAGTTCCGCATGAACGATTAATTAGAAAAATACAGAACTTAGGAATTGTAGGTACAGCCCACCAGTGGCTGAAAGCTTTCCTCGGTGCGGAATCCGGAAACGAATTTGACGGCCCAGAGAACAGTGATTCAGCAGGAAACCGCAACAACAGTAACCAATACCAACGCAGAAAGCAGAGAGTAACCATTAACGGTGAATCGTCATCATGGACCGATGTAACGTCAGGCATACCCCAGGGGACTGTCCTCGGACCCGTTATGTTCCTGATATTTGTAAACGATGTACCACAGGCAGTAAACAGCCCTCTGATTATGTTTGCTGATGATACGAAACTCTATAGAGAAGTAAATAACCTAGATGACTGTAACGAATTACAACAAGATATAAGATCCCTTATGAACTGGACCCAAGAATGGCAATTACAGTTCAATAGTGAAAAATGCAAGGTATTAAGAATAGGAAAATCCCCCCCAGAATATAACTATAGCATGGGCAACACAGCACTTCAAGAAACAGAAGGTGAGAAGGACCTGGGAGTAATGGTTACCAAGAATTTGAAAAGTAGTACACATGTACAAACGGTAGTTAAAAAAGCTAACCAAATTCTGGGATTAATAAGAAGGACCTTCCAATTTCTAGATTCCTCCAATATGTTGCTTCTTTACAAGGCAATGGTACGACCCCATCTTGAATATGCCAATACAGTTTGGTCTCCATATTTAATCCAGGACATTGAAGCGGTTGAAGCTGTACAAAGAAGAGCCACAAGATGTATACCAAGCCTAAAAGACAAGGACTATCCCCAAAGACTGAAAGAGTTAAAGTTACCAACACTTGTGTTCAGACGTCTCAGAGGCGATATGATTGAAACATGGAAAATTTTGAATGAAAAGTACGACATACCAATAAGCAATATCCTTCCCCTCTCCCACAACATTGGCAGAACTCGTGGCAATAATATGAGAGTTTCAAAGAAACAGAACAGGACAATACTGAGACAGGGATTCTTCACCCAGAGAATAGTGAGCAGTTGGAATTCCCTCCCCCAAGAAGTTGTAGAGGCCCAAGACATCAATCTCTTCAAGAATAGACTGGACAAATTATGGAAGAACCATGCACCCTACAAGATATAACTACAGAGCTCTGAGGTAGCCACCAGATTCAGTCAATTAATGGGGTCTATGCTTAACCATGCTCATTATTTTTAAAATTAAATCTTAAGACCGGCTACAGGTCAGAATGACCTAGCAGTGAATAACTATAACTATAACTAACTATAACTAAATTTTTTCGAAATATGTTAACGATACGGTAAAAATACGAACGTCGGAAAAAACCGAACGCAATTTGTTCGGATTTGTCACGCGAATCCCGTATGTGTCACGCATGTTCTTTGGAAATTTTTCGAAAATGTCACGCGAATCCCGTATGTGTCACGCATGTTCTTTGGAAATTTTTCGTACCTACCCCCCCCCCCCCCCCGTTGACGATATCGCGAGCGTAGCGAGCGCGAAAAATTTGAGGTGTTCAAAGTTTGGCAAAGGTGCTCAAACTTTGGCCAAAGGTGTTTAAAAGTTGGCCAAAGGTGTTCAAAATTTGGACAAAAGTGTTCAGATTTGGACTTAGGTGTCCAACATTTTGAAGTCACTCATATTAGGTGGTCCCAAGTTGACAGCCCTGCCTGAACCGACTATAGGATAATATGTTTATCCCATACCAATCTTGGTCATCTGGTTCACATTGTTCAATCGTGGAAATATTTTAGAATATTCATGTCCAGTTTTGTTTTCTTGGCCGTGGGTGGATTTTCCTGTTCTCTCAAATATTCCCATATTTATTTTCTCGAATTTTTGATTGATTAAGTGGATGCTCCTTCAGATCCCGATTGTCTGTGTTTTCTCCATTGTCGTTTACAGTCATTACGCGAACGTTACAAATTATGAACAAATATGCGAGCGACGATTATGACATAGCGGGCAGATATACTATATCTGCCCGCTCGGAGCGGGACGTAAAGCTATATCTGCCCGCTGATGAAAATATAAGTTTTTACAAACTGGCTTTATGTACCTGTAACACGTCCAAGTATGGGATAAAGAGCATTATGTTTACCTTCACACTGAGAAATTTGTACCCTTCCTTTCAGATGATAATCATAATGAGGTCATACTACAGAGGTGTGCATAAGTGTATACATAAGAATGTATTTGTATCTGAAATTATACTCTTTTCTAGCGCATTTGCCCCTGTAAAGATACCACCAAATACCAACCAGACAGAGTGGAGGAAGATTGAGTATATGTTCAAGGAGTTTGCAAGCAACAGTGAGTCTTTTATAGCATTGTAATATATTAATGCTTTATCAAAATGTCTTGGCTCATTGGTTTGTGAGGCTATAAGGGATGTGATATTATAAGTTATTGAATGATTTGAAGTGCAATACAGGATATATTCTGCTCGAGAAATTCTGCATTGGTACGAGACTAAGTCGAGCGCCAATACAAAATATAGACAGAATATATCCCGTATTGCACTCCAAATCATTCAATAACATTTTTATCGTGTGATCCTCTGTATTGCTACTGAGATTGTCCCCTCCGTATCAATATTTTCTGTATTGCGACAGAGATGATCATCCAGGGACAATCTCCATAGCAATCTCTCCACATTTTTGAATGTTGGAAGTTATGCATTAATTTGAGAGAATTTCAATGCAATGAGTCGATTTTTTCATAAATGTGCGCATTAGCGCATTATTAGGCTTCATTGGCACAAGATAAACATTATGTTATTTTTAAAATTTTATAACATCATTTTATATACAACTACCTGACAGAAGCAAATAACTACCTGAAAGTTGGCCAGGTAGTTATTTTGGCACCAGGCAAAAAATGCAAGTGTTGAGGCCTGCTGTCAGATTTTGTTGAAATGTGAAATATCATATTTTTAATTTTTTAGATGGAGAAGATGCTTTGTCATTTGTGATCAGTTGCCTGACTCTAATTGGATTGCTCCTTCTCATTATATACACAGTAAGTGGAACTATAATCTTTTCTCACAAGATTCTTGTTATCACAGTTGTAACCTATCAAGTGGAGCACCTCTGTATGTGGACTGCCTGTGAAAGTAGGGCACTTTTCACAGTCCAGCATGGGCCATTGATATCATGTTATTGAATCTCTATAAGTGGAACTCTAACTTAGTGTTCCACTTACACAGGTTTTACTGTACAATAGTATAAGGTCAATCAGAACATGATTGTTGTTACACCTTACAATTAGCTTGTTTAAGAATTCTCACAAAAACTACAGTTTAGCAGCATTGCTTTGGGTTTTGATTGAAAAGCAAGGGCATATTTACAGCATTAGCAATTTGTTATTTAGGCTTATGGTATGTCTGCATGGCCTATTGACCTCCTAAAGGGAACCCAAAGTGCCAGTTCAGAAAGGATGAGGGTCATCGATGAAAGAACTACCAACAGAACTAAAATTGAAGCCATAAGAAATAAGGTAAATACAGAGATGTCCAGTTTTTGTAAAACTTCTGAATGTTCATTGGTATTAGGCTTGAAATCAAGAAAGAGCCATGGATGTGGTTTGAAACATTTCCAAATAATTTTGTTTTCACATTCATATTCAGAGAAAAAGAAACTGTAATTTAGGTTGGTTTATGTTAACTTTGACTTCAACTTTAGTTTTTCCTTTATTCATGTCCATAACTTTATTGTATAGTACATGAAAAATATGAGTTATGTCAAGACAGGAGATAGCAGAGGCCTAAGCTTTTCTTTTTACATTTACAGTACAGTAACGGCAGGTCCATGAGGCAAAGGGACCGTATCAAGATAGCTGAGCTAGAGGAGACAGACAGGCTTATGTCGAGGCAGGAGGCTCAGCTTGAGAGCAGAGAACTAAGCTTTTCTTTTTTACATTTATAGTACAGTAATGGCAGGCCCATGAGGCAAAGGGACCGTATCAAGATAGCTGAGCTAGAGGAGACAGACAGGCTTATGTCAAGGCAGGAGGCTCAGCTAGAGAACAGAGAACTAAGCTTTTCTTTTTTTACATTTACAGTACAGTAACGGCAGGCCCATGAGGCAAAGAGATCGTATCAAGATAGCTGAGCTAGAGGAGACAGACAGGCTTATGTCGAGGCAAGAGGCTCAGCTAGAGAGCAGAGAACTAAGCTGTCTGAGCAAATGTTCTATCCTCTTGAGGCCTGTTGAGATTTTGGCTGGAATTGTGTTTTTCCTAATAGCACTTGTAGTGTTCGTTTCTCTGCTTTTGACAAAGTAAGAAGTTTAGTGGTTATGTGTATAACTGCTGTGCATTAAAAGTACCTCTTCTTATTATTGTAAAATATTTAAATGCACATTTGAGCTTTGCATTTCAGATGACTTGTATCAATTTTATTTGAATTGAACCACCAAAATCCAAGTTGGACTAACCCACTGATAATATTCCTTGAATATTGAGTATTGAAATCATTAACGAGTCATGAAATAAGTCTGAAAAAAAATCAAGACACTTTTTATTAATATTGAATTTTAGAAAAATCACTTGATTCTAAACTTCTAATATCATATTCATATTTCTTGTTATAACTCTATTATCTGCCTTTATATTTTCAGCATTGACAAGGTCATGCACTCTTTAGGATGGAGAATGGGGTATGCCTTACCCAAACGAACTCTACCCAACCCTGTAGATATCATGCTTGTCTATGCCCAAATGGTACGTTTCAAATCAATTTTTTATGTTACGGCTGAAAATATTCAAGCATTGTTAAATCCTCTAAATTTTGAATGACCATTATTTGGCACCTGTATCAACTGTTGGACCTGGGTAGCAAATTACTTTTGATTCAGCCAATTGCCTATTGATACAGTATCACCTGTAGACATATTCTAATTTCAGATGGTATTAGACTATGGCACTGAACAACTCAAACTCTCATAATATGTTTTCACTTTTTAATGCCATGTGCAATTAGGTGGTGGCATCTGTACACCCAATTATATACAAATACACTTTATTTATATGTTACCATTTCTGTAAATAAGATATTTTTCCAGATATTTCCACTAGACTACATCATTATGTCTGGCATCATCCTTTATTTCTTCTTCTGCTCTGTGATGGGAATCAGGAAGATTGGTATCTGGTTCTGCTGGCTACGGGTGAGACATTAACATGCTTTGTTAATTGTAAAACATGTCTAAGTGGAACACCTGCTACCTCTTAAAAGTGTTCAACGTTGGAGGTGTTCCACTTATAGAGGTTTATTTAACATTAAGTCAGTTGGTATTGGGGCTATAAGACGTTTTCCACTTACAGAGGTGTTACACTTCTAGAGGTGTTCCACTTTACAGGTTTCACTCTACTTATGTACTTGTAAACTGCTTCATCAACTACCCAAATTAGGTCTAATTAACATAACGTATGGAGAATATTGTAATACAAATACCATTTAGAACAGTGTGGAACTTGCTATTCATATCGTATTTATTTTCTTCGTTATGCGTTTCACATCCACTTAATCTTTATTTTTCTTATTCAGATGTTCAAGATCCGTCCAAGAAAGACTCGTCCCCAGGGCCTGTTGTTTATGTGTATGATGTTAATGTTTATGGTGCTTGCAATAAACATCCTTACATACATGGTCATGCCCCAGTACACTACATATGGAGGCCAGCACTATTTGCAGCCTGTAAGTCGGTAACCATATGTTGTTTTGTAGATGCGTGTCAGTTTTTAAAGAATGAATTTTAACTATTGGATTATGTTCCAAAAATATTTTATGATATTCTTGTGTGATTTTTTTGTTCATTCTTGAATGTAATATTTCATACTGTTATTGTATCTAAAGCAATATCTATTTATTAGGAAAACAGAACTGCCATTGACCCAGCCACCAACCACACTTATATAAAAATAGTGTTGACTACACAGCCATGTAACACCCACGCTAACACACAACTTAACACAGGTAAGATTCAAATAAATGGGCAAAAGACAAATATTGACTCATTCACTGAACTTATATCCTGAAAGTCTCTGTATGATATGTGACTCGCTCAATTGAACTGAAATACTCTGAATGGGGCATTTATATGAATAACGTTTTTCTCTAAATTAGGGATACATTTGGAATAGAGTGTAGTCTTGCACTGAGACTCCCCTGGAGGATGCAAGACTAACACAGTTCCATGAATTTCATTTGTCATCTAACAGTTTAATAAAAGTATGGGTGCTACATAGAGACTTGCTATAAGACTTAACCATGAGTCTGACAAAACAGATCCATATAGTATCTATATTATCAGAACTACAATAATTACTGTAAAATGTATGCTTCATTTTTATTGTGTCACCACCATTAGTGGTGACATTTTGTTAAAGTTTCCAACTTTTCTCTGGATGGTGTTCACTGTTCAGTAGTTAGTGTTTGGTGAATGGTGACTGTAACAAATGGCAGGTGATGACATTTTACATGTTAATGCCTTGATATTCCATCTATACTTTTCAACATTTAATGTCTTTTTCCGAGCTCCGTTTATTAATAGACATTTCTATTCTAGATGTAGATATATACAGTGTAATATTCAGGAAATCATTTTGAAGTGTGGCAAAGATGCAATTTATATTCAAGATTCTATAGAAATGAATGTTATTTATACTCTTTAGGTGTACAATTACTCTATATTATCTTGTATTTCAGATGTGTGTATCATGACAAGGATGTCATTTCTACTGACAAGATTCTTTTATAAAGTCTGGTTCTTTGGTGCAGCTTACTTCTTCGCCAGCTGGGGATTCCTTGGGGTGAGGAATTTAAAAATTTAGTTTGAATGCTCTTATGCATAATGCAACAGTGCAAATTATTCTGAAAGGATGTTTATTTAAATACATATAGGAAAAAGTTTGCATCAGCTTTATATATCTATTTATCCCATACTTGAACGTGTTACAGGTGCATAAAGCCGGTTTGTAAAATCTTATATTTTCATCAGCGGGCAGATATGGCTTTACGTCCCGCTTCGAGCGGGCAGATATAGTATATCTGCCCGCTACGTCATAATCGCCGCTCGCATATTTGTTCATAATTTGTAACGTTCGCGTAATGACTGTAAACGACAATGGAGAAAACACAGACTATCGGGATCTGTTTGATGGTTTAAAAAAGGGAAGGAGCATTCACTTAATCAATCAAAAAATTCGAGAAAATAAATGTGGGAATATTTGAGAGAACAGGAAAATCCGCCCACGGCCAAGAAAACAAAACTGGACATGATTATTCTAAAATATTTCCACGATTGAACAATGTGAACCAGATGACCAAGATTGGTATGGGATAAACATATTATCCTATAGTCGGTTCAGGATATTGGGATTATCCCTTGGCCAATATAATATATTTTCCCTCGGGACCTGCGGCCCTCGGGCAAATATATTATATTTGCCTCGGGATAATCCCAATATCCTGAACCTCATATAGGATAATCTCTATGTATTTCATAGCTACTGAGGTTCTAGGTACATAACGAGCGGGAATATATTATGTATCTAGGGACCGGGATGGATACACACTGTATCCATCCCGGTCCCGCTCATTTTTTTCAAAATTTTTTTCAACGATTTTTTTTTTTTTCAAATTTTGTTTTCAAATTTTCTTTCAATTTTTTTTCAATTTCTTTTTTCATTTTTTTGAAAATCTCGCAAACTTTAAGACCAAGAAAACGCCTAGTACCTTAAAGGAATATTCCTTGCCAGACCCTTTCTCTCTTGATATGGTAGCTATAATCATATATATAGTTTCCATATTTAGCAAAACATGGGAAAATGTTTTAATATGGTCAATATTGATCATTTAAAAATCTAGTGCTTATTTCCAGTGAGCTGCCATCTTTTAAGATTTCTTGCAGGAAGTGATGTCATCAACTCTCAACTTCTATAACCTTGCCCAAAACAGTATATAGCGAAGTCAGATGTCCAGAAATGAGCCCTTTATAGTTCGACTTTTTCAGGAAAGCAACAAACTTGGCACAGTTGTACAAACACTTGATCTGAGTGGAAAATGATTTCGGGGCAAGTGATCCGGAGTGGTCTTCGTGGATTTTTTAGTCTCTGACCCCAACCCCTATCAGGCGGGGAGGGGGTACATTATAAAAAATAAATAAAAATGGTTGTGAAGTAAATTTTTTTAAATGACTTCATTTGGTGATTGCTCTGAGCCTTGAAATTGAGACAAACCGATTGTAGATGTGGTGTTTAGTGTGGAAAATGCATTTTGACCCAATTATCTAGCGTGAATTCATCTTTTAAGGGTCAAATATGGGACATCAAGTACTGTATTTCAAGAATGTGATGTCTGATCATCTTGGAAAAATTCGTACTAATAGGGGTATAAGTGTTCATCACAAATATAGAATATGGCTTGGGTAGCTCATGTATTTTTTGAGATAAAAATTATTGAAATTTGAATTTTTAAGCCCTTGCGGCCTAGGGGTAACCTTATTCTACCTTAATAATTTTTAAGATATGCAATGTATGGGTCTCATATGAGCTCAAAATGGTGCATTGAGTCTTGTTTTGTCATATTATTCCTAATTGGATTGAAAAATGATTGGAACTTTTCAAAAAAAAAAAAAATTTCATTATCGCTTCTGAAGGGCCAGGGGTAACCATATTTTACCTTAATAACTTTCAAGGTTTGTAATATATGTATCCCAAATTAGCTCAAGATTATGCATATAGTTCTGTTTAATCAAAATACCTCCAATAAGATGTAGAAAATGATTGTACATTTCTTAAAATTTGAAATTTTCATTTTAGCTTATGACGGCCTGGGGGGGCTTATTTAACCTTGAACTTTTCTTAATTATGAGACGTATGCATCTCAAATGAGCTTAGAATTGTGTCATATACTCGTGTTTTGTCATATTATTCCTAAGGAGATGTAAAAAATAATGGAAATTTGAAAAATGACATTTTTAGCTTTTGACAGGTCAGGGGTGATTTTATCATATATTACCATAATATAGAAGCAAAGGATGGAGTGAGTTTAGCAGCCCCGTCCCCATGACCGATGCCATTGGCAGCTTGGGTCTTAAAGCATTTATGACCCAAGCTGCAATAAAACATGCTGACCTATACTCAACCAATCAGCAAGCTTGAAGGAACAAGTGGTAAATGCGTGCACATTAATGATTCGATTTCGTCAGAGAAAATGACCATATAGAAAGCCGTCCTTATTTCAACAACAAACTCTGATTAGCGCAGTGAGTTCAGAGATTCATTGAAAACTGATAGAGTGAAGACGAAGCTCTCTTTTGAGAAGGAAAGTCGAATGAATGCAAAGGGTAGTAAGTCCAGTCACCTTAGCCTGATGGGGGGGGGGTTAAGGTGAGCTGCTTCTGTCAAGGATTCTGTCAGTGAATAATGACAGTCAATGAATGGGCGCAAGAATGCCAAATGTTATCACAATAATTTTCAAGATAAAATGATCTCAAAATGGGGAAAATAGTCTGTTTTTCACTTTATTCCTACTGAGATAATGATTAACAACAATTAGAAAATTCAGTGACACATTTAAATCTCAATCCATTTATTCCATTTTTCCATAGCAGTAGAATACAGATGTAACATCACATCCAATGATTGTATGAGAAATGGGGAGGATTAAACTTTGGTCATGGGCAGGTAGATATTGATATGTTTTCTCCCTTACCATATGCTATCCAAATTGACTTTTTCAGTTTTTAACATCACATATATGCCAGGATAACCACATCAGAATTAAATGTAAGGAGTATTATTCTTTCTCTTGAAGGCCATGATTGAAGCAGTCTAACTGAAAATATTGAGAAATATCCTTGAATCTGCTTCTTCTTATAAGAGCAAGGGTGATGGCAGAACCTCACTGTTGGGCTAAAACATTGCATTGCCTCCTTAATTTATGTGGTCACTATCTTCTTTCCATCCATTTCAAGAGTTTCAGTTTCCTCCTTAGCCTATCCTTGTTCCAGTTCCACAAGTCTCTCTAGTGCTGTTTTAAAGGTGCAACAATTAGTGCAAAGGGGCCATTCAACGATCATGGACCAGTGTAAAAATATATTCAAGTTTTGATATTTCATCAAGACTAACATATATGTTTATTTTTTTCCAAAGAAACCCCCTGGATGAACATTATTTCAGCTGATTCCTCTTGAAATGTTTTGGATCTTAAAAACCTATAAGTGGGACTCCCTTTATAGAAGCTTGAACTGAATTTACACTTCTTAATGCTGAAATTGATAGTTTATCCATACATTTTAAGAAAATAAGTATGTCAAAGCCAAATATTGCCCTGATAGCTCAGAAAAAGTAAAAAAAATTGAATCTTCTACAGACCTTGTTGCCCCTTTACGCTAGTGTCCTTGTAAACATCCCAGCTGACATCAAGGCAATGAACTATTTGCACACTTTTACGTAGGTAATATCATATTTGCATAATCACCAAATTTTCTTTATATTTCACTGTTAGCATGTTTAACTATACATGCCCTGTCTATCATTTTGGCATCTACTATGTAGCTTAGTCATTCAACTTTGATGTTAATGAGCATAGATACAAACAGCACAAAACTGGAACAGTGAGGAACGTATATCCTATTAATTTTCTTCTGTGGAATTGGCAAGATTCCCTAAGATAGTTGGAACAAGAGGGAGCTGTTTTCCTTCCAGGCATCAAAACTGAAACCCTGGAGGAAGATGGCAAGAAGATAGTGACCTCACAATGAGGTAATGCAATATATTACCCCGATAGTGAAGTATCTGCCATCACCATTCGCTCATATGAAGAAGCATGCCAAAGACTGCTTCTGTCATGACCTAATAAGAATCATAGTCAATACAGTTGATTTTGATGTGGTTTAAACTGGCAGTAACTTGTGCTGAAAATGTCGATTTGGATTGCATATGGCCTATGGTGAGGGGAAATTCCTCCAGTATGTACGACCTGCCTTAGATATTTCAAGGCCACTTGGCCATGAACGAAGTTTAGCCCTTACCATTTTTCATACAAATCTTTTTTGATACCCTAAAATTAGAAGACTAGAGTCCTTATTCATTCTGATGCATCTTACCCACAGTTTCTATCACCACATGAATGTGGCTGGACTACTCCCACTGCTGATACTGAGGCCACAACATAAAATGTAGGTCATGGGGTAGATACCTGTGTCAAGAGAACAGATGCAAATGTTTGAAAGCAAATCTGATTTGCTCTGAGCTACATGTATGTAGCTGTAGGAGAGACTGTCAGAATCCATAAATTGTGACTCCTTTGATTAGGTTTTATAGATTTGGATTATATACTCAAATGATAATATACAGAATCTTAACAATGCTACTACTCGTGCGAGTATGAACTGGACTTATCAAACATTTTCATATCTTAGAAAATGTTCTATAAAACTAGATAGTATTGCCATTGGTACTAAAAAGGAATAAATGGCTGTTGAGGTTCATTTTTTATAATTGTTAATCATTATTGTATATCTCAGTAGCAATAATATGACAAAACTAGACTATATTCACTATTTTGAGCTCATTTGAGTAGACAATATGATATATCTTTGTTTAAATTTTTAAGGTAAATTAGGTCATTCCTGACCTATCATAAACTACACTACCAAATCATAAACTACACTACCAATCACAAACTGCATCAAACAGCATGGTTTCATAAACAGTGCTGTAAAAACAGTACTGAACACAGCTGTTTTCTAAAACAGTACTGAGCTGTAAAAACAGTACTGTACTACGCTGTCCAAAACAGATGGTGTTAGAATAGCATTGTACATTGCTATATAGTGCAGTACGTTGACTGCACTGTTCAGTACTGTTTACAGCGCTGCAAGAAGATGTTGCGGATTGGGGGTATAATATGAAAATGTCATTTTCTTATAATTTCCAATCATTTTTTCACTCCTTGGGAATGATATGATAAAACAGGGCTAAATATACCATCTTAAGCTCATTTGAGGTGACTATGTCTCATATTTAGAAAATTATTAAGGTAAAATAAGGTTACCCCAGGGCCATCAAGAGCTTAAGTGAAAATTTTGATTTTTTAGATATATCCGATCATTTTCTACATCTTATTGGAAGAAGTATGATAAAACAGAACTATATGCACCATCTTGAGCTAATTTGAGATGCATATATTACATATCTGGGAAATTATTAGGGTAAAATATGGTTTCCCCTGGCCCTTTAGAACCGAAAATGAAAATTTGATTTTTTTTTAATTTCCAATAATTTTTTTACATTTAATTAGGAATAATATGACAAAACAATACTTAATGCAACATTTAGAATTCATATGAGGCCCAAACATTGCGTATCTTAAAAATTATTAAGGTAAAATAAGGTCACCCCTAGGCCGCAAGGGCTTAAATATCCATATTTCGATAATTTATTTCTCAAAAATTACATGAGCTACACAAACCATATATCATATGAGTAATTAACACCTATATCTCTATTAGTATGATATTTTTCAGGATGATCAGACATCACATTCTTGAAATACAGTACTTGATGTCCCATATTTGACCCTTTGAAAGATGAATTCAAGCTAGATAATTGGGTTGAAATGTATTTTCCTTCCTAAATACCACTTCTAAAATAGGTTTTTCTCAATTTCAAGGCTCAAAGCAATCACCAAATGAAGTCATTTAAAGAAATATACTTTACAACTATTTTTATTTATTTTATTATAATGTACCCCCTCCCCGCCTGATAGGGGTGGGGGTCAGAGGCTTACAATCCATGAAGACCACCCCGAATCACTTGCCCCGAAATCATTTTTCATTCAGATCATATGTTTCTACAACTGTGCCAAGTTTGTTGCTTTCCTGAAAAAGTCGAACTACCAAAGGGACATCTGACTGCGCTAATAGGAAAGTAGCACAAAATCACTTCTAGACAAGTGATCATTACTTTCTGTGCAAAAATATTTTCAGGGCTTGTCAACTTAGAATAAAAGAAGGGATTTTCAGAAGGATTAAATAAGATACAAAGTTGAAGAAGAATATTTAGCTGGTTTTGTAATTCTCAATAGCTCCTCACCTAATGCTATATGCAAAGTTGAGAGTCGATGACATCACTTCCTGTGTGAAATTTTAAAAGATGGCAGCTTACTGGAATTGAGCATCACATTTCTAAGTGATCAAATTTGACCATATCAAAACATTTTTGTGTGTTTTGCTAAACATGGCAAGCATATATATGGTTATAGCTACCATATGAGGAGAGAGATGGTTTGGCAAGGAATATTCCTTTAATATGTTTTGGAATTTTGGATCTTTATAAGGTATGATGTACCTAGAACCTCAGTAGGTATGATATACATCTGTTATGTACAGTCGGTTTTGGATACAGGGTTTATCCCGCGGGAAATATGTGTATCTCCCTCGGTCCCTGTGGTCCCTCGGGAGATACACATATTTCCCTTGGGATAAACCCTGTATCCAAAACCTCCCAGTACATAACCCTTATGTATTCAGTTATATTATGCCTCAGAAATATTTAGATTCAGACCTTTTCAAATGTGTCTATTTTATTCAGATGTGTCTAATAGGATTCATAGTGGCGTTGATACGAAGGAGAAAGTCTGCTATTGATGGGGAAGTTGATGAAGATGACTTTGACAGTGTAGATGATGAACTAATAAGAGCATAACCATGGTTATAGATACCATAGTAACATCTCAGTTATCAATGTACACAGTGTGATCCTGAAGGTGTCGTGCCGTCAGAGTTGAACCTCTTTTGCTCTTGGATGTGCGTTTACCTTTTTATTGTATAAAAAGAAGTATAAGTATAGTAAAACCTGTATACCAACACTTCTCTAGAATCTGAACACCTCTTAATGTGAATGAGTTCCTCAGTCCCAATTTTGTATAATCTCCAACTGACTCGCACACACACTTGAAACACATTTTGCCAGTACCTGTGGCATTCAGATTAGACAGGTTTTACTATCCATTTGGGTTGATCATATGTAATACTAGCAATGTAAAATAAAGCCTTTTCTATTTATTTAATGTACAGTATTTGAACAATAACCACCAGGGTTAGTATTTGGAACCACCGTGACTATTTCATCTTAAACATTACACCAGTTTTTGTAATAATAAGATTAGATAGTACCAAATAAAGTGCAATAAAACTTAGCATGATTAAATAATCAGTTGAAATTAAATGTTTTCATAAGCGGATTAAAGAATGTTTGAAGTGACTTAGAAATCATTGTGATTTTAACAGCCTATGTCATATTGCATAATATGCAGAAACTACCAATGAAGATAACTCTGATGTTTTATTTGTTATCCCACTGAATGAAGTTGAAGTGGGGATATTAAGAGCCTGTTTTGCTATCTGTCAGTTTGTCCATCCAGGCACGGGCTTTCAAGAGATGTAGGCAGTAAATCAAATACCAGTTAAAGGATATGGTTCAAATTCTAAACTTATGCATGCCTTGTGGGCATGGGACCTCTTAGAAAAGGAAATCCCAATTTTGCTGCTCTTAATATTCAAAGTGCCACAATTTTTGTAAAGAGTGTTTTTTAATAACTCGAATATTAGCTACCAGATTTGATTAAAATTTATAGACTGGTAGCTCTTAGGTCCTCTGCTTTCTAATATGGCTGCTGCTCTGAATTCAAAATGACTGCTATTTTGTACAAACTTAACTTTTGATAACTCAAGTAGAAGTAATCACAACTTTTAGCTTCAGATTTAGTAATATTTTATAAGATTTTAGTTGGGCATTCAACCTGATCTCTTTTTTAAAACTTGTCATTCATCCAAAATGGTTGATCAAATCAAAATGCCCATCATTTTTCATTACATTATTTATTTATATGTTTTACATCAAATCATCTCATGCATGTTCTAGATGGTTTGTTGTAGCCTATTTTATGATAAAGACAACTTGATTGCCAAATTGCTGTAGCACATAATAACCAACAATCAAGGAGGATTGGCTCCCAGACCTCAACTCGATATTCAACCTTGACCTTGATCGATTGATTGGAAATGTCATTATTTTTACTGACTATCAATTCATAATCGAGCGATCCAAAAGATTTTAACTTATAGTTTGATCACTTCTTGTGTGTTTTCAAATTTTTTGTTTGGAAGTAACATCAAAACTCAAAATTGAAATTCTGAAGTGACAAAATCGCAGCTGTTTGATTTTGAATTTTGCAATTACGACATGAGTCCATATATGGTAGAATATCGACTTGGAACTGTGCCAATCCTCATTGACCAACAATGATGTAAATATATGTAAATGGTGAATTATTTAATTATTTTTAATAAATATCTTTATTTGTAAATTGAATTTTGTAAATTGCATTTGTTAATATATCCTACGCTCATTGCAAGAACGACTTCTTTGTCAGCTTTAGAAGTACTACTGCCCATATCACTGTATACTGACTGAGCATGCAGAAAAAGTTTGGTGTAGATTCAGGAATGTGTGGTGTGGAACCAACGGTCATTTTTATTATGTCACCACCAAAAAGTGGTGACATATTGTTATGGTCTCTATATTTTTGTTGGTGATCAGTGGTTGGCGATCGGCGGTTGGTGGTTGGCATCTGTAACAAACTCTTAAAACTTCCAATAACTTACCAAATACTGTTAAGAATGGCTTCAGTTTTTTCATAATTATCTACAAGTTTTCAGAAGTTCAAATCTGACTTTAGATTTGAGATTTGACATTCATTGACTTTCTCAAGGTCAAAAAATATCAAAAAGGTCTTTTTTCAACTTGCTTCACATTGACCAATTTTTTCCAAAATCATCTAGAATTCCTCAAAAGTTCAAATCTGACTTCATATTAACCAATTATTTTTGAGTGAAAATCTATAAAGAGTATCATTGGGAATAACAAGCCATCCACTCATGCACGTCCAATGGTTAGTGTTGAATGAATGTCTAGGTCATGAAATTGATGTTAGTGTTGACCTAGCTTTGCAGACATTTCCTAAGTGACATCTATATTATTGAGTAGAGTGAATGTTTATTCTAAATAGGGAATTCGAAGTGGCAAGACGTACATTCAGCAGTGGTAAGCATATTTTGATTTACATGCCCGAGCAAGGGGCGCCCGAGCAAGGGGCTAAAATAAAAGGCTTTGAGGGCCTAGAGATACAATGCAAGCAAGGGGCTAAAATAAAAGGCTTTGAGGGCCTAGAGATATAAATGCCCGAGCAAGGGGCTAAAAATAAAAGGCTTTGAGGGCCTAGATATAAATGCCCGAGCAAGGGGCTAAAACAAAAGGCTTTGAGGGCCTAGATTATAAATGCCCGAGCAAGGGGCTAAAATAAAAGGCTCCAAGGGCCTGAAAATATATGCGCAAGCAGGGGGCAAAAAATATGAACCATGAGGGGTAATGAATAAAAGGCCTTGAGAGCCTAGAGATACAGAGATATATGCCAGAGCAAGGGGCTATTAAATATAACTATGAGACAATATAAGAGAAGTTTTCTGAGAGGCAAATATTTGACAGAAACAAAGAAAAATAGAACATTGATGACATGAAAAATCTTGATAACATGGCCTTATAATGAACACTGGAAATTCAACGTGTTAATAACACAGTAAAATTAGAGGTCATTATACAGTACGTTATAATACAGTGTGACGAAAATAATGACACTCAGGTATAATCTGGTAATTGGCAATTGAATGAAAACTGGGGTTTACTCAATAGAAAGTAGGTTGAATTGTTTTGACATGACTGGATAACATATGCAAGTGATTGGTTATGTAATGGTTTAATTCCATGTACCCTCTTGTAAACTAATTTGAAAATGACTTGAGTTTGTAACATTTGAAACTAGTGAAGTCTGATAAACAATTGGCTTCTCTTTACATCTAAAGTCCGGGAGCACTGATCTCTTAGTGGTTTTAACCACGTGGACTTCGGATGTGAGAGTTGTCTCTCCACAGTAGGAGGTAATTGGCAATTGAGGTTAATTACTCATGTTAGGGGACTGATTTTTCCCCACCGGTAATTCATGAAAAACATTGATATGAGGTTAATTTTAGGTTTTATTAGCTTCATAATTACATCATGGAAAACCATCTACTAGAACTACTGGGAGAGATTGCTCTCAAATCCGATGTCCACGTTAGTTTTTTTTTGTTAATTTTTTATTAAAGATTTGAGGATTGGGAGTAGTAAAAATTAACAAATCACATTATTCAGGATGTAAATACACCGTAAAGGGTAAAATTAAATGTGTATTTCACCCAATCCTTTAACATGAAATCTACTTGAATGTATGGATGTCACTTAGGAAACATAGATTTCCTAAGTGACATCTATATTATTGAGTAGAGTGAATGTTTATTCTAAATAGGGAATTCGAGGGAGGTAGTCATTAGCGAATGGAATGGATAATAGTTTACATATCATGAAATTTGGATGAAATATCATGAAATTGGGAAATGATTGAAAAAAAAGTTACCCTCCCACCCAACCCATTTCCTGAGGCTGTACATTCTGGTGGTTTTCACTTAAATATGTATTTCACCCAATCCTTTAACATGAAATCTACTTGAATGTATTGATGTCACTTAGGAAGCATAGATTTCCTTGCAAAAAATCATTATTTTCAGTGATAATATAAAATCAATTGCAATGTGTGAAAAGAAATTATGCACAGGACTGTTGATGATTTAATCCACTCATGCTTAGTTTCCTAGACTGCATTTGTGCTGCTACACTCATGCATAGGTCTGAAATCAACACATTACTGGAATAAATCATCCACAATGCAATGAGCTTAAATCCTTGCTTATAAATCTACAAACCTTTTCAAATATGAAAAGCATGAAATATAATCAATTATTACCACCTTGCCGGGCCAGTTCTAGGGGTTTTAGTGCTAGACTTTAGAAGGCATTCATTTTACTATATTGACCTGAGCAATATGTGACGTCATAGTGGAGGTCAATATTGCCGGTCAAGAATGCATTTTCTTGCTGTTTCAGTCCTGGTCATTAACGAGGCTACATTGGCTTTCAACTAGAAGGGTAGGCAACTTCCCATATTTCATACATAAGTATTGCCTTTGTTTGGGTTTTCAAAATTGGCGAATCTACACATTCCAAGAAAATCTTATTTTTGTACTTTTTATGGATGATTAAGAGAAATAACTCAAAAATAAAAACATGATTATCTACATATATGTTGATAATTTAATAAAAAATGGAATTCATCATAATTATGACAATACAGAAAGTGAACATTCTCCCACAAATTATGTTTTTATTGGAATGTGGTCTTGAATAATTACCCACAATGCAATACTCGAAGAGAACATCTTGATACCTCTTATTCTTATTGGTCTTTTTTGTTTACTTTTACATGAGATTGAATATATTTTATGCTTTAATCCTTTTGAAAATTGATTTTTAATCAAAATAATACTAAAACATATAACATTTATTATATGTTATACTTTTGAAATATTACGCATAAAAGGGAAGCATGGCATTGCTCATTTTGAAGGTCTCATGTTATTACACAGAGTTGCATACCCTTCTAATTGAAAGCCCATGATAACACTAATAATGTCATTTCGAAGGGCAATATAGTGAAATATTGGACTGAGGGCCGATAAATAATGTCATTTCGGTCCAATATTTAATTATATTGCCCTTCAAAATGACGTTATTGTACTATTACCCTAAGAATTAACAGGGTACAAAAACAATAATCTACAAACCCTAATGTTACCAGTGTTTCTATATTATTCGTAAGATTACATGCATTTCATTTTCATTCAATATCTCTAAAAAAAGTATATTCTTGGTCTTTTGCATGTTCTTTGACGTCAAATACATGGATATTGCACATGATATATTCTAATGTTTGTAAATATAAGAAATTAAGACAATGTTTCCTGCACATTTTGAGCTTAATTATCATTATAGTATAAAATCTCACTGGTGAATTTCTACATTCAATTTGTATCTTGTAATATCACAGTTTCTTTAATTTAAAATATTTTCATCTGGTCCTTTCTCAGGAGGTGCAACCCTTTGTTCATCAATGTCCAGCCTGCTGTATTTCTCCTTCATGATAAACAGTATTGGTAAGCATACTATGATTGACCCTATCATGAACCAGTTCATCCACATTGTCCCTGAAAAAAAATGGAATAACAATAGTGGAATAGAGTAATGCATGAAGTGAAACGATTTGATAGCTCAAAATAGTGGTCCACTCTGGAGGTGTTCTATTGACCGACAGAGGTTCACTGACATGAAGTATTCCACTTACAGAGGTGTCCCTTACACGTTGCAGGATTTACTATATGACTTTTGGTTAGATTGAATAAAAATAATTATACTAGAAAGTAGGGGTGAGACGAGTCGAAAAAATCCGATTCGAGTCGAATCCGAATCGAGTCAGAAAATGACGATTCGAGTTTCGAATCCGTTTCGAGGCGCGCGAAGTGCGAACAACATCGCTTTTGACCGTTCGTATTTTTAATGCGTCAATGGTGGAAAGCCGGAAATATAAACAAACACAATTCGTCGTAAGTTTATTCTGATTTTATTACATATATTCTTTCATTTATGTGTACATACAATATAATAATTTAATACAAGCATATCCAAGTCATTGAAACTTATATATTCAACGCAATATCGAGTAAAAACATGCATATTGACAGTATTTTTCTGAATTTTTTTATTTTTTCGAATTTTTTTCTCAACTCGAAAATGATTCGATTCATCAACTTCGACTCAATTCGACTCGACTCGAAGCCCCAAACCCGCGAGTCCTCGACTCATCGGGTTGTCGTCTCACCCCTACTAGAAAGCTATACAGTGCTATTGTAGCTACACAAAGTATTTTGCAAGTTCCTTAATATACCCTATGAGACTTCAGTATGAAGAAGAGAAACAAAAGGGAGTATTAATACAAGGACTACTTGCAAGACCAAATACTGTACATTGCTTTAATTTGACAGCTGTTTCAATTTGGCTAAATTAAGTCTCTGTCCAGTGCATTTTCTTTGAGTTACCTTGCATGATAAAACTTTGGTGAAAATCTTGATTGAAACATTGATCATTATATGTCAATTTTCCGAAGATCTACAGAGTCCCTGTCGGTTTAGATAGAGCAACCTGATAACAGGAAAGATAAAATTGCATTATTGATGGTGAGCTGTGAAGTGAATAATACGGTTGATGATGGTCAATATGCCAAATTAAATAGCAGCCAAAATTTCAAAATTTGCCCGAATCTGCCAAATCAAATAGTGCCAAATTAAAGCAATTTAAAGTATACACTGTATTAAGTATCAAGTGATATATAGTACATGCTTACACTTACCAACATGTGGAATCATAAAGACTAGTAGAAATATGAGTCCAGTGACATTATTCAACATGGTGAGGAATAGGTTAGTGATCCCCTCAGCTATAGGGTAACTCAATTCACAACACAGCTCATAAAACAAAGGAGTGGCCGCCATTATAAACACACCCACCATGATTGTAGATATGTACAAAGATGCTGGAATCAAAGTTACATGGTGAGCTTCAATACATGTATGTATTTACTGTAATTCAATAACTTGCTCTATGGGGACGATGATAATGTGTGTTGTGGAAAAAATATTTGTTTTGTAGCCAAATTATAATTAAGCAGAATTCTTAACACTTACCTGAAATCTACTTGAACATTTTTTTCAAACCCATGTACTGTGATTTTTTTTTATTTATTAAGTATTGCCCTGCATAGAGTGAAATATTTCTTGTCTCAGAATAGATTACGACTAAGTACAATGACTCTAGCAATAATGATATTATATTACTACAAATAAAATACAAGTTGTTCCTCACGTGTGTTGAATGGAATGTACTGATTGCATAGCAGAAGGAACCAGGCCATGGCTCCAACAGCGCAGAAATACAGGCAGATCAACAGTGTCTTCATGCGACCGGAAAACACATCTGCAAATCTGAAAAAACAAAAATACACCATAAATATTCATATCAAAGGCTTCTTTCTTTAGTATGGAAAGTTGCTGATTTTTTGCTTATAGCCAAAGTGTTGTAAGAATAATGAATGAATGGTGTATATGTATTGAGCATACATGGCAATATTTACCTGGCCACACAAAGGGACACAGCACTCCCTGCCATTGTTGCATAGAAGCCGATCCAGCCAGCCTCCGTCTGAAAGACATACATATACTGTATCATTGTCATTTTTTAAAATTATTATTCCATGACACATATATTCTAGTGATCCCCCAGTATTAAAGTTATCAGGTTGCACTCTGTCAAAACAATGAAATACATACATGCATTTGCCTATTAAGACATTTTGACAAAAATCAGATCTAAGCTGAGTGGCAATCATTGATTTTTATTTCACCCCCCATTATTTTCCCATGGGGTCAGCAGAAGTAACTTGGGAGAAATGTTAACAATCACACTAATACTAATTACTTTGGTAAGAATTAAAATCTTAAAACTGCAAAAAATTGTGAAGATATTGATAGTGGCTGCTGTTAGGGCGTAAATCCATATAAATGTGTAAACCTTCCCATCAAATACTGTAAATCATAAAATTGCTTTAATTTGACGGGTGCTTATAATTTGGTGGATTTGGCTGATCTATAAAAACTACCAAATTAAGTCTCCGGCAATTTTTATAAAATGAAATTCCTAGGGATTTTCGCCCCGTACCTTTATCATGTGTCACATTGCACGATAAAAATGTTGGTGAAATCTTGACTGGATTATGGATAAAATGTCAATTTTAAACTATTTCCAAAGACCTACAGAATCCTGCTGGTTTAGATACAACAATCTGATACCGAGAGATAAAATGCGTTATTGGTGGGGAGTTGTAAAGTGAATAATACAATTGATGATGGCCCGATAAGCCTTATTAAATAGCAACCAAAATTTGCCCAATCCACCAAAATTAAATAGCATCAAATTAAAGCAATTTACAGTAAATTAGTTCACAGGTATGAATTTTTAATATTCTTAGTCTGTCCTTGTGATCTTTCCTGTAGTGTTACATTGAAATATGAGTAAATGTAACTCAGAGAATATGATTCCTACAGTATGCACTCAAGAAAAAAACAAGCTTTAATGTTTGGATTCAAACCATCAACAACCATCACATCAACCATTGTGTTACATGTAACAATATGTATTTCAACCATTGATAATTTGGTTGCATTTCATTAAAATTCAGCAATATTTTGTAATCGAACCACTGATTCTCTTTTTGTTATTTATCAGAACAAAATTTAAATCTTGTGGAACAGAGGCATTCTTATAAGAATTGTACCAAATTTAATCTCTCCCATTAGATATCATGCTTTTCACGCTATTATGGGAGCCTCCCCGAGCAACTGAAATTAACATACTTGGAATTGACGAGTTCACCATGTTTTTACATGAGGCATTTGTTCATTTATTGGTAGCCTACCTGTTTGATGCCCAGTGGCTTTAAGTTTACATCTATCACTGAGCTCCAGCAGTTGTACACGCCTCCAGCTATGGCATAGGGTGCTGCTACCAGCCAGAATGGCCAATGTCTGATACAACATACAAAATTTATAATAAAACATACAATACACAGACATTTAAGATAGGTTAAGTGGAATTTAAATCATTGCAGAAGTGTAGTTGCTAAGTATTTTTCTAGTTTTTGGTCTTAATATTCCTACCAAACTTCATTCGTTTGGATAATTAAGGTAAACTGATGAAAAAATCAAATATATTAATATATAACATGTCCAACAAGCTATTTTAAAGAAAAAGTAGCATATTCATCAAACATTTGCAGATTTGGTCAACTCCCAGGGGAGGGAAGGGGGGGGGGCACTAGTCAACCTTTTGTATAAGAGGGTGCCGCTGAGATATATATATATTCAATTCAATATCTACCCAAATCTAGAGATTTTTTCTCTAACATTGGACCCACATCTAGGGTTTTTCTTAGTAGTAGACCCACTTTGAGGTAATTTAAAAAAAATAAGACTCACTTCTGTTGATTTTTTAAAAGTATACCCATGCCCAATCTAGGGATTTTTTCATCAAAATAGGACACATATCTAGGTGTTCTTCTTCAAAATGGGACTCACATGTAGGGATTTATTGCTGAAAAAGTGACCCACTTTAGCGGCTCGTCCCAATAAAGCCGATATATTGGAGTACCCCCTCCCCCGTAGGTCAATTGGACAATGGATTGGAAAACTTAAATGAACATTTGAAAAATATTTTAAGCCATTTACTCTACCCTTGATTTGCAGAAAATTTAAGACTGGGACTGGATTCTCTCTAGTGAGCACACAGAAAAATTAAATGCATTTAGGTTGGCGTGAGATTGTTTGGTTCTTTAATACATGTATGATCTTTCTGCTCTCTTTTGAAGAATGGTTTATTGTGGTGATGTGAATGTTGGCCTAGATTTTGACTAGTTTGTATAAGGTAGGTTATATGTCTATCGTTGCAGTATAACCCGTGTTTTAGATAGTTTCAATTATTTAGACAACAAGATATTGATTGATGATTATATTTAATGCAGAGAAAGAAATACAGGAGAATGTAAACCTACATGTAAGTGATAACAACTAAAGAGGCTATCAGCAATATTTCTTTTGTATGTGCACTTACGAGAATCTCTAATTACCATACCCTTTTAAATTTCAATTTGGAAACCGCACTGTGCGCCCATTAGAGAGAATACAGCATATTAGAATTTCTACCAATTCAAGCATTTGAGTAACCATTTAGGAGTATCAAAGGCAAAATCAAAAAGACAGTACAATATTTGTGATCTTCAATGTAGTACATGTTTTGAAGAGATGTCTAAATTATAGCGAATTGGGCTCTTGAAAGATAAAAGCAGATAAAATTGAAGATCTTCTGACTACACCTAAGAATGAAATATAAAACTTTTAACTAAGATAAAAATTTGACCCAATTCCCCATCAAAAAGCAAACATACCTTATATCAGACCATATGGCTTTCTTTACTGATAACAGACAAAAATATATAGTATGATAAAAAAAAATGACATTGAATCTTATGCAAATAGTTTATCAAATATAATAGCATTATTATATGAGGGAGAGTGTGAAATATTGAATTATCAGCTCAAGGAAAACAAAGTGCGATATTTTTCCAAGAGGTGATATTTGATGTATCACACTCTCCATCATGTGATAATGCCCTTATCACATGAAAACCTATATACAGGGTGATCCAAAAAAATTGGAACATTTGTTAATTGAACGCAAAACCTTTATTTTTCTTCTAAAATGTACCAAACTTTTACTGAGCATAGTTCAATCACTTATTTATCTGATGTAAAGTTTATAGGTGAAAACCACAAAGTTAATGAATTAAACTAGACGATATTTGATATGACCCCTCTTCTCCTGACCTACAAGTTGAAGCCTGTGGCTCAGATATGTAAATATTCAATTAGTTTGCTGTTCGTTTGTTTTGTCCAAGCCATCTTAATTAAAAATTTCAGCTTGATCAAACTTCCTATTTGTTTCATTGGAAGATCAAATCTAGTAACATTATTCAACATTTTTTACCAAAATTCATGAGTATCAAGCATCTTTTGATGGCTATTGTTAGGTGTTCTACTGATTCAATAGTTCTCCAGAAAGAGGTCGGGGCAGTCTGATTTGACTAGTAAATGACGCCCCCCCCCCCCCTTATTGTTCTGATATGAATAATATTCATTGGAAATATCAATATGTCTATCAATATCATAGAGGAGTCTCCCAGAACACAAATGGTATATTATATATATTATACACTGTATATGTGCTTATAGCGAGATCAATAGTGCAAGAAAACAGGCAAATAGTTCATTCATGGAACGAAGCATGAAACTTTCCACATATCATCAGAATACCATTCCCTTTGATTTAAGAGCCAGAGCCATTTTTGTGGTCCACTAGAATGGTCAAAAAATAGTAAGTACCCCCTCCCACCAAATCCCATGGGGGTGGGGAGATATAGGAATATTTTTTTCATAAAAAAATTTCTTTGAATATGGTCATACTACAGTTTTAGAGTGCTATTTTCATGGTAAAGAAATTTTGCAAACATAACAAGATGATTTATCATTGATTTCCATCATTGTTAAAGACTAATCATGGGCGACGCCCACTTTTCATACCTTGAACATTTAGGTTATCAAATCTCTATCATGGGTTGAACAAATGAATGTAATTCAGTTTTCTGGATAACACCAGATACCTTTTTTGATGTTAGGTGCTATAATTAATCTTAGCATTTGACTTTTTAAAGGCTTACACCACATCACAACCCTGTTTAGAAGAAGAAAGCAAGCAACAAATGTCCCAGATCTACAACATGTATCCACTATTCTATGTACATGTATGTCGAGTCTATTTTCTCCTGAAGAGAACCTATTCTACAGATACAACTTTCCAGAATTTAGATCATGATGTGCTTAAACAGTTTGATGAATGGTGTGCTGACCCAGTGCCTAAACAGTTTGATGAATGGTGTGCTGAGCAACAGAATGTACCAGTATCAGTGAATATTTAGGCTATTAAACCTCTTTCATGGGTTGAACCATTCAGAAGGGCCGCCACAGTCACAGCCTGCAGTCTCTAAATTCTCAAGAGAGCCTATACTACATATACAGCTGTCCAGAATCTAGATAATGAAGTGAAAAACAGTTTGACGAATGGTGTGCTGACCAACAGAATGTACCTAAGTTTTGGTTTCCGATTATTTGAATCGAAATACTGTGCCTTAACTAAGTATGTGCTATCAGAGAGGGCAATTTCCCTCTTTATCTCCAGTCAATGAGCAATCTTATCACCTGTTTTTTTGTTTTTTGACCCTGTCAATATGTTTGCTGAGTACCAGTTCAGTATATCATCAGAACTCAAAGTTCAAAAATGGATAGCTTTTGGAAAAGTAAAAAATTAGAGATATCTCACTTCCCATGAAATTGCAGCTGCCCTTTGACATGGTAGGACTATGTGTCTCCCCTTATTTCTTGCCCCAACAGGTTCAGACACTATATCTGGATTCCAATCATTGAACGTTTTGTTGTGATTTTATACAATAGAGACAACAATGAAATAACTGTAAATGCTGCAAGACGAGAAATGTTCACAAAGAAAACAACTCAAATTGAGAACATCCCACCATAAGTTGCATAAGTTGGTTCCAGACAATTATACCTATGTCAGTCCTTACTTCACCCTCACAATTGAGTTGGGAATCCATTACCACAAAGGCTGGGAAAATAATTTGGGTGCCAGTATTGAAAACATTGCCCAAGCTTCAGATGCATGCCAAATGCTAGTAAAATGCAGCTGCAAACAACAGTGCTCAACAAAAAGATGCAAGTGCTTTTTTGTCATTCTAGTGAACCACAAAAATGGCCCTGGCTCTTAAATCAAAGGGAATGGTGTAGTGATGATATCTGAAAAATTGCAAATGCCCCCTCCCATCAAATCCTGGGGGGAGGGGGAGGGAAGTATTTTTTGTTGATTTCTTTTTTAATATGATCTATATTCATTTTTAGTATGTTATTTTCAGTGTTTAAAATCAATTTTCAAGATTGCATCCTCCGTATTTCTCATGGATATTCATTATTAAAGCTTGACCGAGGGCGACGCCCACTTTATGAACATGTTAATATACAGGTTAATGAGTCTTCTATTATGGATAGGAAATTTACCTATTTTGTGCATTTAAGCACTTCAACACTCTATTATCAGTATCACTGAGGTAGGTGTCATGTCCATTACAATCCCTGCATTTTACTAGCGTTTGGCATGCATCTGAAGCTTGGGGCAATGTTTTCTACAATGGCACCCAAATCATTTTTCCAGCCTTTGCTGGTGTAGTGTCTGAACCTGTGGGAGCATGAAATAAGGGGAGACACATAGTCCTACCATGTCAAAGGGCAGCTGCAATTTCATGGGAAGTGAGGTATTTCTAATTTTTTACTTTTCCAAAAGCTATCCATTTTTGAACTTTTGAGTTCTGATGATATACTGAACTGGTACTCAGCAAGCATATTGACAAGGTCAAAAAACGAAAAACCAGGTGATAAGCTTGCTAATTGACTGGAGATAAAGAGAAAAATTTCCCTCTCTAATAGCCTACACTTTGTTAAGGCACAGTATTTCGATTCAAATAATCTGAAACCAAAACTAAAGACTGGTACATTCTGTTGGTCAGCACATCTTTCATCAAACTGTTTATCACTTCATTATCTAGATTCTGGACAGCTGTATATGTAGTATAGGCTTTCTTGAGAATTTAGAGACTGCAGGCTGTGACTGTGGCTGCCCTTCTGGTTCTGGTTCAACCCATGAAAGAGGTTTAATAGCCTAAAGTTCAGCATATGAAAAGTGGGCGTCGCCCATGACTAGTCTTTAACAACCAGGGGTTTCAATAAATATTTTTTCAACAGGCTTTTTGGCAATTTCAACAGGCTGAAACTTATTTCACTTAAAATAACTTAGGGTAAGGTAAGTAACAGTGAATTTTATTTCTACATATTTGAACAGGCGTAATTGAGATTTGAACAGGCGTTTTCGCCACCCGCCTGTGCTTATTGAAACCCCTGAACAACTATGAAAATTAAAGAGAAACCATCTGGAGAGGAAAATTCTCCTGTCCTATAGCCCTCACATAGTCAAGGCACAGTATTTCAATTTGAATAATCAGAAACCAAAGCTTGAAGACTGGTACTTTCTGTTGGTCAGCACGGCATTCATCAAACTGTTTAGGCACTTGGTCAGCACACCATTCATCAAACTGTTTAAGCACATCATCATCTAAATTCTGGACAGTTGTGTCTGTAGCATAGGTTCTCTCAAGGAGAGTATAGAGACTCGACATACATGTACATAGAATAGTGGATACATGTTGTAGATCTGGGACATTTGTTGCTTGCTTTCTTCTTCTAAACAGGGGTGTGATATGTCACCGCACTTCTTGTGATTTGTCTTTGACCTATGACTGCTGACCTATACCGCGATTACTAGAGTGCTGCTAACTCGATAAAAGGCTGGCACTGGCTAGAATTGTCTATGGTTCTAGCCAGGATAAAGATACCAGTTCTTCAACTCGACAATGGGAAGATCTGCTCTACCTTAGTGACTAATATGTCATGATATGACATCTAAAGAGTCAATAAAAGATATATATATATATATATGGTCTAAGCCTTTAAGAAGTCAAATGCAAAGATTAATTATAGCACCTTACATCAAAAAGGTATCTGGTGTTATCCAGAAAACTGAATTACATTCATTTGTTCAACCCATGATAGAGATTTAATAACCTAAATGTTCAAGGTATGAAAAGTGGGCGTCGCCCATGATTAGTCTTTAACAATGATGAAAATCGATGATAAATCATCTTGTTATGTTTTCAAAATTTCTTTACCATGAAAATAGCACTCTAAAACTGTAGTATGACCATATTCAAAGAAATTTTTTTATGAAAAAAATATTTCGATATCTCCCCACCCCATGGGATTTGGTGGGAGGGGGTACTTACTATTTTTTGATCATTCTAGTGGACCACAAAAATGGCTCTGGCTCTTAAATCAAAGGGAATGGTATTCTGATGATATGTGGAAAGTTTCACGCTTCGTTCCATGAATGAACTATTTTTGCACTATTGATCTCGCTATTAGCGTTGGTTTTTAATAAAACTTTGTGAATAACTGGTCAGTTTTCCCTTTACTGAAAAGTGGGAACAATTCTTTTGTCACTTGAGTAGCTGTGAGGGTTATGCAATTGCACCTCTGACATGTTCCTTCTTCCCTACTCTTAAATGAAAATGATCATTTTGGGTTTTGTTTAAGTTAACACAATTTTTTTCTGGCAAACCCCAGATGTAAATACCCTTTGTCAACTGAATATGATTTTATAAAATATTTATAGCAATTAACATGTGCATTAAAGCTTTGAAATAAATGATACTTGAAAAAGTAGCCGCGGAATTGACAAGTGTATATTTAAGAAAAGAGGGTCCTATCAAACATTGACTAGTTCAATGCATTAACTTTGTGGTTTTCACCTATAAACTTTATTTTCAGATATATAAGTGATTGAACTATGCTCAGTAAAAGTTTGGTACATTTTAGAAGAAAAATAAAGGTTTTGCGTTCAATTAACAAATGTTCCAATTTTTTGGACCATCCTGTATAGTTAAAACATTTAACACTCACAGACACATTTATAAATTTCAAAATTCTGAACATTTGAATATCTTTCTTCTATTCATTAAAAATGTATTAACATACCGATTGATTTTTTTTACACAATTTCAGTACCTTCTTTTCAAGTCGCTGCTGTCTTTGCTTTGCATTAGTTCATTTACTGTTTACATAACTATTGCTCAATTATACTCTGTTATCAAAGGAATCAATCAAAGGATCCAACAATCAGCATTTTCCATTTTATTGATGAAACAAAACATATTTTAAGAATAAAATATTTCATAACTGCTTTGATATTGAAAATACAAATTATTTTTTTCTTTTTTGACTTCTTCATGAGCAGTGGGATTTTTACAAAGACTAAATTCACTTTTCGCAAAGAATTCATTTGTATAATTTTGTCTAATTGTAGAATAGATGTTTGACAAATGAGTACAGTATGTTAATTGCATCATGTTCAACATTGTCTATACAATATATGTTGTCTTAATGTTACAAGAATTCAATATCACTATAAAAATTTTGCAGTCTCCTACTGAATACAAAATCCAGTTATTTTCTTATTTCATTGTACTGCCAATTATCGTTTTCCTAAAAATTCAATGACTCTGGCACAATCGTTGATACTATGAACCATATGCATTTCTCTCTTCGTTAATTCATTCTGCCATTTGTTTGAGACCTTCTTTGAATTGCGTTTAGTGCCAAAAGGGCTAGAGTCACGTCCTGACACTGTATTTTTCTTTATCCAATCAGCAACTCCATCATGAAATGGAATATTAATAAACTCATACAACTCCTTTGCATTTCCTAATGGATCATGAGCAATGTGTTCATACTGAATCAGTTTTATCAATGGCATATTACGTAATTGAGATGCTGATTTTCTGGTGAGTCCCTGCAGAAATTCATAATTTGCTAAATGCTTCTTGCACAATTCGTTCATGTCTCTAACTTTGCCAGCCATATTCATATATATATAAGGAAACTGTTTCCTCGAATTCAGTACACCCCTAGGATCTCTGGTCAAGAAGAACAAAGCAGTGTCACTGCCTAGAACACCAGCAACACGCTCCAATGACTCTGCACGGATTACTTTTATCGCTTTTATCTTTTTACTGGCACACTGGTGTGGAATACTTTCAAAGTCATCAACACCACGAAAAGTTACTTCCCATTTGAATTCTTTATGATCTTTTAACCTTGACAGAAAATCATTGTTATCGAAATCACAATTCAATATGTCTTTTATGTATGCATTTTGTATTATGGTATTGTCTTTGGGATGATCGCAGTGTTTTGAGCAGTCACAAGCACGCAGTGGCTCATACATGTAAAACACATCTGGATGCTGCGAAAATAATTCAGAGACGAAAGTTGATCCACTTCTCCAGTATGTGAAAATCACGATTTTTGTTATATTCCTACGATTTGTTGAATCTGGTAACTTTGCCAAACCTTTAGTACTACAGTGACCATCATTCGTAAATGTTGAATATATTTCCGTTGTTCTGCTTGTGTAAGATATGACATAAATCATAAATATAGCATTAGTAAAAAGAGCTAGAGAGATTAATCCACATTGTCTTTTCTTCCATCTACCCATTGTTCCATGAGATACTTCAACTGTGTACTTAATAAAAGTGTTTAAAATTTGTGTTTATAAGTAAAAACCTCTACCGTCTTCTGTTATGTCAACTAATATCCTGAAATTAATCTGCAGCGTAACAGCTTTATTTTATTAACACTCACTAGCAATACTTGAGCGAGTCAGATCTTCTATTGAAAGCCCATGGTTTTTCTAAAAGTTTCCCAAAGTTTAAAACTTAACATCTATGTTCATATAAATGAAGAAATTTAGATCTACTATTTGGATGGATTATTTGCAGCTTAACTTTATGCAATAACCCTTCACAAAAGAGGAAAATGGTAATTCTATAGATTAGCAAATCTCAATGAATGGAATCAATAAGTTTGAATAATCTTGAAATATAATCTTGAAATAACCCATATATGTACATGTATGTTAAATATCCTGTTAAGAGGTTTAATCCTAGTATAGTACAAAATGAAAATATTTTTCATTGTAGATGTTTCTATATAGGTTTTATATCATATAACAGTATAAGGAATAATGAATAAAAAATTGGGTGTCTTACTGTCTAATGGTAATATCAATTAACAAATGTGATTCAACATTGTTCATAAATGAAGTTAGTTCAGACGACAAACTAAAATAGATACCAATTCTTTTTGATACTCAACTTTTTGGCAATTAAAAGTCCCTGCCTGCATTAAGTAGTTATATATTGTCCTGTGCATAATTTTGAAACCTTATCCTAATTTTTTCACAAAACTTTTGTTGATTCTGCTATAGTTTCCTATTTGTAAACAGCATTTAGCCTTTTTAATTGGGAACTCTTTTGAAATTTCCAAAATAATTCTATATAATTCTAGAATTCTGGATTAATGAACCACATTGATCATTATTTTTACATGTTCTTAAGGCCTTTATAAAATATCAAAATATCGTTAATCTAATCATTCAAATATTATTTGCCATGCCTTTAACAAATTGTTTGATACATTTTTGAAAAGCACTTCTCATATTTAATATATTTCTGTGCCAATAGGTTGACAATAGACTACAACGAGAACTAAAATCCTAAAATGTATTTTTCTCCTGATCAACTTTCTGCGAAAGAGATTTCCACACAAATTATATAAGGATATATGCTCTTATGGTGCAGATTACTTCATGATATAAAATTCATATTATTGAATAAATCAATGCATGCATGTGCCAACCAAAATTTAATTTCAAATGAGTTTACAATTCTTGGGACAAAAATCCTTCAAAAGCAAATTTGAAAAAAGAATTGTGTATCACATTTTGATAGTACATCAGGTACGATTACAATGTACGCCAATTTAGTGGTTTAATCTTTTTCTTGATGATGTCTTGAACATTTGGAGGATGAATTAAATGAATCAAGAAAGTATCATTACTATATACTTAGAGGTTATGTCACTATGACGTGAAATATGCCTGAGTTCTCCCAATATAGGCCGACCTTGGGAGGCTCTATATTTGGGCAAGAACGAAGGCATATTTCACGTCATAGTGACATAACTGATGTATTACATGCCTTTGTTCCCATGGTTACTTTGTATCAATGACGTGACGTCATGATATTATCATGGTTATTAAAGAAATCTAATATCAAAACGAGGTAAGCGGGCTATATCGGGGTAATCGGGCAATATCGGTGGATATAGCTCGCTAACTTTCCCATTGACTTCCATACAAATGCTTCGCTAGGTATGTAATACATGTAAATATAATACAATGTCATATACATGCATGTAGTACAGCTTATTCAATAAGCTAATTTTTCTTTATCATCCATGTACAAGTCAAATATTACATAAGTCATACAATTACAATACTCACTTGAGCAAAGCAGAGAGTCCTTTCTTAAACTCCATCCTTTCAGTGGCAGCTGATATACTGGGCGGAGATGGCGGTTTGGCAGGAAAATATATCAAAATCAACAACATCAAGACTGCCATGAATCCGAACTCTGAAATACAAAATGACAATAATCATTCAGTCATTTGCATAAGTCACTGATCTGTTGGGGAAATTTTTACATTCTTTTTAAAAGTGTTGTAAAAATGTAATAAACAGGGTGTCCCAAAAGTATGCCCCCCCCCTAGGCAGACATATACTAGTGTCTTCATAGTATGTGTCATATATCATTTTAAAACTTATCCAAAGTTACATTGATTCGCCAAGTATCATGGTTCAAGCCTCAAATGTGAAAAGATTACAGACATTTAAAAATTTGGTGTTTGGCCCAAATTTTACACCAAATCACTAGTCAAATGTGTCCTCCCATGCCATCTAACAGCAGCGATACTTTTTGGGTCAGATGGATATTGAGTTGGAAAGGGGAACGCTGAGGGTAGATACTCCAGGGAAACTCTTCTAAACTGCTTTAAAAGGTCCCATATTTTCGAGGCACCCTGTATGTATTATATGATAAATGAATTTGTTCAAAATGAGGCAAAAGTAGCAGAACTAGCCAGTATGGATCCCAATAAAATGGATATGAGCTTTAGATCTGACATTTGTTCATAAATTGTTGACAGACAGACAGATGTTGGGACAGAATCACAAACTGACCAGAAGATGAACAGATGGACAGAAAAGTTGGGTATTCCATATGCTAATTAATCTGCATGTAAGATTCATCTGAGTCCATTGACCTTACCTATGTACATGAGTTTCATGATGTCTTGCCTTTGAGCATTCACTTCTTCTGTATCTGTAAGTAAAATTATGGATGACTTCACGTAAATACAATTCGTAACAGTACTATTTCTCAGACCTCCAAATATAACTACATTGTTAATTTACATAGAGTGTTCATCGGCTGCATTCTGTTGTCACTGATTACATTTAGCTATTTTTAATGAACACTATTTATCATGATAAAAAGCTACATTCAATGATCATTCTTCTATACCAACATTCAATGAACACACTTTGTGAAAACTTCAAGTTCTTTAGATACATGCTTTAGGACATATAATTTCAGTGAAGTGAACACTTATGTCTACACTTTGAATATCATTCTTTATTGGTTTCGTTGAAACTTCCAATATTCAGTATTCCAATATTTTTGACTTACTTGTATGATTTGTGATATTGTGCAGCCTGTAAAAGAGAAAACAATGAAACATATTAAGTATATCAAGTCGATGGTATAAATAGTAGAAAATCTGGAACAGCTAGAAAAACAGCAACTCCACTGAGTAGCAAATCCCACCAAACAAAACATATATTGAGACAAACAATAAGTTGCCATCTTGAATTTTCATCTTGAGCAGCTAGACCTCGTTTATCTCTAAGCATCATTATATAAAATTTGAATGGCTTTCCTATATCCCCCTCGAACTTCGTTAGGTTGGATAATGACAAGACTACGCAAAAGAAATTAGTTCACAAGCTATCTACCTAAACTCTTGGTAAATCTAAATCTCCCAAAAAATTGAGAAAATAAAAGATAAACCAAGTGTACTTACATGCCAGTTGTACTATTGTCCAATGTATTGTTTGTAAGCTCTCTTACTAGCAAAGGACCTAAAGAATATGAATAAAGTTGGCATAAGCATAATTACACTGACTTACATGTAGTGCAACATTTCAATTTTTATCTAATTTTGCTATATTTCAGCTAGCAACATGCTCTGATTTAAAATTGAAGTATGAACTGAGATGAAAGACATAAATTTTGCTGGATTTAGGAATCAGCCAGATCCATCAATCTAACACAAATTATCAAAGCATCGATCCGAAGACAAGAGCAGAATGAGATTACATGGTTTAGCATGATGATAGTTTGATACTCTGAAGGTTTTATAAAGTCTCAGCAATAAAATAAAAATTAGATGGGAAATTATCTAAAATTATTTCATTCTAGCTCAGAAAATATAAATCTTAATGTGAATACCTATACAATAGTCCTATTCGCGTTAGGAAATTACTGGTCATTAACATAAATATTTCCCGCAATGCAACACGATAACATGGACAATTTTCTATTGGTCCACAAAACACAACGTCATAGGCATTATCCCGATCCAACATTAGTACATATGTATAATAATATTCTATAATCCAGACAATAATTAGAAAAGAAGATGGAAATTCAATTTGCTTCGATTATTTTTTCTATGGCGTCTGAGCAAGTTCCGGGAACTGACCAACTTCCGGGAAATCTGTGACGTCACTTGAATTTTAAACTTACGATTTTGACGATTCTGGTGAATATATTTTTAAAAAACTTGTCAAATGTCTTTATAATGATCATATCTATCGTATGTGCAAATATAATTCATGATAAACCTCTAATAAAGTCACAATGTGTCATTGAAAAACACAGCCAATGTTATTCCAATGGGAAAGTGCCCGGATATTGAGAAAGTTGTACCATGAAACTGAACTCTCCAACGCGGAGATAAGAATATTTCGCACGTTAAAAGTTAGCGCGTATAGGTATATTACATGACATGTATGTGCTTTTCTGTCTGTGTCTATCTTGTGTTGTGACTAAGCTAAAATAAAGCAATTCTTAAACAAAGTTCCTATACTAGGTGCAGGGTACTCAAAGGCATGATTCTTGAAAGCTTTTGAATTGTTCTGTCCCCTGGCAAAAAGTTCTGAGCATTTTATGATTAATTGCACAAGCGATTTTTTGACTATTTTTTTACCAAAATTGTGACAAATGAATTCCCTTGGAATTTTATAAAAAGAAACCCAATAGGCAAAAGTGAATACTGCTACCATCTTGTCCTAACCAACTTTTAAGACAATTAGATTATATGGCTCTTCAATAGCTTTCATGGTACAACATTTATAAAAAAGATTGCCCTATGATGTCACACTTATATAATGTCCTTATAGCTAACAAGGGAGAGGGACCTACCTATAACAAATGAGACAGCTGTGCCAAAGCCTGCTCCAAAGACTGTAGAGATGGCAGTGGCGGTGGTGCGTTCGTGGGGTGGAAACCATGTCACAGAGAGGACGGGAGGAGCACCCATTACTATTGGTCCAGCAAAGCCATTAAGTGCGTGGCCAAGATTGATAAGCCTATGAATTACATCAAAATGCCAATCAGATCATTTTGCTTTGGACTATTTCATTTAGAGTCAATATGTTAATAGAATCAATAGCTACAATGTGATATTAAACCGCAGAGGATTTGGGAGAATCTGATGCGATTATCAACATGAACATATATTTTCATGCTTATGTACGTATAGTCAGATCTTGATCAAATGATAATTGCACATTGTAGAAAATGTATTAACAAATTGACCTTAATTTTTCTGCTTCTGTGCTCCAATTGCAGTGTTGAGTGAAACATTACCTAAAAATGGACATACAGAGCATGGACATACATGTGAAGTACATGTAGTGTATGATAATTTGGAAATCATGGAATAGTGTCATGCACAAAAGCAGTTGAGAAGCATCATATGTAGGGTGTAACGTTTATTCAAATGAGATCAACCATCAATGACTAACCTATTACAAAAGATGAACCAACTCCTAAACCAATACCAAATATCGTGCCAATTGCAGTGGCTGTTGTTCTCTCATGTGGGGGAAACCACACAATAGAGATGATAGGTGGACCCCCTTGACAGATAGGACCAGGGAGACCATTCAAGATGTGCCCCAAGTGGATCAACCTATAAATTAACATATTATTAATTCAACTGGGGGTTAAAGACTTTGATCTTAGAATTTGCATCTTTGATTTTTCTAGAAATCCCAAAAACAATAACCAACCATCAGACAGAGGTCTGGAGACTTTAAAATGATTAAAAGCAAGGAGCTCACACATCTTGAACTCACAACCTCATGGTTATGGCAACATCACCTAGCCTAGTGTGTTCAGTGCTCAAGACCGCTCGGCTAACTCAACAACGACAACCCCAAAAAGTCAGGTACACTGCTTGGGCAAAGTACTCAAGCAAGGGCAAGGAAAATAGGAAGGAAAAGCAAATTAGAAGGACTAATTATGAAGCCTGAAACTTGAACACAAACCCACCTATAATAAATGCAGTTGCTATACCAGAAGACCCCAATGCTACTGCTATAGCTGTTGCTGTGACTCTCTCATGGGGAGGGAACCACACAATGGATATTGAAGGAGGGCCACCCATTACAATAGGGCCTGTTAATCCATTCAATATCTGGCCCAAATGAATCAACCTATAACAAAAAAGTTTTCTCATTGATTTTCAATTCAACTTATCATCAATTCGATTTTGAATGTCTATCACACATTTTGAACACCCAAACTACATGTCTGGAACACATAATTATACAGATGACCTTGTTTTGGACACCAGAAGATAATATCATGGTAACTATTCTTAGTCTCAATGTCCAGAAGTTTCACAAAATATGAGTGTAACAATTCTAACCCCATGTCAGAATAATAGAACAATGTGAAATCAAGGTTATTTTGGTCAGCCTTAAATATTTCTATTTAGATTTGTGCAGTTATGTGGTTCATCATACCATTGGAAAGCTGACAATCTAAATGATGTAACAGAAAATCATATTAAATGATTGTAAAACAGCTACATTGTTCTCAACAGGATTTTTTCTCAACCAAATATGCCAATTTTTCATGATTTTTGTCTTTTTCAAGTGGTTGCAAATGTATTTTCAGGTGGGTACAACCCTGTTTTCAAAATCTCAGGTGGGTGCTGCACCCATTTGCTTTAATGATGGGGAGATCACTGAGCTATATGCATGCAGGATGGTTGTTAAATATGGCGTGCATGTTGTATAAGGATGATATTAGTGAAAATGGAGGAAATGCCTATGAAAGATTTTTAGCCTACTTCTAGGTTCAGCCATGGGCCTTTCTTGAAAGCCCATGGTTCAGCTTAGGCTGTATTGTGTACCTATAATGAATGAAACTCCCACTCCCATGCCATTCCAGATCTGAGAAATAGCAGTGGCAGTAATTCTCTCATGGGGTGGGAACCAATGTGCTGACAATGCTGGGGGTCCTCCCATTGCAATGGGTCCACCGAGACCATTTAGAAAGTGACCCACATGTATTAGCCTAAAGACAACCATTTTGAATTAAATATTCCTTGTTTTGTGAAGAATTGATGTTTCCACTGTTTCTCACTCAAAACACTGACATTAGGATTAGAAATGAACTGTTAAATTAATTATGCAGAATTATAAATTACATGAAATACAGTGTATTCTTAAATACAGTATACTATCACATTTAGTGCATTCTGGTGATAAGCCATTAGATGACAAGGTGAAAGAACTTTCACGGGGGATTACCAAATAAAAATGGGAATGAGTCACCAAGACAATTGAGAGCAATAGCTGTGGCTGTTGTACGTTGGTACGATGGAAACCATGTCTGAGATAATTTAGGTGGACCTCCCATACATATGGGACCTGCTAACCCATTGAGTATTGCACCAATGTTCATCGTCCTATATTGTATATTGTGTTTGATATACTATTCGATATATTCCAATATTTCATTCTGGTAAACAATTCCCAAGTTTACAAAGATAGGAAATGTAATTATCAAAATTATTTTTAACCAAACAATGTTTATTTATGCATTTTAAAGTAAAAATTGAAAATGATCAACTTAACTTCATGTACTGTACATGTACATGTATTCTAACATCCATGCATTTTGATAAGCCCCAAGTTATAGATTTTAATGTTTCAGTATTTTGCTGAAATTTTAAGCAATTAATATGCCTACTCAACATAACTTGGACAAATAAACTAAATTATATTAGTTTACTAACTAAGTTTATTATAGTTTTACTTACCACTTTGCATGTGCTGGGTCTGATGTGATACACCGTATTCCTGTTCCAAAGAACACCAGAGCTGCAGTAATGAGAGTGGCCCATCTTAAACCTGGAATAATCATGTAGTTATCAGTATGTGGTGTAAAAGGTAACAGGTTAAAGTATCAAAAAGGCAAAAGAAAACTGAATTAAAAACTGTGTATAGGGGAAAAAACTTTCATCTTTTATCTACAAGACCATGCAAAAAAAGTCTGAAAATATTGATTGGTTTGTCAATGGTGATGATATACTTTTGGGTACATTTTTTTGAGACACCTATACTTCATGTAGGTGAAACAATCTGAAGGTAGAAAAATAAATAATTGTTTTCTCAAATTAGTCATCCACGCAGTGCTTGAAATAGACGTCTGACGCCAGCCATCGACCAGACAAAATAATTAATAGAAGGCTTAAAATAATTAATAGAAGGCTTGTTTTGATACGACACCCCAGACATATAGGCCAGCCAGACATTTGTGACACCTGTTAGATTGCCCATGAATAGAACTTACATTTCATCAGTGTGGAAATCCTACAAATTCCCCACATTTTCTGCCTTTTTCATCTTGACTTGTTGAAACGTGAAAATATTCTCGTACCCAAGCTCACGTATATATAACATGACTTTTGATTGGCTGTTGTTGGTTGAAACTACTGTACTCCTTAATTCCTGAACTGCCAGGAATTTTGCATGTGGTATAATGGATAATCTGGCACATCATTTTATCTGGCCAATAAATGATTATATCTCATTTACATCTTTTAAAGTAGTGATACTTTTGGTCACATACTTATACCAAAATTGTCTTACCTTTTACATCAACGAGCCAAGAGAAGAAGAGTGTTGAAATGACATAAGTAATAGGGCCCCAATTTGTCAACAGTGCTATATCTGCATCATTCCATCCAAATGCACTTTCAGCTGAATCTGCGATTGGTCCAAATGTGTTCCAGACTCCTCCTTGAGTAAATGTCAAAAAACTGAACAGTAACAAAATATACCATCTCCGTTTATAAAGTTTTATGATAGGTGGTTTATTGACATCAACTGATCCTGGATTGACTGTTTCTACTGCAACATCTGGGTCGCCATTAAGTAGGGGCCTCTTTTCTTCTTCAGCCATGATGTCAGTTCTGTCCATTTAAACACTCTTTAAGTCATCAGCACAAGTTGTACTTTCACTGAAACAAACAGAAAATATTTTTAATAAAATTTAGATCTCATACTTCTATTGAGGTTTCAGGTCAATTGTTGGATTGTAGGTTAAATACGGTTGTACATGTGAGATAAGATTTAAATATTTGTATTCTGACACATAGTCTAGATATAAATGCAGGCCTGTCAACTGTCCCGCAATTTGCGTATTTGTCACGCATTTGCTGAAGAATTTGAAGTCACGCCAGTTTTTTTTGCGTGACACAAAATGTCATGCAAATACGCATTTTACCTGGTAATTGTCACGCAAATATGTTTCTGTAAAATTTTTTTCAAAATATGTTTATGATACGGTAAAAATACGAACGTCGGAAAAAAACGAACGCAATTTGTTCGGATTTGTCACGCGAATCCCGTATATGTCACGCATGTTCATAGGAAATTTTCGTACCTCCCCCCCCCCCCTGTTGACGACATCGCGAGTGTAGCGAGCGCGAAAAATTTGAGGTGATAAAAGTTTAGGCAAAGGTGCTCAAACTTTGGCCAAAGGTGTTTAAAAGTTGGCCAAAGGTGTTCAAAATTTGGACAAAAGTGTTCAGATTTGGACTTCGGTGTCCAACATTTGTAAGTCACTCATATTAGGTGGTCCCAAGTTGACAGCCCTGTAAATGTAACGTTTTATCTTAATGTCAATGCATGTAATTCTGTTTAAATAAAGATCTCTAGTTATTTCAAAGACACTAAATACACCTCAACAACTGCATGTAAAGGGTTGCCCAAAAATGGGTACAGAATGATAACTAAATTAACAAGAGACTGAAATGCAAATTGAGGTTATTATTGATTTTTTATTCCAAATAACATATACAGTAAAACCTGAGGACAAGAAATGCTCTCTGGACAGGACAAACTGTTCCTTGTCGACAGGTGTTCCATATAGAGAGGGTCCATGGGCTAACTCAAAAAAGGCTGAATAAGCATATATTTATTATTATGAGCATTTTATTCTGCGATTATTCTGCATCTGTTGATGTCTAGATGATGAATTACTGAAGTGATATGTAGAAAGATGCTGCTAATAACTGAAATTCAAGTTTCGTCCACCCTATTTTTATGGTGTTCATAATCTGCAAGTTTGGATCATCAAAAAATTGAAGAGAATTTGGCTCAACATGATGCAAATACATTTCTATTATCTCCAAAAAAACAATTGTGTCAATCACTAGATTTTCTCAACTGGTCAGTTGCAGTCAAGCTTTGTTGAAAGAAAGCATTGGTATGATGGCAATTTGCAAAAAATGTCAATTTGAAGCAAGTTGAAAGATACCTTTTTGACCTTTTTTACCTTGAAAAGGTCGTTGAAGGTCAAATCTCAAAGCTAAAGTCAGATTTGAACTTCTGAGAACATGTAGCTGATTTTGAAAACATTTGAAAGTTATCGGAAGTTGTAAGAATTTGGTACAGACACTAGACACAACTGCCACACACCATCACAAAAAACGGAGACCATAACAATATGTCACATGCACTTGGTAAAGAACCCCCCCCCCCCCCCTAAAGAGTATGGGACCACCCTGCAACACATAGATTTAAATAAAACACTATTTTTATCCAGGGTAGATATCGATCTTATTATCTGATGAAAACATGAGTTCAGATACAAGACTCAATATCTATTCACTTAGATAAATAAATCATGATTTAAAATGGAACTGGCTGAGCTCCTCGATGAATATTGCATGATTTCGATCCAAGAAAAATGGCGATATTCGAAAATTGGACGAAATGTCGTTATTGTCTGACTAATTAGTAACTGGCTGTAAATTCTAAGTTAGCGATCCAGAAGATGTGAACTAATACATTGATCACTTCATGTGTGTTTTGGAATTTTTGGTAGGGTACATGTAATAAGACCAAAACATGCAATTCAAATTGTGATGTGGAAAAATGGCGAACATTTGATATCAAATTTTATGACTACGACATGACCTGTTTACAGCATTAAAAAACATGCAGGGATTTATCTTTGGACTAAGGCCACAATATAGTGCAGACCCCCCGAGACTATGTGGACCCCCCTCCCCCAAAGCGAGAAAGAACTGAAGGCAGGGTTCAGCTGATATCAGCTGACACATGTACGCGAAACCTACATTCATAATCTGTTGTGTACTAAAAGAGATAACATGACCTTAGCAGGTGATGCTGACGTCACTATAGTGTGCTGACCCTCTGAGAATAAAGTAGTTCATCTAAATTCTAATGTTATATTGTCTATTACGAACCTTAAATACATAGCATCAGGCCTGTCAACTTGGGAACATGAGTGACTTGGAAATGTTGAACACCTCCCCTCAAAATGTGGACACCTTGGTCCAAATCTGAACACCTTGATCCAAATTTTGAACACCTTGGTTTAAATTTTATTGCATCTTGCCAAATTTTGAACACCTCGCTTTTCAAAGGTACATCAACGGGGGGGGGGGGGGGGTAGACTATATCCTTTAGTCTGAAATTTTTTTGAAATTTGGAATGAAAATATTCAGACTATAGCCCATATATGTTAAAACTTGGGATTGAAAATGATTTGTTTACATAGGAAGTGCCATTCAAAATGGCCGACTGGTTAAATTAATTTGCATATTTGTTACTTCCCCTAGCTTTATTTCCATTTGACAATATGCTGTGTTACTTTTTATAGCATTTAATTGTACCTTACTAATTAATTGAATTCTTTTAATGCTTATTTTGGGGAAGTGAAGTTTCCTAAAATTGATAATTGTGTGCAGGAAATTTCCTGTTTTTTCCCAGGAAATTCAGTCTATTAGATATAGACTAGGGGGGGGGGGGCGGGTAGGTACGAAAAATTCAGAACGGAATGCGTGACATATACGTTTTTTTGGCATGGTATTTTTGCTGTATCAACAACTTTTTTAGAATTTTTTCTACAGAAATATTTTTGCTTGCCAATTAGACTACCAGGTACAGTGGGGGACAAAAATAAAACTCAACATTCACAAGTTGTCACAATGAGCTTATTTCCAAGTTTCGTGTCTCAAACTCTCCCAAGCGGTAGAAAAATAATTCCCGTTCACTAAAGTAGCACAATAAATGAATCCAAAGCTTCATACCTGCAAATAATGGATAAATCCCTACCAAATCGAATGAATGTTTTCATGAATCGCCATGTTTGTTATCCAAGGACGGTTGACTCCCAGAATGCAACATCAATTAACCGTATTTACTCATGACAGGTTTCAAAATGGCGGAACAGCATTTTGAAAGCTGGCACATGTCATGTTGCATTCTGGGAGCCAATCCTCCGTTCCGGCGCAATCGGGCAACAAAATCACCTCAACATTTGAAGAGTCGGCATAACATGTGAGTATCCAATTCAACTTTTGAAGTTCTTATTTGTCATTAGGGACACAAATTCCACTATATTTGGACTTACTAAAATGGAGAAAATAGAGCACTGAATACACTGAGGTAAGAATTTATTACATGTGCGACAGCATGTAATTTTCATAGCTTTTGCAATTCTTTATGATCCCCACTGTAAAATGCGTATTTGCGTGACATTTTGGGTCACGCAAAAAAAACTGGCGTGACTTCAAATTCTTCAGCAAATGCGTGACAAATACGCAAGTTGCAGGACAGTCGACAGGCCTGTAGCATAATCCATACCACAGTGAACAGAGTTTGAGTTATTTTGGGATAGAAATTCTATCCAAAAATAGAATGTCAAAAATGATAAAAAAAAATCCTCACAAGTCAAATGTCACAGGAATGAATTAGTCTGATGAAAAATATACAAAGCATTGAGATCTATACTTACTCTATGAGATAAATAAACCGTATAGTTGACTTTGTAAAGACATGTGACCAATGAAGTACGTTTGGTTGCCGGTTGTGAATGCTCGAATACTCCCCTAAAATTTCCAAAACTCATCACATGAAAACTTGACCTAATTCTGAAGTTCCCGGGAATCACATCATTGTTTTCATTTTATAATACTGAAATTGAAGGAAAAAAATCTTAATAAAAGAAAATTGTAACATTATTAAAACTCCCTAAAATAACAATTTCAATTGCTAATCGATATTAATCTGACAAAAAGTTAATAAACTACTAGACTAAATAATACTGAACGAAAACGAAAAACCGAACAGAATTGTGGGAAAAACTGAAAAAATCTTCAACGTGAAAATTCTAACAAATTCCTTCGAATATCACACAACGTAGGTATAATTTATTTCTCTTCACATTGTTTCGTGGAAGTTAAAATGTTACTTACTGTGTTAACATCATTTATGTGCTGTTTGAGTGCTCAATTTCTAATATCTATGCCTTTGTTTTACGTGGGTGATAATAAGCCATCTTTTTCATTGACATGTTGACTCACAATGAATACAATGTTGATGATTAGCCTATTAGGAAAAATGTAAGTTGGTTGCGCAATATTATATAGGTCGTATTATATATCCTATTTTTGTAATGATGTCTACCTAGCCTTTTCTTTGTACAGTATTCCGACCTCAGTTCACGGGCCATTCGGTAGGAATAATAGTGCAGGGGAGGGGCCTGCGTATATGAAACAAAAAGGCAGTCCATAAATGGATAATTGTGGGATAGTAAAATTTTGAAAAATCATCGAGAACAGTACTTCAACCATTACCTTTTATTCATTCATCAGTTGGTACCTAGTATGTATCCAACGAACCGAATATAATATTCGGTCTGTTATGATTGATACCTTTGGCATGGAAATCGCGGCGATATTTTGTGCACATAAATTTCTCGTTTATTACAAGAATGTTCACCTTGAAAATTGGTGAATATGTTAAGAGATGTTCATCTTAAACTAGAAGCAAAAATATCTGTATAAGGTGGGTACAAGTTGATATAAAATAATGAAATGTTCAGACTCACCAAAACTTCAGGATGTGTTCATAAGTAGATCGCGAAATCAATGTCAAGAACGTTTGAGTTCACGAGATCCAAACGAGATATGCAAATTTTTGAACTTTGACTTTTAACTTCAAACACATGACCACTTGATTACCGTGGCCTTCTTCATGAATATTTCCGCTCTATTTACTATAAATGAAGAAAATTAATCGAGATAATGATCATAAATGACTAGATCTAATATATTCCCGCACAAATAGAATTTATCAATACGCTTCCGTAATGTTGCTCTGTCCGCTCCACGTGTTATTTGTTTACAAATAGACTGACGTCACTAGCTAAATCTCGTTTATCGTGAGAATAGGCATTGCCAAAATGGCTTGACCTAATCAATGGCTTCGCTACAAGAAGCGTCTGTACATTTTATGAATATCTTCAGTAAGAGGACAATATACGAATAATTAATATTGTAAGTTCTTTATAAGGTAATCATTTTATCATTAAGCAAACTTATTTGTAACATTTATACAACACCACATTTTACAATAGGTGACTTACAGTCTGAATTTATTCAGACGAAGGATACAGTCTAAGTTGGTACCCACCATCACAGTTTGAGCGCTGCCGTTTCATTTTCTGTTTACCTGTCAACTCAGTTTGGTGCCCATCACCTCAATTATCCAGTCCAATACTAGGGGCCCCCAATCAGATCACAACATTTTCTTGTAATTTCCGGGAAATTTGAGTTGACAGCCCAATAGTATCACCCATTTCAGATTAATTCCCAAGAGCTGCTGAAGTGATTAATGTTGATCCATATTTCCTCCTATATCACTTATGCATAGGCTTAATTTTATTATGAATATACAGGTAGTCATGGCTCGAGGTCAGCAAAAGATTCAATCTCAACAGAAAGCACAAGAGGCTGCTGCCAAAAGGAAGAAGGCTTCTGGACCAGACCAGAGGAAGGCCGCACAAAAAGCCTTAACGATTTCATGTAAAGTTTGCAAGGTAAGTTTTTTTTAAATGTCCATTCAGATCCCATTGATCAATTAATTATGAATATAATTTTTGGCTACTTTTTGTTTTTGGTTTATTTTTTTAGTTTGTTCAAGCTGAAAGAAACTCTTCAGTATGGGTCCAATTCAAAATTAAATAAGAATGCTTTTATAGAATGCACAATTGTACCAATATACAATGATCATACAATTTGTAATGTAATACATGTTTTCTGATTTTTGCAGTCTCAGATGCCTGACCTAAAAACTTACAAACAACATTTTGAAAACAAACATCCCAAAGCTGAATTACCACAAGATCTGAAAGAAGTTTAGGTACACAATCTTATTACCACTAGTATATGTGATAAACACAAGAGATTATATATATAAAATATCCATATAGTTGGTAATGACAAAGTTACTTTGTCTCATACGAACCACTTTCCTAAATTACTGACTTCTGTGATTGCTATAGTGAAATGAGTAAAAGTGGCAAATAAATCGGGCTTTCCCCCTCTACATATAAACAAAATGCAACATTGATATGGTGATTTACTCTCCAAAGGATGCTATCAATGAATAATTATCAACATGTGCGGAAGAACAGTTAACGTCATTAGGAGGGAGGGTAAATGATTATTTTTGGCAAAACGTGTTGATTTTGTGAATATTCAAGTGAACAACAAATCAACCATCATGAAATTAACTATAATATATGTCCACAGCTGCTTATGCCTTAGGGACCTCTAGTTAAGAAATGTTCAAGATGCCTATTGAATTCAACAAAAAGGTCACCATTTTTGTGACAAAAATGCCAGACTTCTGTTGAGAAGAATATTCCAAAATGACTGTTCAAAATGGCCACCATTTTTGTAAAAAATACATTTTCAGATTTTTAAGATGCCACTTCCTGAAGTTGCTGCTTTTCTAGTTTGACATCATCCATCTACTGTTCAACTGTTACTATATTGTATCATATCATTAACTCAACATTACACCCACTCACAGGCTTTCATTTCCTGGTAGATATTTGTGAGATTTGATTTACAATAAGCTTTGTATTGTGTTGTATTCTTCCAGGTTTCTGACACATACCACCAATAAAGACACTCAGTGACTCAGTGCAGCAATGTTGTTTAAAACAAACACGATGGGACATCTTATTTCTTAAATGAAGAGTGAAACAAATCGCTCAAATAGAGGATACTTATACACAGAAAACCTGGATCAATGTTACAATTAAGAATTGACGAATTATGAACTCTTAACTGTTAAATGCATGAATTTGTAAATACTAGTAGGGTTTTTATGTTCAGACTAAAATATACGTCAATATGAAAATCAATCAACATTATAAGAATACATTGTTCCTGAACTTGAACTCATCAGGAAGCTGTCTTTCATAATATTTTCAATTATTACCCAGGAATACATCTTCACCTTTCATAACAGTACTGTGGCTTATTGAAAAAAATTAAGGAATCGTAATTTACATTATCGTATGATCTGTAAAATGAAGCCTTCTGATTGGTCAGTTCTTGAGCTGTACCAATCTGTATTGCATACTGAGATTGTCCCCGTTGATCATCTCCGTCGCAATGCAGAAAATATTGGTACGGAGGGGACAATCTCAGAAGCAATACAGAGGATCACACAATAAAAATGTTATTGAATGATTTGAAGTGCAATACAGGATATATTCTGTCTCGATATTCTGTATTGGCACTCGACTTCGTCTCGTTCCAAAACGGAATTTCTCGAACAGAATATATCCTGTATTGCACTTCAAATCATTCAATAACTTATAATATTTTTGAGAATAAGCAATCTAGCAGTGGCATCATTAACTTTGTAACTTTTGAAGTTTACCCCGGTGTTTATGAATTTTTAACAATGTGATGTTGCAGAAGAACTACAAACATAACCTTACAGGTGAAAAGCTTCAAGACAGAATATTAGAATGCACAGAGGCTTTATGATTATATTTGTTCATGTTATTTTGATGACTTATTCATTATTTAGTCAGACAACACATTCTCATATTTATAATATTCCTTCGGTGGATGTTTTAACTTGGTCACTTGTAATACGTCTGTAATATCATCACATTCATTTCAATAGCCGTTTCATCCACATGAAATATATTTGATCATGAAGTAAACATGTAGACTAGCCTAAAGCTCATTAGATTCAGCAGAATTGTAGTTAATGTTCACAAATAGGTGTGTATTTGTAGCATATGCATGGGTTAGAGGGGTATCCTGTAATATTTTTGCAAATGTCTTAATGTTTAAATTTGTACATAATGAAAATTGAAGACTTGTTGCATTCTCAAGATTTGTCTGAATTATTTTTACTCACCCCATTTAAGTCTGCTGTTTGTCAGGGGCAACATTATGATCATATTGTATCAATTACTTTGAATGTAAGTGTAGTGGGAATTGGGCAATAGTCTTGATACAAGACTACAATCACAGTACATATATTGTTAGTCTGTTCATGTATTTACACTTTCTCAGGTGTAACATAGGCCTTCATGATAACCTGTATAAAATATGTTAAGTGGAATAAAATGTAAATATTCAAGGACCAAATGAAATGTATTCTGTTTTATCTCCACTTAAGTCAAAGGGCATGAGACTGAGAGATATCAAGCCATGTATTCCAACATCTAAGATCAGTAAAACCTGTCATAGTGAACACCCGCTTCTAGTATACACCCATCCTCAGTACATACTCTTCTGACTTCTGTATAAATTACCCTCTTACCTCTGTAGTGAACACCTACAAACAATGAATGTTGGCAAAAAATGTTCAATATATACAGGTTTTACTGTATGTCCTAAAGGAATCTGATTTACTAACTTTGCCCCATCCTCCAATCTGAGAAATTAGAAAAAATGAGCTCTACCACCCTTGACAAAATCTGGCTGGAGGTTATATCTATATTTAAAGTCTTAAATGTGTTGAATTTTATGAGCAATGTACAAATCCTTTCATTTTTCAGTTAAACATATATTTCATATTTGGGTAAAAATTGATTTCCACTTTTGTCATAATTGAGATAAATGCAAGATGAGCTCGATCTTTATTTTGTTCAAATTGTGCCATTTTGAAGATTAAATTCCTACAAGGACATATACATAGATATATACAGGTTTTACTGTATATCCTAAAGGAATCTGATTTACTAACTTTGCCCCATCCTCCAATCTGAGAAATTAGAAAAAATGAGCTCTACCACCCTTGACAAAATCTGGCTGGAGGTTATATCTATATACATGTAGTAAAGTCTTAAATGTGTTGAATTTTATGAGCAATGTACAAATCCTTTCATTTTTCAGTTAAACATTTATTTCATATTTGGGTAAAAATTAATTTACATTTTTGTCATAATTGAGATAAATGCAAGATAAGCTCGATCTTTATTTTGTTCAAATTGTGCCATTTTGAAGATTAAATTCCTACAAGGACACAGTCTATATGTTTCAGAGTCTGTATGTTTCACCATATGTCACCATTTTTTTGATCTCACATACTATGCTATGTTTATTCATATTGAAAGTGTAGTCCCATATTTTCCAGAGTATTTCCAAAGTAGGCATCTAATCTCTCACTTTGTTTCACAGTCATGTACTTTTTCCAGTCATCAATTTTGCCTGTAGTTTAAAACACATCAAAGTAAATCAGTTTATAGTGTGTAGCAATGTTTCAAAAGTAGAAAATCTTACATTTAACAGAATGGCAGCCAATAATATTATAGATTAGAAAATGAAATCGAAAAGGGTGTTTCATTAATGCTTAATAGGCCTATTGTGAATTATAGTAATTACAATGAAATTTTCAATTATTTTATTATTATATAGAATTCCATTGCTTTAATAATTAACAATATGGCATGCCTCACAATTATCCTAGTATACTTCTATTATAAGGGTCACACATTTGGCCGACCCTGTATATTCTCCTGTATATTGAGCTTGTGTGTAAGGCCTCGGTATGTTTTTGAATATCCAAAACTTCAACATCTCCATTGCAAGATTAGGGATACCAGTTATAGGTGTTTGAGTCTTGGTATTCAATATAATCCGAGCAATGAATCCTTATCTTAGAATTAATGAAACACCATGATATGAAATATTCCCAGCAATGTTGTTGTTTTGTTTAAATAAATGTAAATGCAATATCCTACCCTTTCTCATATGTGGAGTGTCACCATCACTACCGACAGATTTCTTCATATGCTGGAAGGCATCACCTGTGCTGGGATTCTTCTTCATATTCCCAAATGACAAGTGATCAACTATTGTTTGCACTTTCTCTTCGGTGAGACTCTTGTCTAGAAATGTTGCTACATCTCTCACAACTTTAGCCATGTCCTAAAACAATAGATATTGTTTACTGTCATTTTTCACTTTATGATGGGGTTGGTGTTTCCTAAAGACTGTTGTCCCATTAACTTGGATTAAAACGAGAAAATCAGGAAAACGGTGAAATTAAACTATATTTCAATTTGATTTTTCCTTGATTGTACAATGAACAGAACAAGGTGCGGGTAACGCTCAATGAACGAATAATAGTGTTACCTTCACCATTTCTTCATATCTAATAAACAGAACGTATTTTCGTAGCCTGTCTTTGTTGGAGCACCATCCTTTCACAAAGTTAAACCAAGTTCCCCACGCCGCTTAACAGAGTAATCTGACAGTTACAAATGATAAACGATGCATTTTTACAACAATATATAATTTTATATACAGACCATGATCAGAAATACAACATATTGTCTGATTGTGTCAAAAAGGATAATAAAATTAACCGTGGATGTGGACATTGATGGACAGTAAAACATGTTTGAGTAAACACTGTTGGTATCCAACAGAATGTGTTCCATTTGGAGGTGTTCTACTTATAGAGGTTCACTTAACATTAAGTATATTGGTCTTGGGACTCTGCATTCCAATTACAGATGTTCCACTTCAAGGTGTTCCACGTTAGTTTTCACTAAATTATATAGACTAATTATGCTTACTTTTGTCATTTGTTTCCGTGAGCTCTCCATTTAGCATAATATCCATATTGAAGAGAGATTTGTACGCAGCTGAGAAAGAATTGAGGAGGTGCATGTGACTGACAAGTGCAGATTTGGGATTCCGGAAGACAACTATGGTCTAAAACAGAAGATCATTTGATGATTGAAACAAAACCATTATTTCATAATTACCCATCAAAGGCTGACTACCTGCATACAATAGACATTGTACTGCACATATGGAGCACCCTGTAGTATATACTAAACAGGCGCTTCAAAATCGACAGTATGAAAATTGAGTTTGAAAATAAGCATCACCTTACACCTTCCTTGCTTTGCTTCCTCAGGGAGTAAGTCATACCCCATGTGAGTTACTAGTAATCTTGGAGACGGCATCGCAGCAGCATCAGTTATCGGACTACCAACTCCTTCAAAATCAGCTAAACTTACACCGCCTTTAAGATCTTGAAAATAGTATATACAAAATTAAAGCGTCATTGATCAGATTGATCATTTCATGAGAAACATGGTGATTGTGTCAGGGTTGACGTGAACAGTACTGTACATGTTCGTTGTACTTATGTCATCAGCGAGGATATAGATATATATTGAGTTGGCCAAAGTTGGACCTAGATTTCAGGTCAAATTCTCTTAAAAATAGTTTTTTCGTGCTGTGAAGGGATTTAAGCTTTTTTGCCCCCATCCATACCGATCATTTATGAAACATATTGTGATGTTCTGTCAGCATTGACCCGAACCTTACATGTTCGATGTACGTATTTCATCAACGTATATTGTTGCCTTTAAATTATGACTAGAAGAAATACACACATTTCGATCTCGTGTTACAAATTGGGGAAGTGATGTAAATGTATTTATCTCAAATAGAAACCATTAAAGGCAGGAAAACCACCAGTAATTGATCTGACGTGACCATTTAAAGGGAAGGGTAAAAAGCTTGAAATTCCTTTCTAGCATGGAAAATCTTTAGGAAATTTTGCACCAGTTTTTCAAATTGGTGTATTCCTTCCAAAAGTTGACCATATGCAATATTGTGAAATCGAGGTCCCAAATTAATGCCATCTGTCCCCCAGATTCGCCTGTGAATTCTGAATAAAATCTATGTATTTATCTGGAAGACTCCCTTTTGCCTCTTGGCACTCACATTCTCTGGGTATTTCGAGCCATCTAAACTTGTCGTGTATATGGATGTGGCTTCCGCTCTCAATGTCTCCATCTCTGCGTATTATATCTACTAATTCAACAGCCCAGTGTGTTCCTGGAAAAAAATGAAAAGGTAACTCGACTCGATGATTCAATGGGAACCTGCCATTGGCCTGGCGGCTCCACCATATGCACCAAATAGATCCATATAGCTATAGATTTTAGCAAGATTATAAGCAGCCTCCCTTTATACCTTCGTTATACTTACCCGACCGAGGATATGAACTGATCAAAATGTCATCACTTCGAATCTCCAATTTGTCCATTTCTTCTATTGCCTTGAAGTCTGTAAAGCTTGGAAATAGGTGTCCCTTTATAACCTTTTGTTTGTAACGATATAGATCAGCGAATGTCCTATTCTCGGCCATTTCGCATCAAGTAATTAGAGACTTCACTGGTCGTGTATGTATCTGCTTGTATTAAAGTTTGAAGAGCGATACCAACTTGTTTATCATTAAAAAAGATGTATGGCACTGTGTACATGTTACAGTGACCTGAAGATGTGTTGTCCCGACCTAACCAAATGATATAATAGCACTGGTTGATCTGGGGCCCAAAAACTGATTTGACTTAAGGCCTCAAAAAGTGGGTATTTTGGGGGATTAAAAGGCCTTTTTAAGTCCTTATTTTTAATTTCAGGCCTTTTGAAGAAAATGGGCCTTAGATTTTCAAATTTTTGCCCATTTTTTGGTTTTAGGGACCGAATTTTTTTTATCAAAATTGAAATTCCCCCCCCCCAACCCCCCCCCCCCCCCCCCCCCCCCCCCCCATTGTTGGTTCCAAGATCCGCCCCTGCATAGTCAAGTTGGAGGGTTCTCTAGGATTCTTTGGAAACGTTGGTGCAATTCTTGGCTAGGATTTATCTTCTGGGCCATTCCATTACCAAGAATTGTTCTTTTCAATCAGGCCTGATGTCACATTCCCGGGGTGACAGTCCTGAATCAAAATAAGATATGTCGGCTGGTGGCCAATAAAACAGAATGTGATTTTCAAAATGCTGCTTTCTGATCTTGGGCCTTGGGCTCGAATCCTTTGGTAAACCCGTTACATGGTATTCAGATTAGGCCCTATCTTGGAATACTAAACCACTCGCATCCCATGAATCTAGAAAATCCCATAAGAGTTTACAATAAAACCAAGTTCCATTTTCAAGATTGTCCAGGCGCAACAAAGTCGCATTTCAGGGTTGTGGTAACAAACTGAAGACCGCAATAGACATTGTTTTGCGTATACACAGTTGATGAAAGCTAATTTTTAAATGAGCCTACCACAGAAGATAAAGGCACGCCCAATTTGGCACACCTGTAAATATTACATGTAACAATGACAACACACTGTACAACGTCACAGTGTAATTACAGGTGTACGATTACCTATTTCAAATGGGGTTGATCAACGTACACGGCCTGATGCTGCTAAGAAATGAAGAGACATGTCACCCCATCATGGAGAAGTTATTATACCACAAAATCTCAACAACGAACCGACTGAATGTCGAACAGATACCAAGGCAACATCACATCATCCGCAAGACAACGGTGCAATCATCCATACGTTAATCAATGCATTTTGGAAAACAAAAGTGGATAGATTTGATCAAACGGTGAAACATATATTTCTCGAAAACAATAAAAGTATTAATGCTCTCAGGAATACTTCAATAAAAGACCTTTTATCGCACATACAGTTTACCCCTAATAAGAGACAACCACAAGGATATGAATTCTTTCTTCATCCAGCAATAAACTCGGTTCTTAAGGAAGAGAGTAGCGAAGCAACGAAGAGCTTGTTGGACAGTATCTCTGACCACCACATTATGTGAGTACAACGTTTTGCTCCAGAAGGGATATTTTAAACATTTACTGGTTTTGAACAGAGACATATAAAACACAACTCCATTAGAGAGATAAATCATTGACTTTGATGACTGCTATAAGTGAATTTCATGCTTTACTATATTCCACATTGGCAACGCGATAATACCATGTTTCTGCATTCAGATTCACTAATGAAGGGAAGTGTGCAAGTGAATCGTGTACACATATCTTGGATCAAATATCAGATACTCCTAAGGTAAGCTCTTCCCTTTTTCAATATAAATAGTCTTTGATTTCGTGCGACTTTCAGTTGATCTATTGACATGACATGTGCAAATGAATTTCAATCCAGGTCAAAAATCTATACCACGATGCATTGAAAACAGTGGGTTATGGGCGACCAGGTGCACACCATAAAGATTTTGAGGAACACAATTGTCCGTTCGATCCAAGATTGTAAGTAGGCTTATAGACTTACAAAAATATATAACCGGTATGCACTTTATGCAGTTCGTTTGTATTACCAATATTTATGATTAGTAACCCTAATGCAGCTAGGGGGTCAATTGACAGCAGCTAACCGGCAGCTCCACCATAGTGTGTATTTTCGTTTTTCTGTGATAAGACCCCTTTTCCTGTGGCCTGGCTCATATATCACTGCATCTTCACCCCCCCCTTTCTATACGCATTGTATTGTATATTCCTATAACAATCGGTTCAACTACAACTCTTCAACGCGTCACATTTATTTTCAAACTTCCTTCTTTTTCAAGGTATTTTGGTAAGGTACTGTTACCATCGTTACATCTACCTAGCCTACACCATGTCCCGAAAGAATCGGTCGAGCAGAACTTATTTCTCAATGTGGACGATATAAGCAATCTTCTGGAGCAACACACAATGAAATACAGGTAGCTTGAAACACAAATTAAACAAAATTAAAAAAAATTTCTAATGTGACAGAAATGTCCACAATTTAGTTAGGAAAGACAACATGAAATCACATCATGAAATACATAAGGTTAAAAAACACTAATCTGCATCCACTATGCATGTTTAAATCAGTTTTTGTCTGTGGTCATAATAAAATGGTACGGGGAGGTTCGATTCTTCGTTAAATCGTCAACTGAATTGAGTTTTATAACGGCTTTTCCACAATTTATCCAACAAAAAATAATTGACAATTTAATCGTACTGCAGGATGTTTCTGAAGTCCTTAGATAGTGAGCCATCCGTTACCATTCCCGATGATGCAGATACTTCGTTCACATCAAACAATGAATCAGATGCTATGGAAGTTCAATTTTCAAATATACTCAGGCTGCTGAGAGAAGATAGCAAGTCAGATAAGGCCTTCAACATTCTTCTAAGCGAGGACGTAAGAACAATATGGAGGCAACATCGCGCAAAATCTTTACCTCCTATTGGTAGACCTAATGGCAAATGCATGTGGTCAGGAAATGACTCTATAGATTTGGATTTCAGCTTTGGTAATCCAAACAAAATCTCTCCAAAACAAGAGGTATTTGAATTTGATAGAATACTAAAAGCAAAAGAAATATTAGATAGTCCTCCATGTTTGGAGACTAAACATTCCTTTGTCACAAATGATTCGTGTACACTTTCACTGACCAACCATGACTCCAATCTAAGTGATAAAACCATTAACATTGGTACTGATAAAGATGAAACGATGAACGACGAAGAAGTCAGTAGTAGCCCAATTGCTGAACGCATCGACGTTGTTACAAACGATTCTCCAGTTCAAACTACACAGAACGATCCCGGCGGTTATGGTTATTCGGTCTCTTGGAGTACAGACGATTGCAGTGATGACATGATACATGACGATGATGGGGCCGCCATACCAACCATTATGAACCAAGGACGAAACATGGTAAGTGTCCTTCATCGGGTAAACCAAGCTTACGCACATTATATGTCGATTCCGTGCCACCTTTTTAACGTTTTTAGCCGACCGAAATATTATTATAAGAATCACTTTCATTTCATCGTGTCTGTAGCTTGGTGACACTGCCGAATGGCCCCTACTCAATCAGAATGAATGGTCCGAAGACAGCCCAATATGGCCAGAAACCTCCCCTCAGCAACAACGTGATGAATGTAATTATGCAGTGCAACAGGCCTCAAACGTTGAAGATACTGAATGTACGAGGACTTGCATATTACCCGGAATGTCACGAGAAGCCCCCGATGGAGCTCCTAGCGAGCACAAAATAGCCAAGCAGTCTGCGAGCTACACGTCTATATCCGACCCGGACATTTACCAATCGTGCGTTCAAGAATCAAATTCAAAAGTCAGAGGTTATAAGGCAACCAGGTAACTTCAAATAGTTGAGGAAGGCATTTTCGAAAATTGAAATAAACCACATAGTATACGAAGTTATTGAAAATACGGTACTTTAATTATTACTTTTCAGAATGCGGATGAAGGAACAGCTCCACAAACATATAACAAAAGACCGAGCCAACCATATGGCACCCAATAAGGTACATGCATGTTTAGAAATCTAATGTTAAAAGTTATCCAGAGATGATGAATATGTAATAACTCGTATCAAAACAATGCTAACATATTCAACATAATACATTGCAAGTTTTGTTTAGATGTCACGGATGTCCATCCGCCAAACGCAGGGTTAGAGGCATCATCGACTGATCCTTCGTCCAGGGAAGTTCAAGGTGGATGATGTCTGAAGCTCTGCGTTCGGTTAAAGTGGTAACTAAAAATATACACGCATAAATGTAATGTATTGACTTTCAGGTGAACGACTGGAAAGTCTGCGAAGCCAAAGATGAAACGGTAAATCCAAATGCTACGGAGTTTCGAGCCCCAAACATTCTTAATATTCGTGTACCGGTTAAAATATCACAAGCCCCAAATCCTCAAGCTCAAAACTCACAAAGTCACTTCTCACAGATTTCCAATCCACAGAGTCAACGTTTCCAAGGACACTTTTCCCACGCATCAAATTCACATGGTCAGAGTTCCCAAGGTCAATACTCTCATGTTCCTAGTTCTCGTAGTCATATTACACAAGGTAATATCTCCCAGTTTCCAAATGCAAAATATGACGTTTTACCACCTATTGACAGTACAAGTCATTTGCCAAACGATTGTGGTGTAAGCAGAGTTGGTTTGGCGCATGGTGTCTCAATGACCGATGGACGAAATGATCAAGTCAGGGTACAGCCAAACCGTTGGGGCCTTTGGGAAAACATACCAAATGCAGATTCTACAAAGCAGATAGTCAACACAAGCAACGTTGCAACAGTTAACCAACAACATCGGTTTCTGACACCAGTATATAACATGAACAAACCAAGGCAGTTACAAATGCCAAATAACAGACAGCCTCATCAGCAAATGGAGGTGAACCCTTATATAATACCAGCTCCGCCACCCATACTCTCACAGCCACCACCGATGATGATTCAACAGAGAGAACTGCAGCAGATAGCCATGTTGGATGTTGCCCCACCATCACTACCGAATCTACAACACATACAGAACCCATATCTTCTGCCTCCCCAACATAATCCTACTATGGCATGTTGTCCTCGCCTCAATATGCCACCACCGCCACCAAACTGCCCTCCACCCACACAGTGGAACACACAACTGTCAAATAACTTGACCACCATCCGCTCAAAGGTACCCAGCTATTCGAGTCAGATGCAACATATGAATGTGATACAGCAGCAACAGCAGCCATTGCCGCCACCACCACCATTCCCACTGGTGACCAGCTGGGCTCAGCCGCCATTGTGGCCCTCTGCACGTGTTAACCAGGACAACCTAATCAACATTCCAACTAACAAACATACCATCGATAAGACAGTGCAATCTGGAGCTGCTGACGAGATTGCTCCAACAAATAGTACATGTAAGGCTGTTAGGTCAGAGTTTACAAGCACAGCTACATGTTCCTCTATCAAAGAAGATAAACCAAAACTTGATGTTAACTCTCCTGAATTTGTCCCAGAACGTATGAAAACTAGAGAGGAGCTGCGTGCAAGTGCCAAACTTCCTGAAATTACACTTCATAATTCAAAGAATATTCAATGTGTCATTAATGAAGCAAACAAGCTTCTTCGCCAGATATATAAAGGTGATAGTGACAACCTAGACAATAAACTAGAAGACAGTGAAACACCCTACCAGAAACTAGTCCGAGAGGTGTTAGGGAATACCAAAAAGAGTGAGGACATTGGTAAGGTGAAATGTTCACCCTCAAAAGTTAAGAATGAAAGTGACATTATAAATCTTAAGGCAGATGACAGCAAGCCTGGAGATACTACAAGCATAAATGCCCCTAGCACTCGTGAATTGAGCAATGGTAACATAAATACATTCCAAGAAGTAAAAACTAAACGGGCATTTCTAAAACATATTAAAACACTAAAAAAGTGAATGAATAGTTAAGGACTAGTTGGAGAACATTGTACTAAGAACACACATGTTCAAACATGAATCCAAATTGAAATGATGTAACATATAACAGACTGAATTCCTAGAGAGGGTCACAGAAGCAAACAGCAACCACAGCAGCAAACCTATGGACAGTGATAACAAAAACATGAAAAATACACATATTTTCTTTTCATGATAACAAAAACCTTTATTTTTAAATGTACATAAAGAATATAACAGCAGTATATTTTCAAGTGATTTTTGCCAAGTTGTACATATTTTGTTGTACATTTAAATGCTGATATTGTTTATCAGCATGACACGAACTGCAAAAGGCATAAGCCTACTTTATGAATTTATGTTAATAGATACAAACTGACAACTAGTATTCAAACTAGAATGTCTAGTCATGTAAATATTTTAATGATATTGTGTTTATAATACAGTGTATTTGATTTTCATGATTGAAACAGAACTTTGTACATATCATGGTGCATGTACATGTTATTCATTTTGCACATACTTACTTTGTCCAGTATTGATACTGTCCCCCCCCCCTCCTTCCTTCTTGCTAAATTGGAGAAACAATTGATGGAAGGGAGAGGGGTTACCAGTCTAAATACTATACTCATTATTGTAATCATTATTTTGTTTATCTAATGGCTTTGTATATATCGCTAGCTGACTATGGCACTTTTTTTATACATACATAATGTGTGGTTAATTATACATTATTTATACATTAATACATTCCACAAAGTGTTATGTTTAACATTTTATTTTCTATAACTGATTTTAACTGAATGATGCAAAGTGCACATTTAGTCTTATCTATACAACTGTATATATTACATAATTGACTTATTACACGAAATCTTACATTTTATTGTATATAATTTCTTTGATCTGAAGTTACAGTGCTAGCTGCAACTGTTGACTATTGATCATACTGTTAACTTATTATGTGATGTTTTCTATCTTACTGTACATACATTTATCATATGATCTGTAAAATGAAGCCTTCTGATTGGTCAGTTCTTGTGCCGTACCAATCTGTGTTGCTACTGAGATTGTTCCCATTGATCACCTCCATCGCAATACAGAAAATATTGGTACGGAGGGGACATTCTCAGTAGCAATACCGAGGACCACACGATAAAAACGTTATAGAATGATTTGAAGTGCAATACAGGATATATTCTGCTCTCGATATTCTGTATTGGCACTTTGATTTTATCTCGTTCCAATACGGAATTTCTCGAGCAGAATATATCCTGTATTGCACTTCAAATCATTCAATAACTTATAGTATATACTCATATGTGCATATTTCTACAATTTTATTCATTATATGCACGAATACTTTTTAACTGACAGTAAAAATTAGTGGATTTTCTCTTTATAATGTTAAGTGTCAAATATATTTAAGAGAAGTTGTTCAATTGGACACATTTGTTGGCCAAAAAATTAATATTTTATTTGAGAAAATCCAGTAGTTTTCAGTGTTTCGTGTTTAACTGTGAATAGCAATAAGCTTTTATGATTTCTCTTCTTTAAATGTTCACAGGAGTTTCTAAAAACTGCCTGTTGATTGGCTAGTGATGACCAAAGTGTCATACAGCATTATCATTATCATATTTTGCTTCCATATCTTTTGCCATATTGCACAAAGGGCAAAAAAATTTTAGCCATTAAATGCAACAAGATCTTAGATCTTTATTGTTAATCATTTATTATTTACTGGCAGCACCCAATGAAGGGAAAGCGCAAGTACAGTTGCATACATATAATATTATTATGCATTTTAAATTAAACCATGCATAAACATTTGCATTCTAATTTTATAATTGTAATTTTATAATTGTTTTGCATGACCTCTACTTGTTTTACTTTTATTTGCCCTGATGTGCCTCTCTTGTTCTGGGTGCCTTTAAGAAGTGTGTACCCAGAGTCCAGAGTGGATGAGGGTTTTTTCAAGAAATGCATCAAACAAATAGACTAACATTTATAGTATTACAATCTTTTTGGTTCAGTATTATTATCTATTATAAAATGGATTAAAAGGGCAGAGGGATTCAGAATTCATCAGTTCATACATGAATGAATGATTGATTCTGGACTTCTGTGCCGAATTGTACATACTTTTTTCTGTTGTATCTTGTTATTCTGTACATAGTTATTATTATTTTGTATAATATTCATGTTACTGTTCAATATCAACAGTATGTATATAATGATGTTGCATTTGCATTGAAACTGTAAATATGAACTGTAAATAAAATATATATGATTGTTTAAGTTACATACTTTTCAATTGTTGCCCATTATTCTGACCAATTCAAGATGGTTAATACTGATATTATAATCTAACAAGGTCCAGCGAGACTAGATTCCCCATCTTATCTTTCATTAGCTAATGAAATTACAGAGCCATTTGAATACTGTGATAAAAAACTATGACATTAAACAATGGCTTTGGATAAATCAACAAATCATGAAATTACCAGTATGAAAGTACCAGCTTCAAACAAATGCAGTGTTTACAAGGAAGACGTAATTGCCCCTATGTTGTCAAGATTCACCAGTTATGAGTTTCATTCCTTAAATCCTTTATACAGTACTTGCTGAATAACTGCTTGGGATTGATAAACGAACAAGTAATCCAAAGTATACATCTGAATACATGGATATACGATTCTCTTGCTTGATTCACAGCTCCAATCGATATCGTCAAACAACTTGCTCCAGTATAGTCTGATCAGGAACTGGAATAAAATTTTCAAACAAATCTATTTGTAAATGACAAAGCAGCAATTATGTAAATAGGGATCGATAACATCAGATCACCAAAATATGATATGATAAATGTACTTTTTTAAGAATCTTAGTGATACCAAAGGAAAAATGTCTTTCATTAGTACAGCATTCAGGAATCATTTCTCTTTAGTAAACCATGTGATATTGTACTCATATCATTTCAACATACATGTAGTTCTAACAAACATTTTGATTATGAATAATGCTAATCAATAACATGTGAATAATATGAATAGCCATAAAAATGATTGGTAATTGTAACCAAGAAAACAACATGGAGATTCTCATAATGCAGGTTGACCTTAAACCATACTGTACCTAGTTTATATTACTGCAGGTCACAACCAATGTTGTCATTGAAGTATCAGTTCATCTTTTCTACATTACATTTTTGGGGATGTCACAGGTTCAAACTAAACCCGCCATCTACAGTCAACACCTACAATAATCATGGTGAAAATTTTGAATTCAAATGGCCTCCGGGTTGCATATCCAAAGAGGGTAAAGTGGTGAAGTGGACCATGTCATGAATTATTTTGCTTATTTCCAATAGGAAAACTGACAGTATTGAGATAATGCCAAAGAAATGTCATTGTAGCTCACTATTGTCACGATTGTCAAAATTTACAACTTTCTGCTCACACTATTTGATGCCATGTCTCATGTCTCTCTCCTAAAAAGTCCAACAGTTCTGAAATACTATCAAGAAAAACCTATAATTTTAAGTTTATCTGGCAATAAATTGAAAAAGTGGACATACTAGTAGTATTTTCAATTCTTATAGATTTGGACATTTCTGCATCTAAAATCTTTAATAGCTTTAATCTATATTTGACCAGACATCTGAATTCCTTTTTTTTCAAAAATTAAAATGATTTTTTAAATGATGGTTCCTCTATTCCTTCTACATGTAATTCATTTTAAGATTCATAATCTGACCTGCCCAGTGACATATGTTGCCTCCACCAAATATTGTACAGCTTGGGCCACTTCCTCTGGCTTACCAAACCTTCCTAATAAGGTATGCTTCTCCAGCTTATCTCTATTGGCAACATCTTGTACCATGTCAGTATCAATGAACCCTGAAGTAAAATAAATCAAAAGTATTTACATTGGAATCACTTTTTGAAAGACATCACAATTTGAATTGTGTGATGGAAAGTAAGCATGCATGTGTTGTTTTCTAAATTATAGATTGTTTCTAGTTACCACCAGCCATTTGCTATAGACACTGAACACAATCCACAAACAAGGCACAGGACGTGAACGAGATCACACCATCAAATAGGCAGACACTATGAACCAGGAAAACTGTTCTCCTATTATGTTTACAAATTTCAAGAACAAGAAAACAAGATGGCCGCCCAAAAGTTAATCAGCTCTAGTACTTGATATCCTCTATCATGTGTGTAAATTTGAAGGAAATCCGATGAGCGGATTTTCGGAAATGGCGATGACAAGATTTTTCGAAAAATCTTCAAAATGGCTGCCAGAAAACAAGATGGCCGCCCAAAAGTTAATCAGCTCTAGTACTTGATATCCTCTATCATTTGTGTAAATTTGAAGGAAATCCAATGAGCGGTTTTCCTGAAATGGCGATGACAAGATTTTTCGAAAAACCTTCAAAATGGCCGCCAGAAAACAAGATGGCCACCCAAAATTTAATCAGCTCTAGTACTTGATATCCTCTATCAGTTGTGTAAATTAGAAGGAAATCCGATGAGCGGTTTTCCTGAAATGGCGATGACAAGATTTTTCGAAAAACCTTCAAAATGGCCACCAGAAAACAAGATGGCCACCCAAAAGTTAATTAGCTCTAGTACTTGATATCCTCTATCATGTGTGTAAATTTGAAGGAAATCCGATGAGCGGATTTTCGGAAATGGCGATGACAAGATTTTTTGGAAAAATCTTCAAAATGGCTGCCAGAAAACAAGATGGCCGCCCAAAAGTTAATCAGCTCTAGTACTTGATATCCTCTATCATTTGTGTAAATTTGAAGGAAATCCAATGAGCGGTTTTCCTGAAATGGCGATGACAAGATTTTTCGAAAAACCTTCAAAATGGCCGCCAGAAAACAAGATGGCCACCCAAAATTTAATCAGCTCTAGTACTTCATATGATCTATCATCTCTGCGAATTTGGAGAAAATCTGATGAGCAGTTTTCCTTAAAAGGCGATGACAAAAAGCGGGACGATTACGACCACGATCACGACCACGATCACGATCACGACCACGACCACGACCAGTATGACGACTATATCCCACCGATGGTGTGATAAACAAGACACACAGTGATAAATATCGCACTTTGAAGAGCAAACTGGCCACCATGCAATTCACCCAGCATGGCCAAAACCTAATCAGACCTTGGCACTAGTCTGCTCTTGCATCTGTAAACATTTCAAGTTGACAAGGTTAGCGGTTTTCCTGCAATTTTGATGACAAGAATTTATTTGTAGTCTTGAACTTTGGGAAAATTTAGATAACATTGTTTGTGACCTAATTTGATGACCTTCGACCTTGAAAATTTTACTTTTTCAGACCTCAGTAGGTGTTTTGTAATTAAGCTGACCTAAATTTAAATCCAAAATATCAATTTAGAAAATCAACTTTTTGACCTTTTCAAGGCCACTGAAGGTCAACGAAAGGTCAAATCTGAAATCTAAGGTCAGATTTGAACTTCTGAGAACTTGTAGATGTTTTTTAAAAAAAAATTGGGTCAATTTGGAGCAAGCTGAAAAATTCAAAATGGCCGCCAAATTGAAAAATTCAAAATGGCCACCATGTCATTCAGCCAGCATATCCAAAACCTAATCAGATCTTGGCTATAGTCTGCTCTTGCATCTGTAAAAATTTCAAGTTGAACGGATAAGTGGTTTTCCTGGAATTTTGATGACAAGATTTGTTGAAAAATTCAAAATGGCCGCCACGTAGTTTACCCAGCATGCCCTTAACCTAATCAGATCTTGGTACTAGTCTGCTCTTGCATCTTCAATCTTCAATTTTAAGTTGAACAGGTAAGCAGTTATCCTGGAAATTTGATGACAAGATTTGGTTTATGTGCCGCCCGCACGCCCGCACGCCCGCACGACCGCACGCCCGCCCAACAGCACAAGACGACGACAATATAGCACTTTTTCAAAGTGCGATAAAAACGAACAGTTTGAAAGGATGAAAGGGGTGTTATTACTCCAGCACCCCCCTGTACTTACCTGGGGCAATGACATTGCACCTTATTCCTCTTGAGGCCACCTCTTTGGCCAGGGACTTAGAGAAACCTACTAGCCCAGCCTTTGAGGCACTGTAGCTACACTGTCCAACATTACCATGCTGACCAACCATGCTACCTGGAAAAAAGACAACTAAAACCTTGTGAAAAAGACAACACCCCTATTAAGTGGAACCCCTCTGTAAATGGAACACTTAAATTTCATGGGTGCCATGACCAAAATACTAGAATGCTAATGAGCATCTATGAGTGGAACCTCTCCATAAGTAGAACAATTTCCTTTGTTTCTATGACCCAATGACTAATGTAAATGAGGCTTTATGAGTGGAACATCCCAAAGAAAACTTTTGGTGTACCAAAGGTGTTCTATTTCCACAGGTTCTACTGTATGTGTTCCTGTTCAATGGAAGTGCTGTCTTCACAATTAAGGTACAGGAAGCCTACTCACAGCACTTAAGTTTTGAATTACTTTTAACTCAACTTCAATATTTTATAGCTTACTCCTAATTTACCTCAGCTTTGTATGACATATGTTTAAATCAACCAGATACAGTGAAACCTCTATTATCCAAACACATCTGTAATCCTTAGACCTCTCAACATGAACACCCTTTCTTGGACCCAATTTTCAAGCCTCTCTTTCCCACCTTAAAAAAACTTTGATATGTGACCAACTTCTAGGCGGTCCCAGTAGCATCCAGGTGCTATTGAAAGTAAAACTCATCATTACCTATATTTATGATACACCCTTCTTTCTGTTGGATCATTGACTTCAAGACAGCTTTTGATGTCAGCATAGGACCAATAAGGTTTGTTTGTAAAACATTCTGAATTGTTTCTAATTTTGTTTTCATCAGAAGTCCATCTTTGTTGATTCCTGCAGAGTTCACTAATATAGCAATAGGTCCAATATCTTTTGTGATTGCTGCAATTGTCTTATTAATGTCTGCTTCTTGTGTAATGTCACAGGTATAGCCAAGGACTGAAGCACCACCTGCAATTAGAATCAAATCAAGGGACTGATCATTTCATGTTACAATGTTTGTCATTAATTTTAAATGTCAAATCTTTTAAAAGTCTTGGTCGTGATAATGGTACTTGAATGGTGGGGAGGGGGGGGGGGGGTATTAGACATTGCTATTTTCACATAGATTATGGTTTGGGATAGTTGGGTTTTGTTTTTCTTATGACTTTTGTCCTCTTCTTGCTGTGTTCTGTAATACTTTTTAGTCCTTTCCCGGATCCTTTGGCACTTATACAATATATATTGGCAGTCTATCTTTACATTGTATTAAATCTCAAAATGTCACATCTAATCAGTACAATTACAATATGTTCAAATATGTCTCTATAGTTGCTTATCAATGAACATGTATCGTCGTATACTCAAGTGTGGTCTAATTTGTAGTGTGGTCTATTCTAACAATAACCACAAGGTCTTATTTAAGGTCGCTGCTTGCTAGAAATTTAAGTAATATTTAATAATCAAACAAATTCACGATACTTAAGATTTGATTCAACTGGATTGATTTTTGAAATGGTTACTAAGAGGAATATTGTACTCTGTCTGGCTATCTGGTGTGTATTGCTGGTCTTAGAGTTATCATGGTATGTTCTCTTTGAGGCAGATTCACTATGGAAAATTGCAGGTGGGTTTGCACATTTAAAAGGAACTGAAAAACAAAATCATGAGAGAGCCGCCTCTATTACTTTTTTATTTTGTTTAAACCAGGAGAGCTAAGGAAGACTTAAGCAATTTGTGTATAAAATTATTTGTGCATAAAATTAATATTATAACTTCCCTAACCTGTACAATCTATTTTAATTCACTTTTTTATAATATGTAGATCATGGTCAATTTATTTAACTTTTCAAGGAGCCTGTTTGGTGCCTCAACTGGCTGTTGCAAGTTTGGTGTTCTTTGACTTCTTCTCTAAATGCGCACCTGATACTAACTACCCCTGGATGACCCTTATCTTCCTTCACCTCAACAAGTGGTCTACTTGGCTTGTTAACAGATCAAAACTTTCAAAATTTCATGAAGCAACCAAAAGTTTTAATGCTCTACAGGCTAAAACACTTCGGGAACTTCTGTTAGATAGCGAAGGGACACAATATGGTAAGGATAAGGGACTGACCCACCAGATGACCAGAGAGGAATTGGTCAAACAGCACAAACTGACAAAGTATGCTGATTATGAGAGTTATGTTGAGAAGATTTTCCAAGGTGAGGAGAAGATTCTTGTACAAGACCGCCCAAAAGCTATCTGTTTGACATCCGGCACAACAGGGAAACAAACATATTTCCCGATAACCGAGAGATGCTTGGAGAAATATGCTATAGAACCAGTTCAGATTTGCAACGCTTGTAGACTAGATGAGTTTCCTGGTATGTGGCAGTTGGGGAAAGTTCTAGGTCTGTATTTCAGAAAGTTTGTGAAGGAAACTGAGGGAGGTATTCCCTTAGGGCCTATCTCTGCAACTATGGATAATCTAAAACCAGAGTTCAACTTCACAAGTCCAAAGGAGGCTCAAGAACTACCAAGTGGACCTGATGGAATGTATGTGCACCTGCTGTTTGGACTACATGATAAACACATAATTGCGATAGAGGGAATCTTCTCATTTGGCTTATATACAGCTATGAAGGTTTTAGAGCAGAAATGCCATCTCCTGGTAAAAGATGTCAGAAATGGCACCATCAATAGAGAACTGAATGTTCCCAATGAAAAGCTGCAGTTCCTTGAAAGTAAATTGACACAAAATCCTAAACGAGCTGATGAAATTGAGGCTGAATTAGAGAAAGGTTTTGTTGGAATCATACAAAGGCTGTGGCCAAGGTGCTGTGTGATACAAGTGATAGACACCGGGAGTATGGAATTATATGGTGATGCCCTAAAGGATATCTACTGTAAGGGTATTCCATTCTACAACAGGCTCTATGGAGCAACAGAGGGCTTCTGTGGAATTAACATCTGGCCTAGAAGAGCTGAGAGGGAATATGTTCTCCTCCCAGAAGCCATTTTCTATGAGTTTATACCTGTTGATGATGCTGGTGAAGATCAACCAAAAACCCTATTTTCTGATCAGGTAACTTTCAGAACAATTAAAGGTAATTTTAAGATCCAAATACTAATGTGTTTGTAACTAAAAATTAGATCGATTTGATTGAGTTCAAGAAGAGTAATAGTAAAACCTGTGTTAGTGAACACTTCTCCCCAAGGAGGATAAGCTCCCCGGATCGAAACTCAATATTTTCCAACAATGAAAATGTCAAAATGTTGTTATTTTCTGAATTTATAACTGACAATAAATTCAAAATAAACAGTTCAAAAGAATCGAACCAATATCTCGATCATTTCTTGTGAGTTTTGAAATTTTTCGTAAGAAGACCAAAATTCACATTTCAAATCTAGTGAACAATTTGAATTCGAATTTTGTATTACAACATGCCCATATACGGGACAGAATATCAATGCTGCACTCTGGGAGCAATCTCCTTAGACCTCTCCCAGTGAACACATCTCACTATATAATAATATATATATAATGGTTTTGTTTATGAAAGCAAATTAAACTGCCATGAAGTAGAAAAATGTTTCAAACCATCCATCCCAGCCTATCATCAGGTTTTTGAGGCGTAGACCAAAAGTTAACCTTAAATGCGCCTTACTTTCAGGTCTAGACTAAAAGTATGCCTCTTTTACAGGTATTTTTAAGGCTTAGACCAAAACCTAGCCTCATTTACTCACACTAATTCCAGTTATAGACCTTATTTTCAGGCGTATAGACCAAAACTGCGCCTTAAAAACCAAATCTAAACCACATTTACTTAGAAGATTTTAGAATAGACCTCACTGTAAGGCGTATAGACCAAAAGTGCGCCTGAAAAACTTGAACAATTTTCAAAATGACCAAATCTAGACCTGATAAACTAAGAACATTTTAGAATAGACCTCACTGACAGGCGTATAGACCAAAACTGCGCCTTAAAAACTTAAACATTTATAAAATGACCAAATCTAGACCTGATAAACATAGAATTTTTTTAAAAACTTTAAAAACATAAATCTGAAAAAGCCACACTTACTGTAGTATTTTGTCAGAATCACGAAGGAGACAGATTATAATATATTAGGTTAACAGACCAGTAAACTGTATTTTCAACTCCCTATTCAGTGGCGTAGCCAGGATTTGATGACCGGGGGTTCTATTTTTATGTTATTCACAAATCCCCCCTTCATTAGGGTTCCTCAAACAATGCAATTTGTACAATTACATCCCCTCCAAAAGTTTGGCAATCCTAACAAACCCATTGGATTATGTATTAAAGCATCTTTAAATTTGAATTCTCATTTGTAAAGAAAAAACCTATTTGGGAGGGGAAATATAATTCATTTTCATAACTTTATTAAGTTAAGTAGACAATTTAATTTGAATTTTATTTAATAAAAATGATGCTTATTTACGTCAAGCAAAGTCTGAAAGAATACTAGGCTTTATCAAGAAACCTCTCCCATTTTGAAATAACACCGGACGTAAAATGATTTTCAAAAATGACCTTGTAGCTTTGTTACTTTAATGTTCACAAGTAACGTGCAACGTGCAAAAAAGTCAGACAACTTATAATTGATTTTCTGCATCAAAATATATTTCGGGGAATCTTTTACTGACATGATACATATCCTGAAATCTGATTTGTCCCGAATCCACCATTATTTCGTCTGATTTCTAGAAGACCCTGGAGCATGATTTGTTTCCAAGGAATATCAACTATTTCGCACAATTTATTCTTTAACTTAAGCTACTTCATCTAGAACAAAATAAATCACCTCATGCAATGGCTTATTATTATTTTCCAGGAATTTTGTTGGAAGCCAATTCGGATCAAATGCAAGGTTTTTGATTTTGGCGCAAATGAAACACCCTATACTCCGAAAGATCGTTCTTCTACGATAACTTTTCACAACGTTTACACGAAGGCTTTTTAAACTATCCGGTAGGCGTATTACTTATTAAAATATCTATTATTCAAATAAGTGGGTCTCAGTTATGCTTTGTTTTAAACGTCCCCGGAGCTCAGTGCCAAGTCCTCCGTAGCAGATCAACTGCAATTGATAATAATAAAAACGTTTTGGTGGATAAGCGACTGTTCGAATATAAAACGTATTTTATGTAATTTATTCGTGACTTATTTATATCATGACATTAACATGAAAATGGAGAGCAAGTAAACTGGAACGATAACAATTTGAATTCTATTCAATCTCTTAGATGAGTGGAGTGTATCTGAAAAAACAAAATCATTTTTTGCAATGATTGATTTTTCTTTGGAAAAGTGATGGGTAAATAAAAAAAATAAATACTGGACAAATGAAAGAATGAATAAATTTGAACAAATGCTTGTGTTTATAATTGATATACGCTTTTAAATAATTCATTTCACAACGTTTTTAATTATTTAACGCAATTGGTGTCGGGGACTTGTCAGCCCCAGGGACGTCCCAAAAAATATTTCAAATTTTAATTGAAATAAAACAAAACAGAGATGTAAGGGAACATGGGGCAAAACGGCCCTGCTGGGCAAAATGGCCCATCGAAATATCTTTTGAACTATAAAAAGATGGTTCTTCAAAAGTCACATGATCGAATTTTGAAATTTCCGCCACCTTCTCGACCGCCCATTTTTAACCTAGCAGCGTCTCGCTATACTTAAGAGGTAATTCTACTTTTCATCTCTTTTTTGCAAATTACCCCTCCCACGAAAATCTCTAAAAAGTCCGGCAACAATACAATATCGTTTTGATTTAACATTTTACATAGGGTATGCATATTTATTCTTTATTTGTAAACATTTCGAGCTTCAAATATTAGGCAAATTAAAATGACGTCTATTTGAAATTTCACATGTCTTTGGGGCAAAACGGCTCACAAAGGTTATAACATACAAAAATCGTAATGCAAGAACAATTGATTTTCAAATATAACAATTCTAACATTTGGTTTTAACCTTACTTCCTTCCTTCCGACACATATCGAATGACTAGAATTATGGTAGGGGTTAAGAATACTTTAGCTGTCAAAGGTTTGAACGTCTGAGAAAAGATGAGTGTGTTGACGAGTCTTGTAATTGATTAATTTTGGTTTTAAAACCCTTGTAACAGAGGGTGGGCCGTTTTGCCCCACTCTCGACATTATTTTTGGCAATTAAAAAATCACAGAAGATAGTCTTAGGCAAATATAACACTCGAAAAATAAATTTTAGGGCCGTTTTGCCCCATGTCCCCTTACACATTTGAAAGAACGTGTGTTTCATCAATATTACGACTATTCCAGATATTTATTTGTTGTAAAAATCATTCGGAGTATGGGACGTCTGCATTGTTTTCAATAACTTTCAATAACTTCGTATTGGACCAGAACTGGCTTAAAACAAAATTCCTACAAAGGACTGGTTTAGCCATTGCCCAAGATGGGTTATTTTGTCCGAGAAAGGCAGCTTTTAAGTTAATTGTGCGAAATTATTGATATTTCTAAATGAAAAATCTCATGCTCTGGGGTCTTCCCAAAATTAAATCTCACCCCGTGCCTAAGGTTGCCAAACGTTTAGGGAAGTGTAACTTCACTATGACATGTTTTTAACAAAATAATGCTCTCGCGGATCGTGTTCCCCATAACAAATATCAATTCATTTACTGCTCATATAATATATATGTTGTTTTCAAATAGCACAGTAATTTAATGTTTCTGGTTATATGCATTCTTCCGCAATATTATATTTTGGGAAATCCTGACCGGGGGTTCGTTCGAACCCACCGAACCCCCGCTGGCTACGGCTATGCTATTAATGGTTTTTATCAGAACTTAAAAAAATAATCAAAATCTGGGAAACCTAAAGAAGGATGTCTGAAAATAATAAAATATTGAAATATTGTTAAATTTAAATGATGAAACAAAAATACATCATATAAGAAGCCTACATATAATTTATATAAGAATACTGTGTAATTTTTGCTTCATCCTTCTAATGTGTTCATAGATCTGTATCTTATCCATGAGACAAGTTAATCCTAGAAAACAACCCAGCAATTCAAAATAAATGCAATTTATTTAACAACTATGGAGGGTACTGATATGTACTAAGTACTTTTCTACTTTGAAACAACAAAACATGACCTGACCTTACTTACAGGTATATGAGGCTTGTACCTGAAATGAGGTCTAGACCAAAAGTAGACCTTCAGGCCTAATTTCCATAATTGAAATGTGCCTTAACGTAAGGTGTACACCAAAAGCAGAAGAGAAGTAGACCTGAAAACCAATAGTGAACCCCAAATAAGGCGTAGACCAAAAGTATACCTCAAATATAGACCTGATTTACAGATAGTTGAGTCTTAAATGAGGTCTAGACCTCAAATATAGACCTGATAAACCTGATGAGGTCATTAAATGAGGTCTACTTCTGGTCTACTTTTGGCTTAATTTAAATATTTGAAACGCGCCTGACTATGGGGATTTAACACAGAGAAAAACCAAAAGTAGACCAGAAGTACGCCTCATGAGTAGACCAAAAGTAGACCTCAAATATTGACCAATATTGCGCCTGACGATAGGCTGGGATTTGTGATTTAAAAATGTTGACAGAATCTCAGTTGTATGCTGATATTTTCATTCTAGTTACAAGTTGGAGAATGTTATGAACTTGTGCCATCTAATCGATCAGGATGCTTCCGATACAGATTCGGTGATGTTGTAAAAGTAACACGGTTTTACAATGAGGCCCCAGTCATACAATACATGTACAGGTACTAAAGCCCACTAAAATATTAACTACAGATAGATGTCATTTTTTCAAAATATTGTGAATATTCATATCATTCAATTGTTTCAGAGGTGTTCACTAGAAATGAATAGCATTTCTATTATTGAAAACGTTTATTCATCTATGTTTGTAAATTGTATTACAGATATATTGCAGTTAATATGATATTGTTGATGTATAAATCTAAATAGATTCAGTTAAAGGATTCATCCTCTCCTAACATTGCAAAAGAACATTTGCAACTTGATATACAATTAAAAGTTACATGAAGATGTAATTTGCAAATAATATCTAGTCCATATGAGTAGTATAGTTCGGTTCTTTCAGGCAAGGCCAAGTGCTGAACATTGTCAATGAGAAAGTATCAGAGGATGCCATACTGAGGAGTGTGCGTAGGATGAAGGATCACTGGGGAAAGAAGACAATGGTAGACTACAGCTGCACCATCAGCCTACTGATTGATAACAAAGGTAAATAAACAATAAATATGTAATACAATGCCCACTTTTGAAAACTCCCACATTAAACTGTTTGTTGACTCTTGGGGAAGATTTTGCACCTTTGGAAAGGGGAAGATTTTGCACCATTGGAAAGCAATGAATTGAGCATGAACTGCAATGTGCTATAAGGAATGGCTTATAAGATCTTAGGAGACCTTGAATATATCACATTTGGAGATTAGTCCAATTTCAACTCTCGAAAACATTACCAGCATTTTGTGGTGGTAAATTGCTTGAATTTTAATAATGATAACTTGATTACATTTCAGTAAATGAAGCACTTACTGAACCATATTATGTAATGTTTGTGGAGTTCAAAGAAGATGTTACTACAAAGGCAGTCAATGATGATCAGGTACATACATTACATGTAGTTGTAGTTACACATAAACAAATGTCGAAGGGGTTTCAAATAAAGTATTAAATAATTGGCTCTAGATTGGAGGATAGAGATAAAAACAAACTGGAGATAAATTGGCTCAAATGAGCTTAGTAAGGGAAATTGGAATAAATATACTTTGGTGTGCCTTAGAGTCACATGCTCAAAATACACATACACAAACAAATGAATAAAATAACAACAGTTTGAATAAACGATGAATAAAAAATTTAATCAGAATTATTTAGATTTTTTTATTCATTACTTTATTTATTATATTATTTATTTATTGTATTATTTAGATGGATCGTGTCCTCCAAGAAGAAGAACAGACATATTTGACTGCCAGAGATGCTAAGCTCAGATACATCCCCAGTGGATTCCAAGTGTTCAGTGTAAAGCAAGGGACATTCAGAGCACTCTCAGAGCACATCATTGCATCAACGACATTGAACTCTAGTCAGTTTAAAATGCCCAGAGTTCTGAAGAAGAAGGAACATGTGCAATTTATGATGGACAGAGTGAAGTTATAAAATATATGAACAGCGCTGAGGCTTTTGATGGATATAGTAGAAATACAGTACATACACGTTCCACAGCAATTTAGAGGGATGTTAAATTATTAATCTAAAATATGGACATAAAAATAAAAGTCATAATCAGTGATCAAATGCATAATAAGACACCACGATGACATGTACATGTACCTGTTAGGGAACTTACAATTGTAGATAGCTATTATGATTGCTAGAATGATGACTTGAACTGCAAATCTGCCCTACTAGGCTATTTCAATACATGAAGTGGGGACATGTCAATTTACTCTGAAACCAATTTATCTGAAGCATGATACTCCAGAGCCCATTATTATTAAACAACAATTAACACAAGTACAGGGTGTCCCGAAAGTATGGGGGCAGGCAGACATTTTCCAGTGTCCTCATAGTATGTGTCATATATCATTTTAAAGCTTATCCAAAGTTTCATTGATTTGCCAAGTATCATGGTTTAACTCCCAAATGGGAAAAAGTTACAGTCATTTTAAAAGTTAGCGTTTTGTCAAAATAAAGTTCAATTTTATACCACATTACTAGTCAATGAGCCCCCCTTGGCCATGTTAACAGCAGCAATTATTTTCAGATATGACCTTAAAAGCCCTTCAAATAGGGGTGTGGAATTTTATAACCCTCTTAAAACCTGTAAAGGCACTTTAGAAGAGTTTCCTTAGAGTTTCTACCCTCACCGTTGACTGACACATTGACTGTTGATTTGGTGTAAAATTGAACCTAATTTTGACCAGGCACTTAATTTTGAAATGCCTGTAATTTTCTCACATTTGAGAGTTGAACCATGATACTTGGCGAATCAATGTAACTTTGGATAAGCTTTAAAATGATATATGAGACATACTATGACGACACTGGTATATGTCTGCCTAGGGGGGGCCCCATACTTTCGGGACACACTGTATACATTTAGTCATTGCATATTCAAGCAGATATCAGACAAATTCATAAAAACATTTTTTGATTGATAAAATCATAGGTTAAGTGTGTTCTCTGACATGGGTGAGCAAATATTTTAACCCCCTTCAAAAGAACATTACAACATTTACCCTACTATCACACCAAACTAGTTCTCACTACGTTCTCGAAAACAGGCTTAAACTGTGCACGAACGGATTTGACGTACTAATAACCCACTAAGAACCGTTTGGGATCTGTTTACAAACTTCATGAAACTACTAGAACGAGTAGGTCCTCCAGCACTTAAATTTTCTGGTGATCGTCAAAACATTGCCGAATCGGTTTTAAACTGTGTGCGAACTGAATGAACGTAGCTACAACGTTCTACGGTCTGTTTACGAACTTCATGGACTTTCCCGGACGGGGTATGTGATTTAGAATTTTGAATCGATTCAAAATCCGATGGCAACCATACCGTTCTGTAATCAGGTCATGACCTTCTAGACTAAGGGACGGTTTATACTACGTTGCACACCGACGTGGTGCAACCTGAACGAACTGCGAATGAGATGGACGTATTGAAGACTGTTTATGAACGAAGTAGCTAATTATTTTAGACATATATCCCGACCGCAGCCAGATTGAGCCCGTTTTACGACATTTTCATAGGACTGGCAAGAACGGGTAAGAACTAGTTTGGTGTGATAGGGGGGTTACTCGACTCGAAAATTCACTTCTCGTAGATCACAACAAATATAAGCTCATGACAACTTTCAATCCTTAGTCTAAATATGGCTTTTCCAGATTCAATAGCCGACTTTGAATGAACCTTCATGCATACATGTACTTCAAAAGGCAGAATTATAGGAAAAGGAAATTGACTCTAAAGCTAGAAAAACTTGTAAACCATTTGGTCGGCTCCAGTTTCATTCTTAAGGTACAGCTGGAAAATAACATTTTGGTAAAAAATTGCTATACATGCACATGTTAATATCTGGTACAAAATAAAGTATGAAGGCATGTGTCAATTTCCTTGCTTTTTTCAGGAAAGTATCATTACATTGTCTTCTTTTAGAATATCTGGTAGGAGTTCAATGGGAACTCCAGGAAATTCTGATATTTCACACTTTATATTATTCCAAATTTTCTTTCAAAGTTTCCAGACAACACAGGAGGGGGCTACTATTGACCCGTTTCCAGGTTTACTAAAAGTAGACAATGTAATGATACTTTCCTGAAAAAAGCAAGGAAATACACACATGCCTTCGTACTTAATTTTGTACCAGAAAATAACATGTGCAGGTACAGTACATGTACTGTATACAGTGGGGATCATAAAGAATTGCAAAAGCTATGAAAATTACATGCTGTCGCACATGTAATAAATTCTTACCTCAGTGTATTCAGTGCTCTATTTTCTCCGTCTTAGTACATACCTGCCAACCTAAGACCAAAATTTTGCGGTAGATTTTTTTAAAATTGCTGTATTTTTGCGGTAGATTTTTTCAAAAAACGGTAGTTTTTGCGGTATTTTTCAACAAAATTGCGGTAGTTTTTGCGGTAGATTTTAGAAAAAAACGGTAGTTTTTGCGATAGATTTAAAAAAAACGGTAGTTTTTGCGGTAGATTTAAAAAATACGGTAGTTTTTGCGGTAGATTTTAAAAAAATACTGTAGTTTCAGAGGTTTGGGGTAGATTTTTGAAAAAAGTGTAATTTTGCGGTAGAAATTTGAAAAAAGCGGTAGTTTTGCGGAAGATTTAGAAAAAATGCGGTAGTTTTACGGTAGTTTTTTAAAAATGCGGTAGTTTTTACGGTGGTTTTTTGAAAAACCGGTAGTTTTGCGAAAGATTCTGAAAAAATGCGGTAGTTTTACGGTAGATTTTGAAAAAATGCGGTAGTTTTTACGGAAGTTTTTTGAAAAACCGGTAGTTTTGCTGAAAATTTTGAAAAAATGCGGTAGTTTTACGGTAGATTGTGAAAATTGCGGTAGTTTTTACGGTAATTTTTTGAAATACCGGTACTTTTGCGGAAGATTTTGAAAAAATGCGGTAGTTTTACGGTAGATTTTGAAAATTGCAGTAGTTTTTACGATAATTTTTTGAAAAACTGGTACTTTTGCGGAAGATTTGCCAAAATGCGGTATTTTTCGGTAGATTTTGAAAAATGCGGTAGTTAAACCTTTATACAATGCGGTTTTCTATATTAATACAATGTTTACGTGGTCATATTGTTGTTGTTATTGTGAATACATATTTTACTGCAAGAGTGATTTTGATAATTACAGTTTGTAAAGCAGAACTACCACCTGAGAATTATACGAAACTATTATTTTCAAGAAAAAATAGATATACTATTTTCAAGAATAAATAGAGACTAAACACTTTTTATTCTTCATTTACCATGCTTACAATGGACTGACAGCAACTTTGGATTTTAATGTTTCAGCAAAATGTACATATAGCAACTTTTTTACAATAAATCTAGATTGATTCAAAATACGAACACAATATTCATATCTCCACTTTTACTCACCTTCTAACCAGTTTTTTTTAGATATCAGGATGTTTGGAAATTCCATGAATGAAACATTTACTGAAATACAAAATATGGATTTTACACGTTTTTACTCACCATCTTAGATGATCTATCATTTTAACGAATTGAAATGACAGACATAATGTTCATATAACATTGGAATCATATGGTATTAAATATTGATTTGTTCACTTGCAAGTCTCTAATGATATCAATGTGTTTGTCTGGCACAAATAGAAAATAAGTACAGATCAATTGTCTTTCAAAAATAATTTGTTATGAGCATTTGCCGAAACCTTTCCCCTGAGACATAGTTCAGATTCGGATATCACAATACTTTTATAATAAACCAGAACTCAATGCTTTATTTTTTAATTAAGCATTTGTTACTGATAATGTGTTCTGATGAAAAATACAACATTTTATCGTTCTGTAAACAAATTGATTAAACTATGTATAATGTATATGTGTCGTTCATTACTGATCATAACAAATCAAACTACGCATATTTCATACGCTAAATATGCATACGCATTTCCACTCATTTATTTAGATGAAGCGCAACTAAAATCATATTTTTGTTGCATTCGGAATAAAGATCCGTGTACAAAAGGGTTTGGTTAACTACAAAAATCATGGCAGAAAGAATTCTTTCTAGCTAGTGGTAGTTGGTGTTTGGACTGATTACACACAAGCTTACTTAGGTAAATGCGCAATAACCTGATAACCACAGACCTGCCGATACCGGGTTGGTGAAGGAATATTACAGGGACAGTACAGGAAGACTTCAATTTTTCAGCATTTCCCAATAACAATAACGGGAAATTTTACGGTAGTTTGAACAAAAATACTGTTGATTTTAGCAGAAATACGGTAGATTTTCGAAAATTTACGGTAGATTTTCAAAAATTTACGGTAGATTTTACGGCCGTTCTCATGGAATAAACGAGTTTTTTACAAAGAAAATTTACGGTAGATTACGAAAAAATACGGTAGATTTTTTTACGGGTTTTTTTACGGGAAAAAATGGTATTTTTTTTACGGTAGTTTGTCATTTTTTTACGGGAAAACGAAAAATTTACGGTAGATTCCCGTAAAAATACGGTAGGTTGGCAGGTATGTTAGTAAGTCCAAATATAGTGGAATTTGTGTCCCTAATGACAAATAAGAACTTCAAAAGTTGAATTGGATATTCACATGTTATGCTGACTCTTCAAATGTTGAGGTGATTTTGTCGCCTGATTGCGCCGGAACGAAGGATTGGCTCCCAGAATGCAACATAACACGTGCCAGCTTTCAAAATGCTGTTCCGCCATTTTGAAACCTGTCATGAGTAAATATGGTTAACTGATGTTGCATTCTGGGAGTCAACCGTCCTTGGATAACAATCATGGCGATTCATGAAAACATTCATTCGATTTGGTAGGGATTTATCCATTATTTGCAGGTATGAAGCTTTGGATTCATTTATTGTGCTACTTTAGTGAACGGGAATTATTTTTCTACCGCTTGGGAGAGTTTGAGACACGAAACTTGGAAATAACATACCTGCCAACCTAAGACCAAAATTTTGCGGTAGATTTTTTTAAAATTGCTGTATTTTTGCGGTAGATTTTTTCAAAATACGGTAGTTTTTGCGGTATTTTTCAATAAAATTGCGGTAGTTTTTGCGGTAGATTTTAGAAAAAACGGTAGTTTTTGCGGTAGATTTTAAAGAAAAACGGTAGTTTTTGCGGTAGATTTTAAAAAAAACGGTAGTTTTTGCGGTAGATTTAAAAAATACGGTAGTTTTTGCGGTAGATTTTCAAAAAATACTGTAGTTTCAGAGGTTTAGGGTAGATTTTTGAAAAAAGTGTAATTTTGCTGTAGAAATTTGAAAAAAAGCGGTAGTTTTGCGGAAGATTTAGAAAAAATGCGGTAGTTTTTTAAAAATGCGGTAGTTTTTACGGTAGTTTTATGAAAAACCGGTAGTTTTGCGAAAGATTCTGAAAAAATGCGGTAGTTTTACGGTAGATTTTGAAAAAATGCGGTAGTTTTTACGGTAGGTTTTGAAAAACCGGTAGTTATGCGGAAAATTTTGAAAAAATGCGGTAGTTTAACGGTAGATTTTGAAAATTGCGGTAGTTTTTACGGTAATTTTTTGAAAAACCGGTAGTTTTTAAGGTAATTTTTTGAAAAACCGGTACTTTTGCGGAAGATTTTGAAAAAATGCGGTAGTTTTACGGTAGATTTTGAAAATTGCGGTAGTTTTTACGGTAGTTTTTTGAAAAACTGGTACTTTTGCGGAAGATTTGCCAAAATGCGGTATTTTTCGGTAGATTTTGAAAAATGCTGTAGTTAAACCTTTATACAATGCGGTTTTCTGTATTAATACAATGTTTCCGTGGTCATATTGTTGTTGTTATTGTGAATACATATTTTACTGCAAGAGTGCTTTTGATAATTACAGTTTGTAAAGCAGAACTACCACCTGAGAATTATACGAAACTATTATTTTCAAGAAAAAATAGATATACTATTTCCAAGAATAAATAGAGACTAAACACTTTTTATTCTTCATTTACCATGCTTACAATGGACTGACAGCAACTTTGGATTTTAATGTTTCAGCAAAATGTACACAAAAACAATGTACCGAGTGAAAGGTATTTCTGTGAAGGTTTTAATGGAACAGGTTTGAAGAAAAACGGTTTACTGTGAGACTCACAATCATTGATTTTACAAAGAAAGGGCAGGTTTAAAATTCAAATTAACGGTTTTGCGGGGCGTTTTGGTTTCAATACGCCCCGGTGAGTTAGTACTGCGTGATAATGTGTTCTGATGAAAAATACAACATTTTATCGTACTGTAAACAAATTGATTAAAACTATGTATAATGTATATGTGGCGTGTTACTGATCATAACAAATCAAACTACGCATATTTCATACGCTAAAACAAGTAGTTTTTGTCATTTCCTATCATTTATTTAGATGAAGCGCAACTAAAATCATATTTTTGTTGCAATCGGAATAAAGATCTGTGTACAAAAGGGTTTGGTTAACTACAAAAATCATGGCAGAAAGAATTCTTTCTAGCCAGTGGTAGTTGGTGTTTGGACTGATTACACGCAAGCTTACTTAGATAAATGCGCAATAAACTGATAACCATAGACCTGCCGATACCTATTTATATTCGGGTTGGTGAAGGAATATTACAGGGACAGTACAGGAAGACTTCCAATTTTTCAGCATTTCCCAACAATAACGGGAAATTTTACGGTAGTTAGAACAAAAATACTGTTTATTTTAGCAGAAATACGGTAGATTTTCGAAAATTTACGGTAGATTTTCAAAAATTTACGGTAGATTTTACGGCCGTTCTCATGGAATAAACTAGTTTTTTAAAAAGAAAATTTACGGTAGATTACGAAAATAATACGGTAGATTTTTTTACGGGCGTTTTTACGGGAAAAAAAATGGTATTTTTTTACGGTAGTTTGTCATTTTTTTACGGAAAAACGAAAAAATTACGGTAGATTCCCGTAAAAATGCGGTAGGTTGGCAGGTATGAATAAGCTCATTGCGACAACTTGTGAACGTTGAGTTTTATTTTTGTCCCCCACTGTACATGTACAGCTGTAGCAATTTTTACCAAAATGTTACTTTCCAGCTGAACCTAGAGTCCATTTCACTGCTTCATTTCGTCAGTAGAACGGCAAAAATAAGAAATTGGGAGACCATTGTGCAATAATATATGGAAAAGTATATTCATAATGTACATGAATGACATTTGTATATCTTGGATTGCTTCTAGTTTGGCTTATAAAGTGTTTGGCCTCTTATATTTGGATGCTTCTCTGCCATGTTATTTTCAATAAGATTAACATGGCTGAAATTCTTCAAATTACAAGACGGCACAGGCTTATTGCACAAAAAACTAAAAAATCTGAAATATACAAATGTCATTCATGTACATTATGAATATACTTTTCCATATATTATTGCACAATGGTCTCCCAATTTCTTATTTTTGCCGTTCTACTGATGAAATGAAGCAGTGAAATGGACTCTAAGCCTAGTTAGTATTATTTTTCATGATCAAAATAGATATAGATCTAGGGCCTACATGTACATGTAGTCTAGTCAGAAAAATCAGATGGAAGTTACTCTACCGAGCTGACAGAAGGCTTTTGAGCCAGCTGTGTTCAGTGGAAGACTTAGATCTACCTTTTGCTTTGCTGTGTAAAATCTTGCAAGCATTGTCAATACTCGTTGAGGTTTTCGAGACTATTGCAACCTTGAAACATTGCTCTAGCATTATGTTGGCAACAGCAAACCCAATTCCACGCGAACCTCCAAATATTACACAAACTTTAGACATTTTAAAATTTTTAAATGTTCCACAAATTTTCTATTATCGCCCAGTAGAGACACGACGAATCGATCAACAAATAAAATCCCTCTCTTTGGCCCGAGTTTAATTCTTTTCAATATTATTTACTATTCTTCATATAATTATAATTGGGTAACTATATTTTAAAAGTAGTTTTAATACTAATGTTTGAAAGATGGAATATTATTTGTTGCAATTTTTGTTGATTGATTGTAAAAAACTATTAGGATAACATTGCGCATGCGTCGAAATTTTTCTCAAATTTTGTTTTGACGATTTTATTTTTATAATATTGTGATTTCTACAAAACATAGCGTAGCGCTGTGTCTAAGGAAAGGAATAACACATTGACATGAACCCTTTGTTCAAACAGTAGATAAATTTCAGTGCAATATGAAGATATTTTCTTGTCAAGGTAAGCTTTATTTTTCGTGCTAGATTTCCAGTCTATCATCTGTTTCTACCCGTGCCAGGACTTTCACTATAGTCATAGGAACATCTGCATTATCCCGTTCCCGGACTATGGTCCTGTGAACATCTCAATCTTTTGCCTGTGCGATTACAACATGGGAGAATTTTTTACTGATCTTACACTTCAGATACCTACTTCAATAGATTCCTTGGTAATTTAGCATTCTTTTCGTGTAGTTGAATCCACAATTGTCTGGGTTTATCGGCAGAACGAAGACATTTTCGTTTTTGATCGCAATATTTGCGTGTAACATTTAACCTTTTTCAACCGTCAAATTCCTCCATATTGGTACTTCCGGGCTACATCCGGGACAGCCAAACGGGGGATTCCTCGTTTAAATCCAACCGCCATTTTGAAAAGTGATGGAATCTCTCTCGATGAAAAAGAGAAAATGTTCTCGTTCTGCCGATATACCCAGACAATCGGCGGTTCCAATATATTAGAAGTTACATCTTGAGTTCTATAATGCATTGAGGTAGGTATCTTAAGTGTAAGGGGCGTAGATAATTCTCCCAAGTTGTAATCGTACAGGCAAATGAATGCGATCAGTGCAGGACTATAGTCCGGGAACGGGATAACATCTGCATAGCTTGTCTGTCTGATTACAAAATAGGAGAATTTTCCCTGCATTGCACACATGACTTGCCTCAACAAAATCTTATCTAGGTCCAATCACTTTCTGCTGTTGTTGTTGTAGATATTCTTACGGTGCTTTTATGTCACCTATTAGTCTCTCTGTGCTGGTTTATCACTAGGTTGCTATAGCTCTTTGTGTTGTCACTTTCTCGTCTTGGAAGCGTTCAATAGAAGCTCACATGGCCCTAGCAATGCACATATAACATTTTTTCAATGGAAAAGAGACGCGGCTGTCTCAGATTGCAGTAATATACACTTCAATCTTTAAATTGACCAGTATTATAAGATGTCTGGCATGACCTCAGGTATTATAGCGACGTAGTCACTTCCTGAACTAACATACTTGAGTGATATATAAATGAATATTTGCGTTATAATCATTCAGCTTTGACAGTTCGCATGTTTTTACCTAACAACACATCAAATACAACAGAGATTCTTAGTGAAATCAGCCAAATACATTGTTGTACCGATAACACTCATGATTTATCAAAGTGCTTGACTTGATTCCATATTAAAAGGATAATGGTCCTGGAAATGAAGAGATGTAGAAATGTCTGCACTGGATGAAATGTTTGTTTCCTCTGATCATCTGATGGCAGACATCTCAAAATACTTGTTGATTTAAAGATTGAGGTGTATATTACTGCTATTTGAGACAGCCATGTCTTTTTGTCATTGAAAGAATGTATCTTGTGGTGTTAAGAATCGAAAGAGGTAAGAAATCTAGGTGTAGCTAGCACTTAAAATATAATGCTTCCTAGACCAGAATCAAAAGAAATGGTCTTTGTGTGAGATAAAATAAATTTCTGTGTATTTTAGAGTTCTTTTTATGTAGTTGAATTTCTAATCATATGCGTTAATCAGCAGAACTAGATAACTTTTGTTTTTCATTGAGAAAGGTTGCACTTTTCATTTTCAAGGTGACGGTAGGTTTGAAAAGGGGAATCCCTGTGATAATGTTCAGTTTTGCATGGTGCTGCAGAGCCAAGATGTTCCAATAGATGGAGGAATTTGACTATTGAAATAAGTTCAATAACACACAAAAGATCCTTGTTCTGCTGATTGACCCATACTATTATGATTTAGATCACCAGTTGAATGAATTCGAAGTACTTCACATTTTCTTTTTTAATTTCATAAAAATCATGTTCATTTTGTTAAAACCACATTTCTTTAGATATTCCAATAACAATACAATGCTGTTGACAAAGCCCTAAATACTATAGAGGAGATGGCAGATGACCTTGAGGCATTCATAGCAGAGCAGAAAGCTAAACTTGCCCGAGAAAGAACTACGATAGGACCTAAAACAGACCCTCCAAAAGATGTAAGTGCATCAATCATTATAGTAATGTATAGCCCTTCATATTAATCTATCATCATACATGTACATGTTTATGACATCAGCTGATTTTCTTATCTTTTACTTTTTTCTTCAAAATAGTGAAGTAAGAAGTAAGATACATATTCGCAGGCCCGTAAGACACTTTTCTTCAAGGGGGGTGCGGTTTTTACTAAAGAGAATATAAAATTGTCAATTTTTTGCCGCGTAAATCAAATCGCCTAAGTCAGAGGGGGGGGGGGTCGGTTACTCCCTATATCGGTTTGGCATTAACAAATGCAACTTCAAAACGTTCCAATCATTTTGTGGGGGATGTGAGGAGTTGTCCACTCCCCCTAGAAAATTTTACAGTTTTGAGATGCTATTTGGTGCATTCTGGGCACTTTCAAAGTGTATGAGTCTATAAGAAAAATGTGAATTTTTTTCAAATTCTTTTGGGGGTGGCAAAAAAGATGAGAGGGTGAAGTGGGGCGGGGTGCCAGAGGGGGAGCAAGGGGTTGTCCCCCAGAAACATGGCTAACTCTTCTAGAAAATTTTACAATTTAAAGATGATATTTGGTGCTTCTAGGCACTTTTAAAGTGTATAAGTCAATAAAAACATTGAAAAACAAAACAATCATATTTTTTTTTCAAATTTTGGGGTTGTCAAAGGGGAGGGGAGGGAAGGGTGCCAGAGGGGGAGGTGGGGTTGGGGTGCCAGAGGGGGAGCAAGTGTTTGTCCACCGTATCTGTCCCCCAGAAACATTTACAACATCAAGGTGCTAGTCGATGAAGTCTGGGCACTTTAAAAGTGTCTGTGGCCTATTTCCCAAGAAAATTTTACAATTTTAAGATGCTATTTGGTGCTTTCTGGGCACTTTCAAAGTGTATGAGTCAATAAAATTTCTTTTTCAATTTTTTTTGGGGGGGGGTGTCAAGGGGATGCCAGAGGGGGAGGTGGAGTGGGGATGCCAGAGGGCGAGTAAGTGTTAGTCTCCCAGAATCATTAACTATATCAAGGAGCTATTTGATGATGTCTGGGCAATTTAAAAGTGTCTGAGACAATACATAAAACAAATTCAGAACTTTTCCATTGTTTTGTTTGGGGTGTGAGTGGTGGCCCACTCCCCCTAGAAAATTTTACAATTTTACGACGATATTTGGTGCTCTCTGGGCACTTTCAAAGTGTATGAGTCAATTAAAGAATTTGAGAAAATCACAACTTTTATCAAATTAATTTTTTTTGGGGGGGGGGTCAGAGGGGGAGTTGGTGTGGGGATGCAAGTGCAAGATGCAAGAGGGAGAGCAAGTATTAGTCCCCCAGAAACACTAACTGTATCAAGGAGCTATTTGATGGTGTCTATGCACTTTAAAAGTGTCTGAGACAAAACACTAAAATAAATTTAGAACTTTTCCATTGTTTTGTGGGGGGGGGGGGGTGAGGGGTGGCCAATACCCCTAGAAAATTTTACAATTTTAAGATGCTATTTGGTGCTTTCTGGGTACTTTCAAAGTGTATGAGTCAATGAAAAAAAATTACAAAAAAAAATTTTCAAAAAAAATTTCTTTTTCAAAAATTTTTTTTTCAAATTTTTTTGGGGGGTGACAAAGGGGGGTGCGGTCGCACCCATCGCACCCCCCCATCTGACGGCCCTGATTCGTCACATTTTATTTTTCTTGTAATAGATGTTGTAGGCCACTAGACTAAAATATATTATTTTTGCCTTTCTTCAGCTAAATATATTTTATCTATATGAAGTAGTATTTCACTTTATCTTTATTTTTAACCTGTTCACTTAAAAACACTATCACTATCATCCTTTCAGCGACAAAATCTTGAATACGTTAATCCTGGTCCTCAAAAGCCCCAAAGGAAACAATGGGGGCAGAAAGAAAATCCCGATATTTCTAACTTAAGGAGAAATGAGTCTCCACAAGAAACAGGTTTAAAGCTAGGAGGGTTCAATGATGCAAAAAGAAAGGAATTGCAAGAAGAGAGGAAAAGGGAATACAATGAGTTGAAAAATCAGGTGAATGCATGTTAAATTTTTACATTTGCATGTTGGGTCATTGGTGCTGGGATCATGCTATTGTAGAATAAGCCAATGTTTACCATATGCATGAACTTTATTTATCAAACAATGCATGGCATATTGTCATACAAGAGTCATTCAATAAGTTTTCATACAAATGCTCTTATTTCTATGTTTATAAAGGAATCAAGTTGAAAATTGTAGAGGTTACAGACAATTTGTATGTCTCGATTAATACTGGCCAATCATTATGAATTTCCTCCTCATTCTTTAATTTATTGAACGATCCTTGTTCATATCACAGTGGTGTTTGGTATATTTTTCTTCAAAGTATTATTGCTCTAAATTAGTTGCCACATGGAGAATGAACTTGGTCATGCATGTACAGACCATTGATAAAAATAAATGGGCAGAGCTTAGTTTGTGGAAATTGGGTATGAGGAAAATGCTGATACTCATTTAGATTAAGGCTTACTATTTAGATAGTTCATATGATTATTTAGCTAAGGTAGCTCATTGGTTCATTCATGCCATTTTGAAATTTCTTTAATTTCCGATTATTATCACAAATTTTTACATGCAGTTATTTTCATCTGTTATTGCCATTTTGACTTATTTCACAAGTTGTGGCTCAGTCTCTAATAGACCTAACCCTTGCCTTGGCTTCAAACTTGTTGACTACTACAGTATATATTAAAATTGTTGTTCCGACATCTTGGATGTACACAGCCATACATACACCTTTGCATGATACTCCTAAAAGGATGGTTTGCGCTCCTTGTAGACATGTATGCATATAATTTCTCTAAAAGATAATACTGAATCTGTCATGCCTAGTGCCATAATCATGCTAGTTCTTACATTTATCCTAACCGAATAGTGACATCGACATGCATGTACTTAAGTTTGTTGATTTTGCTTTGACGCTAGAACTCCCCACAAACTGCAACAAACCCTAGTTATAAGTCCTCTCCCCAGCAAGCTGCCCCAACCCCCAGTACAACCCTCATTGTGGGAGATGACCAACATACGCTGAAACAACAACTTCAGAAAGAGCGTCAGCTTGAATATAACAGCCTGAAAGGAGATGTAAGGACACTAAACCACTGTTTATATACTAGATGTACATGACAACATTACTTAGTAGAATGTGACTTTCATTGATTATATTTTTTTGAAAATTTTATTTCAATTTATGTTTTCTTGCTTTGCTTTGCTTATTGCCTCATATAAGTATGGTCAAGTTTTTATTTCATATTCATTGTAAATGATTGTATTTGATTATTGTGTTTCATTTTTATCATTTACTATTAAGCAATACAAGTCATACTATAATAATGGTATAATTAAACTGTATATTAATGTATTAGTTTTATGGGAAGCCAAGGAGGGAATACCGAGCTCGAGAGACCCCTGCGGAAAACAAACTTTTACAATTAGGGGAACACGAAGCTAAACATAAAAAGATAGAAGATGAGAGACATCTAGAATTTCTCAAAACCATACAAGAAAAAGATCCACGTAAAAATCAGAATGAATCTCAAAGCAGGAGAGGAAATAATGAAAACACATATCAAAATCAGCAATCATTTTTAAATGACCCTCGTCAAAATGACATCAACAGATATCCTGACCAATCAAGTCTTGGTGTAGAGCAAATGCAAGAGAATGACTCGTACAATACCCAGGTAGCTGACACATTGAGCAACAATAATATTGTGAAATTCAACTTGAACGTGAATGTTTATAATCTAATACTTGGCTTTCAACATAAAAGGGCTGGATGGAATGGAATCTTGGAATGGATTTCGAAACTTATCTTAAATTTGGAAATTTCAATATTTAGATTATTTATCATATATAAAATTAAAATTATGGATTTTACTTAATCCAATCAAGTTTGTTATAGTGAATTTGCAAGTGTTTTTTTATGGCAATTGGTAAATTTCAAAAATATCTGAGCATGAACCTGAGTTCTAAAAGTCTGATTCTGAAGGTAAAATCTGATGAATCAGAGAAAATATCCATTCTTTTCAGTCCTACTTGTTGTGACAAATTTCTTTTTCTTGACAACTAAATATTTTTGTATTTCTCCCTTAATAAAAGGACGAGTTACAATAAGTCCACCTAATATTTTTAACCTGACGTTTTTGGCATAAATCTAATCTAACAGCTTAAGAATCTGATGAGTTGTAACAAATAAATGTTTTAGTTCTAACTTAGTCTATTAATACTGTTGCTACAGTTCTATTATAATTATGAAATAAAAAGGTGAAAGTTGAATAAAGAAAATGAAACAACAGGCAAAGGTTTGCAGGCTTAACTACGCACATTTTTGTTGAATTGAGCTCTCTATTTCAACTGTTTAATTTTTGTGTGAATTGCATGAATGTATTATTATTATTATGCCGCTTTTATTCTCATAATAAAATGGATTTAACATGTATACATAAATCAATCAAACAATACTACAATTTCTGTGCAGTCTGTACTAAATAAACTTAAAAACTTAAAAATTGCTTCTTGTGGCGTTTGCTTCATATATTGTAATATCAAAGATTTTGCAATATCCATGAATGTACAGTATAGGTACATTTAGGTTGATTCAATAAAAGTCTTTAAACTTGTACAAAAACATATCAATGAAAATTTTTCCTTTGTTTATAGTATTGAAAAACACCCCAAATAAGTACAAATAAAGACAGATACTGTACTTTTATTGAAATCTTACTCACTTTAGACATACATCAAAATGTTACAATCAGTTCAAGATATCATGATGTCTTACCATGTACATTTTGTTTATATTTTATTTATATTTTTAGTTCACTCCCAAGTCCAAGATGAATGGGCATGTCCCAAACAAGGAGAATGTGACTCCTGACCATGATCTGTTCTCAAAACTTGGCAACCAGTCTGATGACAAAAAGAGAAAATTGCAGGAGGAGAGGAAAAAAGAATACAATGCTATGATATCAGAGGTAGAAATATTTTCTGCTATACTGGGAAAAGTGCTATATTGTAATTATCTTATGTTGGTCGATGGCAAGTGTGATAGCTTTTTGCCAGGCAAAGGGTTATTTTGGAGTCTACTTATTTCTTTGAATATCAAGACCTACATATATGTATATAGAGGTTATTTAATGGGAGGTTTTTGATAGAGGGTATATCTGAGGGACCGAGGGTTGATATATTGTTTTTACTGAGGGACATTCCCTGTATCAAAAATCAAGCATTCAATAACTGATTTATCCTATACATATTAGATTATGAAGAATAATAGCAAAGTCTCCTTGCTCAGTATCTACTCCCTGAATTTGTGACATCATAGATCTGATGAGCGGGTGATATCAGCGGGTGATATATCGCGTCACATATCAATTATGTTCCCACATGTTATTTACCTATAACACTACTATGTATGGAATAAATAGAGATTATCCTATATGAGGTTCAGGATATTGGGATTATCCCGAGGCCAATATAATATATCTGCCAGAAGGCCGTAGGAGCGGGACGTAAAGCTATATCTGCCCGCTGATGAAAATATAGGTTTTTACAAACAGGCTTTTAATGTACCTGTAACACGTCCAAGTATAGGATAAATGGCAGTATTTGGATTTGGTGAATTTGGAAACCTAGAAACTACCTGATATCAATGCTCATTTTAACTTGTAATAATATTTTTGAATCTATTTTTAGCAAGCTGTGCGAAGTGGTCGAATAAACGATGACACCACAGGCTATACAACCACATTGCCAGGCATGAAAGAAAGAAACTCTGCACAGGTAAATAACCCACTTTACAATATACAAAACCTGTATATATATTGCATATACATTAAATAGCTCAAAGACCCAACACCTCACTGTTTAGTATTTATAGTTTCATGGACCTTTATTATTAATGTATCATTATTAATCAATTATCACAACACATTCATTCATTCAGGCAATAACTCAAACACTGTTGGGATGATATTGTTTGTATTTTATACACATATGTCTCTGTTGGAAAAATTATGTTTTTAATGCAAAAAAAATATTTATGATGTTGTTTAAGTCCAGGAAGAATAAAACTTAAGAAGATTAAAAAGTATTCTGTTAAATATATATGTAGGTACGTCAAGAAAGAAGATCAGAAGAAAGAAAGCATGATTACCAGGATTACTTACAGTCGGAACAAGAGAGATTACGTCACAGACTTGATGGGAAGAAACCCCCTCCAGGTGGCCAGGTAATACATACATGTAGGACTCTCTATTGTTGTACAGCATGAACTATTTTTTTGTGACCTGATTACTGCATGCTCTAATTTACACTGAGGAAATATAAAGTGATCAATTAGGTGATACAGCACGTTTGTTTCAATAGTGATAAGTTTTCTAGATTATCTTTAATGCACATGCAAAATTTATTTTTTCAAAATCACACAAATTTTAATTTTTTATGTCACTACCAAAAAGTGGTGACATATTGTTATGGTCTCCGTTTTTTGTGACTGGTTGGTGATCTGTGGTTGGCATCTAACAAATGGCAGTGACATTTTGCATGATTATGCCTTGTGTCTGTGTTGTACTGTAGTCAGTTTTTGAATTGTAGAATACTAGAATCACATCTATATAGCTATAATGTACATATATATGTTCCTTGCATGATCTAAAATATCAACTTGCATATTGATAGAGTATTAATGCTTTGCAGTGTCTGTCTCAATGATATCAATATCATGCCTTTTCCTTTCCTAAAATAAAAAAACAAATGTGAAGTATTCCAAATATTGATGAAATATACATCGTCATTTGGTGCTTCATTGAGACTGAAAAATATACATTAAAACTGAAACTGTTAAGGCCATTTTGGAAAAGGCATGATCTATGATGTACAATCTTGCTTTTAGTGTGCTTATTTCTTAGGCTGGTTTTGAAGATACACGCTCTGCTGGTGTTCCTTCTAGTCGGGAAAGGGAGCGTGATGTATCATTTTACCAAGATAGAGATAGGGAGCAAAATATCCCTAGGTATCCATTGGAAAGAGAGCCTGGACAAAGGGTAAGATTATAAGGGGCTAATTAGACTGAGTATTCTGAGTCTAAAGATTTGAAAATGTTTTTTGAAAAATATTCACTCACTCAACCTCCTTTTTTATAGAAACAATATTGCCTCAGGAAACTACAAAATTGTTTTGTCTAATGTATTTTCTCCATCAAAGAAAGAACTATGAAGCGACTTTTTCTGACCAAAAATATTTTGTGGTATTTTTTTGATTAAAACCAGTATCGACAATTCTTTTTGAAGAAGGATTAAAATGAATGAGAGTTTCATGATTGATTTCAGCCATAAATAGAATTAAATGGCATCCCATAGATTGTCTGATTTTGAAATGGCATAACTTGCATAACCTACATACACTCTGCTATACATGTGTAATGCTTGGTTGGTTAGAAATTGAAATTATATTTACATGTTTTAATAGGTAGTTAAGTCATTCAGTTTTGCTTTTCTTGTGACAATAACTTCAACACCTGTACATAACCAGCATTAATATAATAACAATGAAAATTATGTTTTTTCAAATATTTAGCCGGGGCCAAATGACAGTTTTGAAGCCAGCCTCCCAGGTCTGAGGGATCACCCTTCGGCAGAAGTAAGGCTTTAATGGATAGAAAAAATCTGAAATTGTCATACATTAAATGTACATGTAGTAACTTTGTCAGACATTGAAAATTAAATTAACAAGAATTGTCTACCAATATTTTCAATGAGCATGTAATATTATATTATAAATATACCCCAACAGCAAAAGTGTACATTCAAGAATCCATCACCAACTCTCCAGCTTTTAGCTATTCAATTCTGTTAACCTTTTTGTATAGGCTCGCAAGATCCGTGAACGTAACAATGAATACCAACTATATCAGAGGGGCCAGTTAGAGCAGGACTATTTGAGGAGGCAAGGTGCCTCCTATAGAGACAATGTGAGTGATGTCTTTGTTTATACAACCAGAATTAATTCAGTAGATTATAGGTGTATTTTTATGTCACCACCAGAAGTGGTGACATATTGTTAAACAGTGAAACCTGTAAAATTGAATACTTCTAGAAGTGAACCACCTCTGAAAATGGAACACTTTTTAGGGTCCCTAGGCCAACTGACTTAATGTTAAATGAACCTCTGTAAGTGGAACACCCCACAAGTGGAACACTTTTCAGAGGTACCAAAGCTCTTCCACTTTGACAGGTTTTACTGTAGTCCTTTTGAAGACTGCTGCCAATGTTCAGGATTCGGCATCTGTCTGTAACCAATTCTTACAACTTCCAATAACAGATGGTGAATTTTTGTCATGTTAAAGTCTTCTGTATCATCGTAATCTGCATGTAGTAGAGTATGTATATACATTCTATAATATTTTAATATTTGATGTTGTCTAAATTGTTATAGGTGGAATATTTTGTAAGTATTGTATTTCCATGCCTAATTGTTGCTGTATTATAACAACATATATATATATGCAGTTTTGTTCAAATTTACCACCACATCATTATAACATCCAGTTGTATTAACAATGTAATTATTGTGTTCGATATACTTTATACTAGTTATGAGTCATTTGTTCAGATTCTGCATTCGGAAAATTGTTTTTACATATGATTATTTATTTATTAAAAAACTAATACTGAATTTGGCACATACCATTTTGTACATTTGCAAAATTGAAGTGAAAATGTTTTTTGGTGGTTTTTGTGTAGAATGCATCATCTAATGTGTTTCATTTGTTGCACGTAATACATAAATAGAATTAAGAGGTTGGATCTGATGTGAAATATACATGCATCATTGCATATGCATCAGTTTTCTTTCATGTTTAGTGATCACAAACAATCTGAATACTTTTCCATACAAAGGCATGAAATGCAACAGTTGCCGTTTTCCATTGTGAATAAATAAATACATGATTAAAAAATGTGTATGATATTGTTCTCTAGAATGAATTTGATTTATTTGTGTCATTATACTTTTTCAAATTTCAGAGACCACTTGATAGCAACATTGTGTTGGACCCCCGGGACCCACGTTATTATGAAGATGAGAGGTTACCCCCACAGTATCGACGTGAACCCCCAAGGAAAGGTTGGGGTACCCCTACATACGAAGAAATATTGGATAAAAAGAGGAGAGAAGAAAGGGCATATAGGTTTGTTTAAAAAATTTTTTAGTCTAAATATCAGGAGTATAAGGATTGTTTAGAGTTAATTAATAACAAAGCTTTTATATTTATTCTCTGCATGGAGTGAATATGATAGGATCACACAATTTTTATTTTGACCAATTAAAATACATGCACCTGTCATTGACAAATTGGGGCACTTTAAGGATTCAGTTTGTGATATGCTTGTATATGTGCTCGAGCGATATAGTCTAGCTAAAAGGCCTTGTGCCCCACTTTACAACTCCCCACCAGTAGATATGGAAGGAGAGATGGGGGGGGGCATTCAGAGACTTGAAGCAACACTTTTACTGTTGTGTCAAAACATGATACATTAAAGTCAATGCATAGATAAGTAAGTCTTGACAAATTCTAGACAAAGCCCAAAGCCAAAACTAACATCTATTTGGGGTTCTAGATCTATTCTGTTTTGATATACATGTATATGTAAGTTGTATGTTTAAAGCTAATGCATGTAGTGTTTATCAACTAATTTTGATTTAGGAGAGGGGATGATCCTGGTTTGCATGGGGGCCTAAGGACATCTATCAGTGATGGCAATTTATATAAAACATTTGAGGATGATCAACGGCTAAAAGAATTAGATAAAGAATATGAATCTAAGTAAGATTTGATTTATTTTATTTATTTATGTATTACATATTCTTATGATTTTGAATAGTGATTATCAATTTTATGATATTTTTATTGGACCCAAGAATTCTCAAATAACTTTAGCATACAGAGTAAATGTTACTTGAAACATGAATTAGTTGTGGCAATTTTAAATTGCAAATAATTCTTATAAGGAAGTTAACTAGGTAAACATTTGGTGAACTACATTTTGACCAAATAAGGAGTCTATCATGAATATTAAAGTTATTTGAGAATACCTAAGGCCACAATTATTGGGTCACCCTGTAGTAAAATGCAGAATGAACTCTTTAGGTACCAGTGCCTTTGGGTAGAAAGTGGTACTGTGTATTTTATTGCAAATTGGACAGTTATTTTACATAAAATGCACGTTTAGTTATGTTACAAGTATGATGTTAAAAACAAAATTAGTACTGGTATTCATAAAATACTTTTCAGGTTTATACTGAGAGCCATTCCTCCCAGTTTTCCATTTCCACAAAGGGTAGACAGATGCTTTGCCTATGGATTTGTAGAATTTTGAATTTTGTTTTGTTTTAGTTGAATCAGCAAATTTTCTTAGAATCAATGAATAATTAGTTTAAGCTCGGTAATTTTTTGGCTTCTCTGGAAATGATTGAAACAAAAATTATATCAATTTCTGTAGTTTTTATTTGTCAATTTCTGTGTTTTTATTTGCGAGATAAGAAGAGAATACTTCTATGACTGAATGAATCAGGATATGTTGCATCAGGACTCCTGATATTGGGACAACTTAAGCTTTTTATTTGATAAATGTTTATTAAAATTGCATGTTTGCTTCTTATCACTATTTGCTTGTAGAAGGGTGAGATTTAGAGATGAAGTAAAGAAAAGCAACGAAAAACTGAGTGACCTTGGTACAGAATTTGGAACGTTTCAATGGGTAATAATGTGATGTACCCCCTTATATGTCTGTGTTTTGTGCTCATATCACAGATTTAGGTGCCGGACTTGAAATTGCCCAAGCCAGTCATACTGTGTGTTTTAATGTGTGGAACAGAGCATTTAAAAATGAGCAATTTAAATAATACACACTATAGTTCTCATATAAAATGCTCTGTCCATATCTAATATCTAATCAAACCCTTTCAAAACCTAACCAAATTAACATTTTTTGCCAGGCGTGTTCGTTTTCAAGATGAATTACTTGGGCGTAGGGGGATCACTAGCATCCTTGATGATAAAAAATGGCTAGAATTTGAAGATGCAAGAAAGGAGAGGCCAAGATCTTATCACGCAAGTAGAAGATATGATCCTGATCCAGAAACTGAGTTTTCAAATTGGGTAAACTTCAAATAGGCTCATTCTTTGCTTACTTCTTGCTGCTTATCTTAATGCATGTTCAAGCCAGCTTTAAATGTACAATTCTGTATTTTTATAGTTCTGTATTTTTCTATAGCCTTAAGCAGTCTTATTTTGTGTAGTTTCACTTAGGTTTAATTTGAATGCTCCATTAGATAGTGGGGCATGCCTTCATGTATATGTGTGATAAAGTAATCTTGTGTCATGTATTACACAATGTTTATGACATAAAGGTTGCACATATATTTCTGTTTCAAAAATATAACCACAAACCAATTAGAATTGTGATTATAATCATGAATATCAATATTTCAATGTAATGATACTTGTCCTTTCATGTGCACAATCATAAAATAGTTGATATTCTTATGCACAATAACTTGGGAATGTCTGAGTTAAACTGATTTGATAAAACTTTCAAAACTGTGTTAAGGAAGTGTTCATAACTATAACTGAGAGTGTGTATCTGGTTGCTTTGATAGCCTGCTATGCATGAGAAAAACCAAGCACATGCTCATAGAGATGCTTTAGAAGTAAGATTGACTCACACTGCATGGTGGTGACATCATCCACTGCATGACATTTACACATAATGGTATACTGCAGTAGTTACTCATACAATTTGGCAGTTGGTCATGTAACATGTTACACAGGCTGCATGTCAGTTACACATACTGCATGTCAGTTACACATATTGCATATCAGTTACACAGGCTGCATGTCAGTTACACAGGCTGCATGTCAGTTACACACACTGCATGCCAGTTGCACAGGCTGCATGTCAGTTACACATAATGCATGTCAGTTACACAGGGTGCATGTCAGTTACACAGGCTGCATGTCAGTTACACAGGCTGCATGTCAGTTACACACACTGCATGCCAGTTACACAGGCTGCATATCAGTTACACATAATGTATGTCAGTTACACAGGATGCATGTCAGTTACACAGGATGCATGTAAAATACACATACTACTGTATTACATGTCCGTAACAAATACTATATGTTGGTTACACATACTGCATATCATACATATGTTTGTTACACTCACATAATCTATGTAAATTATACATACTGCATATAAGTTACACATACTCTAATATTGGTTACACAATATGTCAGTTATCAAACCTTTATTGCAAAACATAGAAACCACACCCACAGTTACATGCTGAATCTGTATGAAAACTACATTTTCTGCATGTATATTATATGTAATAGGCACACTTTCTCTGTAGCAGTTGCCACCTTTACTTTCACTTAATGAAGCAGTTATCATTCTTGTAGACAAATTATGAACAAAATTCTTTTGCATTCAATAATACACCAAAGTTTGATTCATGTGTTAGAAATTCCTATATCATTTAGATGTGTTTTCAAATATTGCCATTCTTGCTGTTGTCTCTTTTTTGTTCATGAAAAAACTCAATTGAAGTAAAGTATCATTTATATCTCGATGAAATGTTGATTTGATTTAATAAGTTAGATGTCAAGTTGAGTGGTATCATTAGAGTTAAAGATCATGATTTATAAATGAAAGAATCTTGTAAAATATAATTTCAAAAACATAACATAAGTCTGTTGTCTGAAGTTATTATAAGGTAGTTAAAGCTACCTTTCAAATAACACTCCTCGTATATATAATCATGCTAAATCTAGATTTTCTTTTAACATATAGAACTAAGCTTTAAACTATTTGTTAAACCCGCAATCAAGTGATAATCAATAATGCTCGGATACTTGTAGGATGATACAGTACATGTATGGTACAATTTAAGTTTAAGTTAAAAGGAAATCTAAATTTTAATTTTCTGCGTATAACTAACCCATAATATCTGTGTAAATGTATGTTAACCCTCAGTCACTCTTCACTCTAGCTCACCAATCTTAAACTCAAGTATGACAAACCTTATTCCCCACCTCCGCCCCAGTCTACCACCTTGGCTAAATATGACCTAAACATATCTACTAACATATCAGGCTTATCTGACCCACTTGCTACAACTAACATAGGCCTTGGGAAGGTGAGATCACATTGTCTCTAGATGTGTGCATTCAAACAGTAAACATGAGTATCATTGTTAATGTGTGTTAAATAGAATGTGTTGGAGGTGATATGGTATTAGATGCAATTCTGGATGCCTCACACGTCACTTTATTTTACTTTTTATATGAGTATGTCATAAGTATTGAAAAAGTACTTTTTAGAACCACTTTTATTATATTACTTATTTTACTTTGTTCAGTTTGTTTTTTGTCTTGATAGAAAATAAAAAAACAATATTTTCTTCATTGGGATTTTCCACTTTTGGGAGTTGCTGTTTTCTAGTTTGAAAATGATAATAAAGTTAACTACACTTTAAATAACAGTTAATATTTACTCTCTTTAAATGACAGTGAATGTTTTTATGTCCCCACCACATAGTGTGGGGCCATATTGTCGTCCTAGGTGCGTCCGTCCGTCTGGTTGTCTGTCTGTCCGTCCGTACGTCCGGCAGTTTTCTCCAAAACCGCTACAGGTATCACTGTCCCCACCACATAGTGTGGGGCCATATTGTCGTCCTAGGCGCGTCCGTCCGTCTGTCTGGTTGTCTGTCTGTCCATCCGTACGTCCGGCAGTTTTCTCCAAAACCGCTACAGTTATCACCTTCTAATTTTCAGGAATAACTTATGAGTGCCTATAGATGTGGATGAAAAAAATTTAACTCGAAACCTACTTCCTGTCGGCCATTTTGAAGTCAAATGCTAAAATCCTTGTCTGCAAACTTTAAGAAAAACTGCTTCACAGTTGCTTTTAAAACTTTAAAATCTTGTTCAGCTCACTTCATTCTAGATCTGATTAGGTTTTGGACCTGCTAGCTCAGTCATGTCAGCCATTTTGAATGTCTTAAGAAAAGTTAGCGCGCGATAATACTTTGTATCATATTGAATGGTGTTTTTGAGTTTTCATACTTTAACTATTTAGTAGCTTTATAAATAATTCCAGATGTACTTTGCTGTAAAAGCCTACTTTATTGTTAACAGTAGTTATATGTGATAATTTTGTAAAAAGAAATCAGCAAAAACTCATAAGGACTTTTTTATTGTCGGCCATTTTGGATTTTTCGGTCCTAAAATCTTGTCTGTGAAGTCTTGTCTGCGCGTTTTCAGGTGAACCGTTTGGTGGATCAATTTCAAATTTTCAGGGATGATTCTTAGTATAAAAATCTAGATCTCATTAGTTTTTTGGCATTCTGGGTAAATGTCAAGGCAGCCATTTTGGATTTTCCATCCTAAAATCTTCTCTGTAAAGTCTTGTCTACTCGTTTTCAGGTGAACTGTTTGGTAGATCAATTTCAAATTTTCAGGAATGATTCTTAGTATGAAAATCTAGAACTGATTAGTTTTTTTGCATTCTTGGTAAATGTCAAGGCAGCCATTTTGGATTTTCCGTCTTAAAATCTTGCCTGTGAAGTCTTGTCTACGCGTTTTTAGGTGAACGGTTTGATAGATCAATTTCAAATTTTCAGGGATGATTCTTTGTATGAAAATCTACATCTGATTACTTTTTTTTGCATTCTGCGTAAATGTTAAGGCAGCCATTTTGGATTTTCTGTCCTAAACTCTTGTCTGTAAAGTCTTGTCTACCCGTTTTCAGGTGAACCGTTTGGTAGATCAATTTCATATTTTCGGGGATGATTCTTAGTATGAAAATCTACAAACAGATTAGTTTTTTGACATTCTTGGTAAATGTCAAGGCAGCCATTTTGGATTTTCCATCCTGAAATCTTGTCTGTAAAGTCTTGTTTACATGTTTTCTGGTTAACTGTGTGACGGATCAATTTCAAGGTGGCCACTTTGCATTTTCCGTCCTCAAATTGTGTTGGTAAAGTCTTGTCTACTCATTTTCAGGATAACCATTTCACGGGATCACCACTTGGTGGGGACATTTTGTACACATTTGTGTTCTTGTCTCACTTTGATTTTTAAAGGATTCATTCTGAGAAATACACTTGAAAATGATCAATTCATCACATACATTTCACCATCATATATAACTTCTTATATCTGGTTTGTTTTCTGTTAGGATGCCAATAGAAATCGAGGAGGGCTGTCGGATAGAGGAAGCCGTCGTGACTATGATGACCGAGGGAGAGCAAACTCAACTGGAAATGTGGCTGCTACATTACCTATAGGTATAGTAGGCTTATTGAATGACATTACTAATTATAGATTGATTTAATGATGTATATTCAGCTTACTAAATGCAACTCATGATATATAGTTAATAAAGTGGAATGAATGGTTTGTTATCACCTAGACTGTACCTAACTTGACGTAACTCATTTGCCCTTTGCATGGCCATGATGCATGCTATTTTAATACAATGAGTTATAGTGCTGCTTTGTAATTCTTTCAAATAATGTGGGTGTATTGCCATTAAATGCTTTTCTTACGAATATTTCTGTTTTGAATGCTTTGACTAAATCTGCATAATTCTAATTGTTTGCATTTTCACTGATTACAAAGGGAATGCTACAGGAATAGTTGGTAATTGCTGTTATCGATTTTCTTGCTTTCTAACACTTTTTGGAGATATTAGATTATTTGTTTTCCTATTACTAGCACATTTTTCTTTGAAATATCATGAAATTCAATTGTCTTTCCAGATTTTTCGATAGTTCTGAGGAGCAATTGAATTTTACAAAATCACATTGATTCACGATATATTCAAGAAATGTTCCTACAATAAAATGGTGAACAAAATGTCTTGTAACCTCTTGATTTTACTCTGCTGCACTATGCTTGACTTAATATGCTTAATGAAATATGTTTTTGTAAGTACATGTATGTGATATAATTGTAATTTAGTGTATCAAACATACATGTTTTGTAATGTACTTTTCATCACACAGGAATACCTGTTTCTTTTTATCCTAGAGAACTAACAATTTTGTTGTATATCTGATTACATGCATACAGTTTGGTTCATATTACACTTACACACCTAACCATCGACAAGGTACAGTGACAAAATACACTGTAGTAAACTTTCGATGTACGATGTCACTATTTAACCAATTTGAAGCAAAGGAAATGATGCAGGTGTGATGTAGGTTTTAAAAAATTAATCTTGGGAATACTTGAAAGATTTCATGTTTAATTTCGTGTGTATTCGTTTAGGAAGACATTTAACTTTCTAATAAGATTAAAAGATTTTCGAACAGTGCTCGATTTTTATCGTAGTCAATCTACCCAAGAAAATTGATCGCTTGGAAAATGTTTGGTTTTTCACATTTCCTTTGATCATATTTTCCCCTGAAAAATCTTTCACACTCTTAGGTGACAGGGGAGGAAATGATCAAAGGAAATGTGTAAAAACACACATTTTCCAACCAACCAATTATACGGGTAGATTGACTACGAAAAAAAATCGAGCACTGTTCGAAAATCGTTTAACGTTATTAGAAAGTTAAATGTCTTCCTTAACGAATACACAAAAAATCAAACATGAAATCCTTAATGCATTCCTCAGATTATTTTTTTAAAGCCTACATCAAACCTACATCATTGTCTTTGCTTCAAATCGGTTAAATAGTGACATCATACATCTAAAGTTTACTCCGGTATATTTTGTCACTGTACCTTGTCGATGGTTAGGCGTGACTTATATAAATATTATCTTCTGTCTATACAGACATGTCTATAATAGCACAACTAGTGGCCCACTTCATAAAACATTGGATCCAATCAGGGAAGCATGATAAAACACATGTTTAGAAGTTCTATAACTGATAATTTGTTTGTCCCAAGCCAGTTTTAGACAGAGTTTGGCACACAATGAGGTCTGAGCCAAGACTTGAGTTGGATAGAAACTTCAGCTTCTGATCTCAAGATATGGAAAACAAAGAATTTCTAACTTCATGAACATTTCTTGATTTTTATTTATGTTTAATCTGGAAAGGTGGATGTCTCCCTTTTATTAATTTAAATTATTTTAATTTTGTTGAATTTTGATATGCCTTTTCTGAAATTTTCTATAACTTCCTTTGATCAGCTATAAAGACAAAATTCTCATATCTTTTTTGTGTATATAAAAAAGATCGTTTCTCACATTTTGCACTTTGTATTTCTTTAGAGAGAATGAAATCTATAGTAAAACAAGCTAAACAAAAATTGTTTCAATTTTGGAACATTTTTGGCTCATATCATTCTCTGTCATGCCCACTTAGAAGCATACTACACTTTCTTATGACAATTTGGCTATAGTGAGCAACTATTTTGAAAATGGTGGCCATTTTTTGTGTGTTATTTTACGATTTTTTGCTATATGCAGGGCGTCCAATAAGTCTGTTCTCCCCCCTTAACTTTTTTAATTCAGAGATAAAATAGGGTTGGGATATATCATCCCAAAGGAAATTTAATTTGCTGATCACACACCAAATTTCAGAGTGATTGGTTAAATTCCCAATTTTTTAGAGTATTTTTAGTGATGTCCATATTTCACTTTTTTAATAGTCTGTATGTCTCCCCCAGCAGCCTAGAGGGCCTCAATTCTATGAGGATATGATCCTGTATAAATCATTCAGAACGTTTAATTTTAGGTGTTATCAACTATTTTCTGATGAAAGATGTCCCTGCTTCAAAGGGTCTCCTGAATGTATCACATTTTACTCTGTAATGATATTGAGAAACATCGAAATCACCCAATGTTGGCATTGTCACTGCAGTATCAACTTTTCACTTTTCATTCACTATACCTGGTAATTTTACTTGTTTTGACGTAATCAAAGGTCAACTACAACCTTACAAGAAACATTGTAGCAGTTTTATTAGGAGGAGTTTATGATTGATTTTTTGAGAGTGATCAGCATTTTCCATGAGCTTCAAAATGATATATGGGAAAGTATGATAAATTTAAAGATAAAAAAGTTAAGGGGGGAGAACAGCCTTATTTGACACCCTGTACTTCATTAATGTAAAAATGCCAGTCATGGCTGTTTGATTTTGAATTCTGGATAGTAAAAATACATTGCTGTTTTTTAAATAATATCTATACTAGCTTGCATTGTAAAATATGTGTAGATTTATTATAATATGCCACTTAACTCTTCTTCTCTAGGGGGTGAGGATAGGGACAGTGCTAAACAGAGGAGGAAGCAAGAATATAGGAGGGATCTTGAACAGCAGATAGCTGAACAGCAGCAATCAAAAAGGAGGTCAGTTAACATCACATCACAACAAATGTTCTTCATCTAACCTCCAAAAAATTCCATATCAGAAAGATCAAATTTCTTACCTATGATATTTAAATCCCCTAAAACTAATTTCAGTTGAGAGTTTGTAAGAGTTCAGTTTGAACTAAAACTATGCACTTTAACTGTTAACATCAATCTAAAGCTTTTAGCTTTATTAGAACAGAAATATAATGTCATGGGGTAATATTTAAAGAGATCCAGTGAGTCAGCTAAAAGCACATTTAAAGCAGCCCCACTAATACTTTTGTGTTAAAAACTCTCGAGGCTTAAACTAAATCATTTATGGTATCAATTTTATCATTGTTCACAGACATTAAGACACCAGGAAACTCAATGCTAAAAAAAGCATCATTATTTATAAATTGAGATGAAAAAATTTGCAAAAATATGCATTTCAATATCATTAGTAGTATAACTGATCATTTTCAAATAAAAGAAGTGTACTTATTTGACTTTTTTCAAGCTATTTATATAATCTTAGTTTATGATAGTCACTGAAAGGCTCTAGTACATGAAAGGCTCAAGTACATGAAAGACTCAAGTACATGAAAGGCTCAAGTACATGAAAGACTCAAGTACATGAAAGGCTCAAGTACATGAAAGGCTCAAGTACTGTACATGAAAGACTCAAGTACATGAAAGGCTCAAGTACAGGAAAGACTCAAGTACATGAAAGGCTTGATATGAAAGGCTCAAGTACATGAAAGGCTTGACATGAAAGGCTCAAGTACATGAAAGGCTCAAGTACATGAAAGGCTCAAGTACATGAAAGGCTTGACATGAAAGGCTCAAGTACATGAAAGGCTTGACATGAAAGGCTCAAGTACATATTAACCACACACTGCTTATTTAGGCCAGAGGTTTGATTGCCAGCAGTGACATTCTTTTTTTCTTATTAATTTTATTTTCTTCTCTTTTTGAACAACAACACATTTAATGATTATCTTCAAGATAAATCTAGACAACTGGATCTCTTTAAAGTGTATTTTATGAGCTTTGTGGATGATATCTAACGACCACTGTCTACTTAAGACTCTACTTACATAGCACTTTCTGTAATTAATGCACTATTTGATATAAAGGTTAGTTATGTTCGATGCATAGGCCATAAAAGAAATTAAATGTATCCAATACACTGAGGTTTGAGGTAGATGACATTTTTATTGTACCTAATAAAAGGTACGATATTGTAGTCAGCTTGACGGGTGGGCGGGCGGGCGGCGGCAGAGTCTCACTTTTCAGCTTGTCTACAGGTCTCCAGCCAAACAATTTGAGGGATTCATCTGAAATTTTCAGGGATGTTTCTACATATCAACGTCAAGAACTGATTAGTTTTTGGGCATTCTTGGTAAATCTTAAGGTGGCCATTTTGGATTTTCCGTCCTAAAATCTTCACTTTCAAGACTTGTCTACAGGTTTCCAGCCAAACCTTTTGAGGGATTCATCTGAAATTTTCAGGGATGTTTCTACATATCAACGTCAAGAACTGATTCGTTTATGGGCATTCTGGTTAAATTTTAAGGTGGCCATTTTGGATTTTCTGTCCTAAAATCTTCACTTTCAAGACTTGTCTACAGGTTTTCAGCCAAACCATTTGAGGGATTCATCTGAAATTTTCAGGGATGTTTCTACATATCAACGTCAAGAACTGATTAGTTTTTGGGCATTCTGGGTAAATTTTAAGGTGGCCATTTTGGATTTTCTGTCCTAAAATCTTCACTTTCAAGACTTGTCTACAGGTTTTCAGCCAAACCATTTGAGGGATTCATCTGAAATTTTCAGGGATGTTTCTACATATCAACGTCAAGAACTGATTAGTTTTTGGGCATTCTGGGTAAATTTTAAGGTGGCCATTTTGGATTTTCCGTCCTAGAGCTGATTAACTTGCTTTCTTGGTCAACAAGACCACAATGCTGTGTTTTAGGTACGATATTGTTCACGTCTGTGCCTTGTTTCATGCTTCTGTAGTTTGATTTCAAAGTTAACTCATCACATTAAATCAGAGGTAAAGGTTGATAACATATAAGAATACTGATGCTGAATACTATTTGGGGAGTGAGATTGTTAATGTCTGTATCTGTCTCATTATTTCTAGGATCTTGAACTGAAATAGTTATCCCAGTCATGACCATCAAAAAACCACACTAGAAAATTAAAATCACAAATGTTCAATTTAAAAAAAGGTTTTCCATTATAAAAAAGGATTCATGGAACCTAAAGTTGGTTTTGAAGACCTCTGTTTTATACAGCTGGTTTTAGATCCAGACTTTTACACCCTTGCAAGTGATCTTATTCGCGGCACTGGGTTTGTTTATATTTCAATGGAATATCACTTCTAATCAGTTCAGTAAAAATGGTGACCTTACCCTACTGAAATTGAGATCATGTTTCATAGCTAGTTTGGTGCATAACAGTGCCCAGGCTCAAGGGCATTGATTGTACTTTGTATAGAAAACAATCTGTGATCAAAAGAGATATGGGGCCTAGCCATTTCTGTAGGGTAAGGTCACCATATTTACTGAGATGATCGGTTATATTCCATAGTAATGTAAATAAACCCAGTGCCACAGGTAAGATCACTTTCATAGGGTGTTGATCCCTTGTGATACGTGTGTATTTATTTGGCCTTTGGTCATTTGGGTGATACAAACATTTTCATCTGGATAATCCCTGTATATAACACTACAGTAGACCTTGTAGAATGCGTACTGATCTAACATATCTTTTCTAATATGTTGTTTGTGTGTACTAGTGAGAAAGACTTGGAACTTAGAGTGGCAGCCACAGGCGCTGTAGGGCCAGTAGGGGCCAAAATACCACCTAAGTCAGACTCCTATTTCAATAGGTAACTACTTTTCACAGTTGTAGAATAGGCATGTTAAAGTAATATAAATCGATTATTGCGATATTTGTTTTATTTTTACAATGTTAAGGTCAGGGTGCATGATGGGAAATTTTCTGCACTCCTCAATTGAGTCACATGTTATTTTTCAAACAAGAATCACTCCTTCCCCACATTGTCTATATCTTCCAGTTTTGCACAAAGAGTGCACTTATGTGCCTAGAAAAGAATTGTGAGAAGGATGTTTTGATAAAGTGTATAAAAAGCAAGAAAATTCAGTGAAAAAATTCAGAAAATTTTCAGAAATTTTTTTCACTGAATTTTCTCGTTTTTTATACACTTTACAAAACAAATCTTCTCACAAGGCTTTTCTAGGCACATAGGTGCACTCTTTGTGCAAACCTGGAAGATGTAGACAATGTGGAGAAGGAGTTATTCTTGTTTGAAAAATAACATGTGACTCAATTGAGGAATGCAGAAACTTTCCCAACATGCACCCTGTCCTTAAATATCATATATCAGTAGAATAATTAGAACATATTATTATGGAATATTGTTGATGTTTGTATACATTGCAGTCCTAGACGTGACACATACAATGATAGAGGTAGGTCTGATCCCCAGCCCCCTGTTAGGCCCCAGGGTGGAGGAATACTGGAAAGAGGCTGGGATGGCATTTATGACAAATATAGTGATGGAACTCCAAAGAATACAAGTTTGCTGAATAAAAATGGGTGAGTCATGAGTCTTCATTCTACTGTTTTGCCCATGATACATCAGTAGCAATTAGTATATGTACATGTATATTGTTAGTCCATCACTTAAAATTATTATTTTTTCACTTGATGAAGAAACATAAAACTGTGATAGTCATTACCGCCCCATGCAGACAGATCAACTAAAATTACATTCGTTTGATGTAAGACTCAACATTCACCAGGAAACTTGAAATAATTTGTCACCCATGGAGCAAATTAATTTTTTACTACTTAATAAATGGTGAATAACAGCCAAATTAAGTTTTATAAGTATGAGAATAGCATGGCGTCTTGATATTTCAAGGTAATGTAGTTTGAAAAGTGATGGCGGTGATTGAAAAAACGATGCAACGAAATATTTGTAGATTTCTTTGAAGAACTAAAATTTCGTAATTTCAATCACCGCCATCACTATTCAAATGAGTTACCTTGAAATATCAAGACGCCATGCTATTCTCATACTTATAGAACTCAATTTGACTGTCATTCACCATTTATAAAGCAGTAAAAAATTAATTTGCTTCATGGGTGGTAAATTTTTTCTAACTTCCTGGTGAATGTCGAGTCTCGCATCATATATTGGTTTAGCTGATTATACAGTAGTAAAGTATGAGCAACATTTAGAATAACCTAATTCTATATCTTGTAGTTATTTAAATGCTGGAGGCCAACCATCTTTGGGAGCCTATAATTCTCCCTTAGATGAGGCTTACTATTACTATGGCTTGAAGGACCCTTTAGATCCAACAACTACGGCAGGTAAGACCCCTTTGATCCAAAAACAACTTCAAGTTTGAACCTTCATTCTTTCTTTACACTTAATTGAATTGCATTCAACAGTTTTTATACCACTGCCACAACTTTTTTGTGGAGAGTGTTTGAAGTTTGGTTTTTGGTAACATGGCAACATTTTACCTTTTATGCCTTGTTTCTTTATTACAATTGACCTAATTTTTCTTTTCTCTTCCCAGAAGGTGCTGCATTTGCAGGCAGGACTGGTCCAGCAGATATTCCGAGGTTGAATCTGCAAGATGATAGGTGAGTCACAAAAATCCATTGCTATAATGTTAAGGGTCATCTCAACTGTTTCATTTACTTGAAATTAACAGAGCGACAACTCCATGTTGCATATTGCGGCACTATTTGGTCTACTTTTCTATCCTGATACCTGATAATCTTGAACCTGAATATATAGCAAATTGCTATCAGATGATGAATGTTGAAATCAACACAACTAAATTTTTGGGGATGCAATAGTAACTTCTCTAATTAAGTCCTTAACCCTCCTTATATAAGTGCTTTGTAAACCACGAATATTTAAATTTCTCATGTTTAGGACATCTAGAAAAGCTCCACCAGGGGGAACTAGTAACGTTGGTTTTGCATTTCCATCTGATGATGATAGACGGTCAAAGTCAAGGAATGAAAAAATGAGTTATCAAGAAGAACTGGCCAGACAGGTTCAAGAGAAAGAACAAAGAAAACAAAGGGAAAAAGAAGACAAAGCGAGGTAATCTCTTTACTACATGGTATTCTTTCGGAGCATTTAGTATATAACTTTTGGTAATTTATGTTTCACTGTTTAACAGTAGGGTCCATGCAGTTTATATAACAATATCATATCAATGTCCTCTGTATAAATGTTTCTGAAAGTAATGTACATGTATTTGCACAAATGTTTTCCTTAAATTTTCCGATTAGTCTATGTTACTATATCTTTGCACATCCAGATATGACAGAAAGTTGGAGAAAGAGATTGAAGACTATAATCCATTTGGACGTGGGGGAGCTGGGGCTCCCATGAAGGATATAGCAGGCAATAACATAGGTAGGTGCTACCTTGAAATACTAGGGTCATTTCATGTAACAAACCCTTATCAGATTAGCATATATAAGGGTTATGTACTGGGAGGTTTTGGATACATGTTTTCTGAGGACAATTTGTGTACAACTACGTACAACTGATAAATTCTGGATCCAAACCAGCCATACATTACAGATGTATTCCATTCCTAATGAGGTTCTAGGAATCTAGGTACATTCTACCTTCTAAAGTACCAAGATTTTCAGAAATGGATTTTTGTAACATTAATTTGAAAATTTCATTTTTTTAACAACTTTTTTGAAAATAGTTAAAAATACATATTTAGATGATTTTAAAACTTTGAAAAACATAGAATTAAAAAATTTTGTATAAGAATAATTTTTTATATGTGGAGCACAGGACAATAATGGACACAGCCTGTATTTCCCGGAACTTTTATAGAAAATATCCATCCTGCTGCCTAGATATACTATATAAACCTTTTGTCATATACCAAGAACTTGGAATACTGTATGTAGTATTTCATCTAATCATTAAGTTTGTGTTGTTATTAAATTCATAATTAAACTGCACCACAAGCATGTTTTATATTTCAGTAGTACTATGTACAGTATATTTAATATGTATGTAATATATATATATGATTGATTTTTATTTTTATTTTAGCTGATTTACGAAAAATGCATCTCGTAAATGAAGAGAATCTTGTTTCACCACGTAAGGTTGGCATAGAAGCTGCAGCATCAGCATATCAAGAAAAACCAGCATATCAACCAACATTTAATTCCTCCCCTAGAGCAATAAAAGAAGACACATACCAGGCAGGCACTGGCTCTAATGGCTTCTTTGGGGAACAAGCAACTGTAAGTGATTCATAAAAAACAGCACCGACCAGTAATTAGTCATGCTATGTGTCTCAACTATTGATCTTCAATACTCTATTTATTACTAAAGTAGATATCAGAATATCACTGTATAAAGTTTATTCTTTAATATTATTACTATTTCTATTAATATGATAAGTACAAAACTGTTTTTGTGTTCATCATGGGTGATTCTATACTGTAGAGCAATCAGAGTGCAACTGAAAAGTACAAAGCTGAGTTGCAGCGTCAGATTGATGAGAAGAAGGCACGTGAGGCTGAAGAGAAGGAGAAGCAACGAATTGAGGAGGAGAAAGAGCAGAAGAGGCTGGATGAACAACAGAAACGTATCCAGGCAGAGTATGAAGAGGAAAAGAGAAAGAAGAAAGAAAAAGAAGATGAGGTTTGTAGGCTATTAATTCCATTCATCATTGTAAAGGGTCAGTTGTAGTAATTCTGATGCTTAATCAAACTATTTCTTCTAAAAGAGGATCAGGTTTTTAGACATGTTAAAAATAAGTTAAAGACTTTCTCGTTCGAAATACTTTTTTAGGTCCTTAAATCCTTGGATTTTCAGAAAGTCGGATTGATATTTTATTATCACCTTGACTCTACATACATGTACTGTTTTAATAAAATTGTTGTATTTATGGTTACAATACATCCATGGTTAAACAATCCAATAATATCCCATACCTGGTCTTGATATTTTCAAAATAAGGTTTGTTCAAAACACTGTAACTATTGGTAGAGCAAGTTACAGATTATTCCAAATTGAAAACATTTTGGGATGATAAACGATAAAAAATTCCTTTAAATTAAGACTTCCAAATCTATTTTGTATCTAAATTCTTCACCAATCCTTTCGCTAGTGAGTTTGTGAACCATGATTAATCTTATTTATTGAACATGCAGGAGAAGAGGAAGAATGAAGAGTTGAAACAGTTGGCAGAGGAGAGGAAGAAGGAGGCTGAGATGAAGAGGCAAGAGTTAGAAGACAGGAGGCAGGAGGAGCTGAGACAACAACAGGAGAGGGATCTACAACAGAGAATAGTATGTAACATTCATCTGAATCTCTGGTTTTGTATCAAGTTATTTCATGTTATTGATAGGGCTAGCAAGGAAACATTGGGAAGTGACAGGATGTTACCCGAGGCATTTTGGGACGGGACATTTGTGATGGGATGGGACATAACCACTTGAATGGATAATTCATTTTAGTTGGCTCATTCCTCATCTAAATTCAAGAAAAGGATCACTTATTGTTTTGTAATTAAAATTGAGAAGAACATATTAAGGAAGTTTATGCTATCAAAGTATTTCAATCGTTACCTTTAGAATCTAAAGTTTAGATTGAAGGCATAGCAGTCGTCAGTATCTTGCATACATTGTTTCCCTTGCCTGTTATCCCATTAACACAGGGTGCCCAAAATGTTCATAGACTGTTCCTATTGGACCTGGTTCAGTCTCATTGCTAGAGAAAATGCACAATTCGTGCTAAAAGTTTTTTGACATAATGTTTGATACATATTTCATACAGTTTTTTCTGTAAATCTCAGTTATCACATTCTTTAATGAATTTATTTTCCATAAGATTTGGAAAGTATGAAAACTATATGCAAATATTATTATGCCTGATCATGGACCAAAACCTTTAATTTTTAGTACATTGGGGTTTTCCCATGAGGTAGGAACTGTAAACATCAGGAAACCATGACATCCCTAACCATCTATGGAAATGTATAGCATTTTATCGTATGATCTGTAAAACGAAGCCCTCTGATTGGTCAGTTCTTGTGCTGTACCAATCTGTATTGCTACTGAGATTGTTCCCGTTGATCATCTCCGTCGCAATACAGAAAATATTGGTACGGAGGGGACGATCTCAGTAGCAATACAGAGGATCATACGATAAAAACGTTATTGAATGAGTTTAAGTGCAGTACAGGATATATTCTGTCTCTATATTCTGTATTGGCACTCGACTTCGTCTCGTTCCAATACGGAATTTCTCGACCAGAATATATCCTGTATTGCACTTCAAATCATTCAATAACTTATAGTATTTGACAGAAAATAATCATAACATTTGAGATTGGAAACATATTATGATATTAAGCGTAAAATATGTTATAAGATAATCCAATATAAAAACTTACCAATATCTATCATAAACTTTATATTTCATGTGTTGCAGCAAAATTCTGACCCCGAGAGACTAAAGTCTCCTCCAATTCCAACACTAAGGGCCAAGAACGAAGACAGTGGAAAGGGACAGGTATAGAAATTTATTTTCTATTTCTGCCATGGTAATTAAATAACCCGAACCCAGAAGAACTCAGATTCGTGACATCTTTGATCACCTTTTCCCATAAAAAGGAAAGTACACACTTGGAGTAAAAATATATTTAGAAAAATGTTGTATTCAAAAGGCTTTCTATCCTGTAACCTTACTATATTCAAGCTTATCGCCAATACTTGCATATCATACACCAATATTGTTCTTTCAGTCCCCAAGGCTTAACTCTCCAGTTATTCCCGCTCTTAGACCCAGAAGTACTAGGAGTAGAGGAGACCCACAACCACAGGTGAATTCTGGGAGGACATCACCTCCAGTTCCTGCTGTAAATACTCAAACTCGTTCACAGAGTAAGTTCACTCACTTCAAAGTTTATTAGCAACTCTTTTATGTCTATAAAAAAATCAGATAATGTCAAGAGTTATAGGCGATATTTTTTATTTAGCTATGAAAATTCTCGTTATGAATATGGTATTGGAATTCTATGAATTGTATTAACTGTAGGCTACTGTAAAAATAAAAAAATAAAGATAATTGTATCCTCAAGAATTACACATTAGCTGCGTGGCTTTCTTAAGAGCTATTATATTTACCTCTAATTGTAGGAAAACAGTTCCAGTACATTAGTAAATTAAACATTTTTTGCACATTTCCTTGAATAGTTAATAAATCCTTACAATAAACATTTATTTTACCAGCTTTAATTATGTGTAAAGAATTCCAAGAATTGTGCTTGTTTACTACAGGTGCAGATGTGCTCAACCAGTTGGCTAATCTCAAGGCACAGTTACAAAGTGAGAAAACTAGAGTACAACATGCCCTTGATGATCGCAAGGTACACAGTCAAACATTAACCTGATTTAAAGAATTCGATTATTTTTCCATCGTCACAATTTATGAACAAAGAATAATTGAATGTAATGAACCATAAATAACATTTTTTTCAAGCATCGTGTTTTGTATATCGTTAATGTTGATCATTAATCTAATTGACTTTTGTTTTAAGATATTAATTCAATTATTGAATGTAATGAATCATAAATAATAATTTTCTCTAGCATCAATCCTTGGGTTGCACTATCATTAATGTTGATCATTAATCTAATTATGTCACCATCAAAAGTTGTGACATATTGTTATGGTCTCCAACTTTTTTGTGGATGGTGTTCATCATTGGGAGTGTACACATTCTTACATTTCTGATTTCTTAACAAGTACTGTGTCGAATTACTTCAAACATTAATGGTCCATATATATAAACATCATATGAGTTCCAACATATATCTGCTGATATATGTTACCATGGCAACAAATAAGTTGACTTGTAACATTTTGTAACCATTTGCAAGAAGTAGTGTTCAGAAGTAGTGTTCACATGGAACTGAAGTTTCTCAATGCCTGACACTACACTTCAATAGTTTTGCCTAAATTGTTGCATACAGAGAGATATGTGTGACCCTTTTGCAATAAAATTTGCCTGGATTTTGAGATATTGAAGGTCAAAAAATTGTAGAAAGGTCAATTTTTTTCAAAATCATTTATAAGTTCTTGGAAGTTCAGATCTGTTTTTAGATTTGAGATTTAGTGGTTGACCCTCAATGACCTTTAAAATTTCAAATTGATTCTTTAAATCCAAAGGTCCATGTGCAGTATGGCAAGTGATTTTAGACAGTCATATCTTTTACCACGAGGTCTTTCTGGGCATAAATACAGTGTTTTTTATGGAAACAATATGTTTTCTTTTAGGTGAAATACCAATGACAATAAAACTATCAATCAAACAATTCGAAAAATTATGAATAGGGACCCCATTTCAACAATTTTTTCAAAAAGTTGAACCTATTTACTCAAAAGATGGTTTTCTTTTCCTGATTTTATTGCATGAAAAGATTATTCAACAAGGAATTTAAAAGTTCTTCAAAAGTATAATGGTATGGAAAGTCTAGCTTTGAATTTTCGATAACCAAAATTATGCTGAAAACAATGGATAGTATGTGTAACTATGGAAAATAACATGGGATATGTGGTTTTTAACTTTAACACATTTCAATACCCATCCCCTTTTCAGAAATTGTTAATATAGTGTTTTGATATGTTTAAATTGAGAACAACAAGATCCTCTTTTTAGAAAATAAGCCTAACATCTTTAAAAAAGTGCCAAAATGGGGTCCTAAACCATAATTTTCAGAGAGTTGGATTGCTATTTTACTATCACGTGGACTTAACTTGAAAGAAAACATATTGTTTTAATAAAAACTACTGTATTTATGCCCAGAAAGATATGACTGTCTAAAACCACTTGCCATAATGCACATGGACCTTTAAGTCAGTTTAATCACAAAATACCTATTGAGGTCTTAAAAAGTAAAATTTTGAAGGTCATAGGTCAAGGTTATCAAACTACATCAAAATTCGAAAACTATCTTAGTAACTAATTTAGTAAGTTAGTAACCAACTTAGGAACTAACTTGGTATTGATAACTGGGTAGAAATCAACCTTATACGCAACTAAGTCATAAACTTTCACTTTGTAATTTGACATATCATCATATGTTATTTAATCATTCATTGACCTATAAAAGGTAAGGCTTATGCGGGTTAATCATAAGAATGCTTTCAGTCTTGATTTAAGAAATATAGACCGAATAGCAGGTGTTATATTGATGAATATACCCAACAGGGCCAGGCACAAACGTTTTCTGTACCAAGAATGACCAAAGGGGTTTGAAAGCTTTTGTGCCTAGCCCTAAGGGGTGTATTCGTTGATATTACACCTGCTCCTTGGTTTGCACCATTATACTGATCATTAATCTAGTTGTCTCTTTGTATAAGATATTTTTATCACACTTTGAAAAAGTGCTGTGTTGTCATCGTCTTGTGCTTATTAGCATTTGGGCAGGTGGGTGGGTGTTATGAATCAATTCTTGTTCGAATCACTATAAATATTGAATATACCAACTTACAAATACTATTCTTACAGAGCAATTTGAAATGGTATGGTGGGGTTTATGAAATTGATCTCATATTAAATAAATATATAGAACCATGTTTATAATGGAGTGGTAAATCCTATCTATTTAGTAAGATAATGTAAATGTTTTCATTTTTCCAGAATGATGTTGAGGTATATGACCCCAGGTTGATGGAGCGTCCACCTAACCAAGCAATGTGAGTTATACACACCCTACAACAATGGCTATCTATATTGTATTATGTAAATGCCTTAACCCATTTTTGATTGATGCCCATTCAGTGTTCGCGTTGACGCCGTTTTTTGCCATTTTTATGGAAATTTCAGAAGGTTGGACGTAAAAATCAAAATCAACTTACGTCCCTAGGACACAAAAATTATAAACTGCTGCAAGATAACTTTTACTGCAGCACAGTAGCGGTGAAACATGATTTTCATCAAGATTTTCAAACTCACTACCTTGATATACGAGCAATGATCCAGGTATATTTATATCGACAAATCTGATTGGCTATCATGACTTCCTGAAGATTAACAGGGTTTCCAGTATGAGACATGGATTTTGATTGGTGCCGATATATTCGGGAAAATGCCGCAATCGAAATGGAAGATCAAAACATACAATATTGCAGAAATCCCCTGTGGTTCCCCACAAATTGAAACGATTGTTTTTCACGATTATCTTTATTATTTCAACTAGAAACCATTATATATTGATCTAATGTTATACATCAAGATAATTGTTTAATGATAGATCGAGGTTTTTCATCTAAATGTCTTCAGAATAAGGAGAAATGTTAATAAAAAGAAGCAAAAGTTCACGACCTTGACATGACCTTCAAGATCGCAAGTTTTAAAATGTGAAAACAAAACTCTTAATTTGAGCATTTCCTTCATTTCGGACTATTTTGGTATAACATTACTTAAGAATTGAGTGAAAAGGACCCAGTGATAGATATTTATCGGGAGGATGCATCAAATAACAATATATGTCATTTTTATCCCATTTTAGTGTAAGCACTCTATTATCGCCCACTTTATTTTCACTTTCACAATATTTTCTTGAACTTTGTGAAGAAATAAGAGGGACGCAAAAAAATTAGATGGGGACTCAAATTTTTCAAATGTGTTGCGTCCCTGGGACTCAGAAATTTTAATGGCTAGCGCGAACACTGCCCATTTGATATTGATGACAATATGAAAATAGATGCCCTTGTGAAAATAGATGCCCTTGCAAAAAATGATGTCCATGTGAAAATAAATCCCCATGTAATATTAAGTGTGAAAGTTAAAGCTAATGTGAAAATAGTCATCCATGCGAAAATTTCACGTGTGAATATATATGCCCTTATGAAACTAGATGCCCTAATGTGAAAATAAGTGCCCTTACAAAATTAACCTCACTCCCTTTTAAATAGCAATTGAACCAAAATGAATGCTGAATAGCCTATGACACCTCATACTTTAATGCACAATTTTAAACCAAGCCAAACTAATTAATACAGAGGGTCTTGATCTGTCTCAAATATATTCTCAGAATATTGCAAGCCAACAATATATAGGTTACAGTATTCTCTGTAATTAGCACCCATTCTCTAATAAGCGCCCAAACCACTTCACAAGTTCAAGAAATATCGAGGAATGACCCAGTATTAACAAATATATCAGAAAAATCCAAATTTCCAAAGAAAAAGTGCTTGTCACATCATGTCAAAATAGTCCATAATGAATGAAGGAAATGTTCAAGTTTAAGAATTTTAATCAGTATTTTACCAAGATAGTTTCTGCGCACCTCGTTTTGATGCCGCAAATAAGGCACTCTTGGCAGGAAAAAATGTAATGTATGAAATTCCTGGGGATTTTTGACTTCATATATGGATGCCTATTAGAGTCTGAAGGATGTATTTTCAATTTTGTAAGTGCCGGGGCAGTAATTAATATTGATATTGATTTTTCAGTTGATGTTCAATGTCAGATAACAGGAAGTTGTTCCTTTTCCTCATACACATTTCATTTCTTTAGTCATTAAAAGCATTCTTACTTTCTGAAATTATTTATCCATTATTGATTTGTCATTCTGCCCTTAATGCAGTCAGCATTCAACATCCGTTATCATTGTTACACTTTTGTAATTCGCAGTGAGGTTTTAGTTTCTGGAACAGATAATGGACATGTCTCCAGTCTCCACATTATTTTTCTGAATATAATAAGAAATAGATTGATTTTTTGTGTTGCATTAGTAGAAAACCCTCAAAGGCAGAATATGTCTTTTATTATCCTTTTGGTAATTGATGTTATTTTTAATTTCCTGCATCTGTTATCCATCGAAAGGTAATTCAACTCTACCAAACCATCACAAAAAAGTTCCTCAGTCCTGATTGATGAATTTTAGTAAAATGTTTATAACTGACTTTTTAGACCTAAAGATAACCAAGTGGACATATTTGATATTGCAAGCCATCGTAAGCCAGTCTCCGTACGACGCTCAGCTGATCCTAATAATAGAAACAACCTTGAAGAGTTCAAGAAATTGAAAAAAGGTAAATATGGACATGCGTTTTTTTATTTTTAAACTTTATTGTATAGTCATTTAGCATCAATGTTTTTCCATGTTTTTCCATTTGCTGTGTGTTTTGACTGATGATATATTTTCACATTCTCAATTTTTGTTCAGCAACACTGTTTGAAAACACATATACTTGTAAAATTTCCTAACAACATCCAACATATAATTATTCAGTGATACATTCTGAAATGCTGTATTAGTTTGTCAGTTGTCATACTTCTTGTAGTGCTTTATACCTTGTATTGTGTTTGTATATCGTTATAATTTATTTGTTTCCTTCTTCACGTTCTGTCCTTCACATGCACTTTTTTGACACACATTTTATTTTTTATTATGTCACCACGACAAGTGGTGACAAATTGTTGTAGTTACCAACTTTTTTGTTGAAGGTGTTCGGTGGTTGGCATCTGTAAAAAATGGTTATTTGATTTTGCACACCCATTTGTCATTCCACATGTGTCTCTTTGTCTTACACAATGTGTCTGTTTCGCACCCAGGGGACACACGTTCCAGACAAGCATTTCAACAGCTCTACCCCAATGACCCTCACAATAGTGATGGCTTGGAGACCCAGCAGATTAGCTATTTACGTCAGCAAGAGGAACGCTTGGCTAAACTGAGACAAGGTCAGCCAGCATGATGGAAATTAAGCCTATTATATTGTATCTCTCATGCAGCTTGTTTTCACGTACAGTAAAACCTGTATAAGTGGAACACATTTGTTACCTCTAAAGAGTGGGAGGTGTTCCACTTGTAGAGGTTCATTTATCTATAAGTTATGAGGCTGGGGGACTTTGAAAAGTGTTCTACTGGTGGAAGTGTTCCAGAAGTGTTCCACTTACAAATGCATTCCACTTGCAGAGGGGTTCCACTTTACAGGTTTTACTGTATGATGTCAGGGGTAGTATCCACATGATTAATGGTGCCTTTCAAAGGAAGAAACTTTACCATGTGCTCCACAAATTATACATTTATTTTCAAAAACAGTGTTATTATTGGTTCAGAGCGCATGAAAATGTTAAAGCTATGTGTGATACTCTGCATTATTTGCCAAAATTGTTACTTATATTTCTGGACAAGCACAGCTTATAAGGGCTTTAGGGGGGAGCTATTAACCCTGAAAACTGCCATGATTGCAATATTGTAAAGTGGGTACTATATTCACATTTAGTTGCAATAGAAATGTTAACCTGAAGCCTTTCTTTAACATTGCACTTTATCTTTGCACATTAACCCCAAGGGTCTGCTTTAGTATGGTTGTAATTTACAATTCTTGGAAAACATGATATACTCCAGATCAACAATAACTTATAACAAGATCCAAAGTTACAACAGTTCCAAAATGGACCCTTGAGACAAAGTTTTATAATGATGATTTGATTTTTTGTGCAATTTATTTATATTTATTGAGTTTTTATTATTCGTGTATTTGGGGTGTTTCCTTCACAAATTAGCATGCAATTGTAGTTATACTTTCTCATCTAGTAGTGATTCATTGTTTTATAATTTTCAACTTAAATATGTGTAAAATAAAAATACGAGGGTGAGATTGTAGCTCACAATTCTTTGTATCTCTAGATGCTCGAGAATCTCCCAAAGACTACCTGGACCTCAACCCCAGGTCTATAGGATTGATTCGAGAAGATACCCCAGGCTCCATGCTAGATGCAGAAACTGCTTATGTTGGTATGTAGATATAAAATTGGCAATTATCAATACAGTATTTCCAAATGTCCAGAACAGCTCTTGAGAGGACAGTAAAGCTCTTGAAGGCAAAGTACAACTCTTGAAAGAACATTACAGCTCTGGAAAATAAACAATGATCAACCCTTCCATCGTTCAAGTGCACCGCACATTGACAGTGTTATTTCTGCGAGATAAACCTCCAATAACTTTCAAATATTTTTCACAATTTTGATGTTTTGTTAGGAACATATTACCATGTTTAATGAAATAATTGCTTCCAACATTTATACTCCTTTGCTCCCACTTTCAATGAAATGTTTGTATATTCAGGTGTGGATAACTCAGCCAGTGGTTTCCCTGATGACTTTGAAAATCTTGGCAGGCGGAATGAGTCAGCGAGACAAAAAAGACGGAATAAATATGACAGCTCCCCAAGGGTACATTCTTAATACTCCAAATGATAACACTTCAATGGTTCATTCTTAATACATTAGATATGAAAACTCTTTAAGAGTACATTCTTAGTACTGGAATTCTTCAAGGGGCATAACTAATACTCTAAATATGATAACTCTTCAAGGGTACATTCTTAATACTCTGATTATGAAAACTCTCCAAGGGTACATTCTTAGCACTCTAAATATGACAACTCTTCAAGGGTACATTCTTAATACTCTAAATAAGATAACTCTTCAAGTGGGCATAACTTATACTCTGAATATGATAACTCTCCAAGGGTACATTCTTAGTACTCTGAATATGAAAACTCTTTAAGGGTTTATTCTTAATACACAGGGGAGCATAACTTATATTCTAGATATGATATCTCCCCAAGAGTGCATTCTTAATACTCTGAACATGATAACATTTCAAGGGTATATTGGAAAGGTACACCAAGGGTATTACCAAATGTATTATTACTGATATTATCTCTTGATATGATAGCTTCCGCAGGGGACACCATTTCAAAAGCTATTAAACACAAAATTATGTGTAATCTGAGTGGGATGCTTTTCAACCTCATCTTAACAGTAATTAGAGTTGTCTGGAAGGATGTTGTTTTCACTCAAGTATGTTTTATAATATGTTATACTGACATAACCTGATTGCTTGAATTGTGTATTTTATGTCACATATCTTAATTTGGAATATATGTCTCTTTTTGTTAATTATGACGGAATTTCCTCTTGTTATATATATAACTTTTATTGACATCTTGTATCATAACATGATTACATTAGTCATAACTATGAAAAAAACTAAGTATCTAAACTACAAATACTAACTAATACAAAAGTACAAAAATATATACGAGATATACAAAAACCCAAAATAAAGGTAGTATACATCATGATGAAAGGACAAGGTTACATTTAAAGTGTGGTGCACATACCCTGCATTCTGACTACAAATTCTTAAATGAATGATAAATGAATTTTCCAATGTGTCTTTGTAATGTTAAGTTTTTACTTGAAATGAGATTGACAAATAAATTTTCACTATTGAGGTCAAAGTTACTTAGAATTTCACGAGCCTTAGTGTACAATAATTGTCTATGCTCATCATTCTTTGTACAAGTTAAAAGGAAATGACATTCATCCTCTATATGTTTACAGGTATTGCATAATCTTTCCTCTCTAGGTTTTGGTTTTGGCTTTGCATGTCTTCCAGTCTCAATCGCCAATCGATGAGAACTCATTCGAAATCTACTTATCGCCAATCTATACTTTTTATTATCTAATTTCAAATATAATTCAATTCTAAAATCTTTTTTGAACAATTTATACGTTCTCAGTATAGGATAAATGTTCAAATCATTTTTCCATTTTTCTACAAATAATACCTTCAACTTCTTTTCTACCATGCTCACTAGAATGTCAGTATTCAGATTTTGGTCATTCCAATAATCCAATAAATCACATTTTCTGAGTATATCATAGACCTTGCTAGACCAACTTTTGAATCCTAACTCTTGAATATCTCTATCATATAAATAGGCTTGGTTTAATACACTTGATTCTGGAAATGTTAGGAGTCTAAGCCAATATTTTATAATATAACACTCAAATTTGATTGACAATGGGTACCTGCCTAGATCGCCATACACAGCAGGGCTTGCAGTTTGTGATTTGACACCTAATGTTGACTTTAAAAAAGACAAATGTATGGATTCAATTGCTTTCATTTGTTTTTTATCATACCATATTTCACATGCATAAGATAAAATTGGACTGACCAAAGCATTAAACAGATGAAGAGCTACATCTGGTGGCACATCATTAAACTTCTTATATTGCTGTTTTATCTTAAAAAGAGCCTTTCTTGATTGTTCTTTAAGATATTTAGTGTTCATATCAAAACTGTTGTTATTGGTGAGAATGAGACCTAAATATTTGTATTCATTAACACATTCGATACTTTTTTCATTAAATTCAAATTTGAAAGATCTTTTGGAATTGAAGATTAATGCTTTAGTTTTCATTATATTGACAATTAACCTATTAGTCTTACAGAAAGTAAAAAGTGCGTCAAGTAATGTCTGCAATCCTTCACTGGATTCTGAAATCAATATGAGGTCATCTGCCCATAGAAGGTGGTTAAGCCTCTTATCATTTAAAATTACTCCACAGTGCGTTGGTAAATATAGTGCAAGATCATCTATAAAGTGATTAAATAAGAAGGTACTGAGAACACTCCCTTGTAAAACTCCAACATCTGTTTTAAAATAGTCTGATACTCCATTTTTCAACTTAAGACAAGATTGAGATTTGACGAACATACTGTCAATGATTTTGTACATTTTGCTATTGGGCTTTACACCGCTCTTACAGAGTTTGTATAACAGGACTGACCTATCAATATAGTCAAACGCTTTCTTGAAGTCAACCATACATGTAAAAAGAGTTTTTTTAAGCAGTTTAGATTTGTTAACTAATGTCTGTAATATAAATATGTTATCAATTGTTCGGCTATTTTCTTTATATGCACCTTGCAGAGGATCTTGAGAATTTTGTACCTGTGCATTAAAAACAAGTCTATTTTGAATTACAGAATCAAATATATTACCAATACAAGCTAATACATTTATACCCCTGTAGTTATCTGCTTTAAAACGACTTCCTTGTTTAAAGAGAGCACTTAGCATACCAATGCTCCAGTCACGTGGGTATTCACCGCTGTCGAAAATAACATTAAAAAGTGCTGTAAAATCTGGAATAAGTACTTCACAACTCTTAATTATGTTCGATGGGATACCATCAATGCCAGCTGATTTATGAGAATTTACTTTTTTAAAAGCATTGTACACCTCAATTTGACTGATTCTGCCATCTATAATATTATAACAAAGATTTAAATTAATGTCATCAGAGTTATTTTGAATGCTATCTTGAATAAATTCATTCATCTTTTGAAGTGCATCATTATCAAAATAATCCATGTTTGGAGGCTTTGCCAAATTTTGAAAATAGGTTAATAAATCCTCAGGGGGTACTGATATATCTCTAATTATATTTCCTGGCATTGCATTAATAAGTTTCCAAAAATCGGTTGAAGATTTAGACCTATTAACTACCAAACTCTCTAACATTCCTGCTTTAAACCTTCTTTTTTCCCGCTGTTTAGTGATTGTATTCTTTGATAATTTGGTTAATATGAGTTTCATCAAGTTTATTTTTGATAGCATCATGAACTTTTCTTTTCAACATTTTACATTCATCAGTGAACCAAGCATTTATAGGAAATTTACTGCTTTTGTTTGATTTTAATTCTTTAAGTTTAAATGTTCCCTCACAAGCATGGTGTATTACATTTAAAAGTTTACTTAATAGTTCATCTGTCCCAATATTAGAACAGCCCAATTCAGTATAGAAAGTGGTCAACAATTCATTACTAGTTTGATCACTAAGTTTTTGGATGAATTCATTTGTCTGTGCCGCTTCCCATTTGTACGACTTAAAAGAATTAATATTAAATGCATTCTTTCTTTGATCTGATACACTAGCTTTAAAACGTGATTTTCCTGATTTTGTCAGTGAAAGTGAAAAATGCAAAGGGGCATGATCAGATTCTACCCTTCTATCATGTACTTTAAAATCTGATATCAATGGAATTATAATAGGTTGAATTACTACATAGTCAATAACAGATTTACCAAGGTCAGAGTTTGATTCACAATTATGAGTGAAGTTCCGATAACAAGTGTACTTTCCAACTTCTTTGTCACTATAGAGACGCCCATTGAGTATTTTCATGTTTGCTGATTTACATAATGATAAAAATTCTCTCCCGTGTGTTTGCGAAATTGCCCTTACATTTTTATCCATAGAGTTACGTGTTCTGAAAAGATCATCAATTTTGTTTCCATTTTCTTGTGGAAGCATTGACTCATTAATGCTAAACATATCTACTGGTAAATCACCATTACTACCAAGTATATCTATGTTACTATCAGTAAGATTAGCTGTTCGGGCATTCATATCACCACAAATTATTGTCTTCCCCAAGGTTTGATAATGAGCTATTGATATTTCTAGTATGTCAATATTATTTGGCCCTGTCGCAGATTCATACACAGAGCCTTTAAATGGCAAATAGATAAAACATATAAATAAATCTTCTTCAATATTAAAATAAGTGGAACTTAATTTTATCCAGACGAAAAAGTCATGAGATTGTGGAAGTATATCAATACCACCTGTACTATATTCATCACTGATCAACACTGCAAGCCCACCTGAGTTATGACCATTATTTGCACTAATATTTGAATTACGAGCAAGGTTGTAACAGGCATAACCTTCAAAAACAATATCTTCTATTGGAGAAAGCCATGTCTCACTCAATAAAATAATTTGATAATCTTGTAAAAAAGTTTGTACATCTTTCCCATCATGCAATTTGTCAGATAATTTATTAATATTCCAAAGGAGTACTGAAAGATTTTTCTCTGCAGATAAGACTTCTCCAATATTAGAATGTGTTTCTGAATTGACATTTGTTTCTGTTTCTACGTTAAAATGTGTTTCTAAATTGAAACCAGTACACAATTCTGATGATTTACTAGAATCAAGTGTTGAATCAATCTCATATTGGCTACCTTCCTTAACATGTGTTGCTGGATCAACACACACAGAATATGAATAATCATCACAGTTATTATTTACATATGTTATATGATTCCTAGTTTTAACATTAATATTAACATGTGTTTCAGGATAATGTGCATTTTTTACATTATGTACAGATCTTTGAGTGTCAACATATACAGTTTTAGAGACATAATCTCTAATTTGATCAGATGCTGATGCTACACCACACTCACAGTCTAAAACTTGGCATGAGACCAAGCTCTTTGAGGGTTTACAGATGAAGGATAGGCTGCAGCCTGTGCATAAGTGGTGGGGCATTCTTGTCTCATTATAGAGATCATAGCGTCAACTAGTCTGCTGCGTCCCAAGTGATTGAAATGTAACATGTCTTTGTATAAGACTTTCATGCAAGGATTTCGAACTGTTGATCCATTGACTTCATTGATATCTATAAATCCATGTCCTTGCTTTGTACAAAAGGATCGCATCTCATGATTTACATAATCAATCTTTGAATTCCAAATATCTCTCGTTCCGCTGTCACGACTGTCGCCACGGTGATGAATACCACACAAGATTAGTTTTGATCTAGGATGCTTATTTTTCGCAGTTTGCATTAAGTTCTTTAGTTCATATACCATATCTTGTGGATGATCAGCTGGAATATTATTTGTCCCAAGTCCTATGAACTTGAAATCAGTGGACTCCTTAATATCACCTTTCTCTAAGCTGTATGTGCCTGTCTCTATTCTTCCACCACTATATACTGATGAGGTTGCAGAAATGGCATTATCTTTACTCATCATGACTCCTGCTAGACCTTTCCCATTGCTAGAGTACATTATATGTACTGTTTTGCGTTTGCCTTTTCCGTGGGTTGGGGTTGACTTGGGGGGTTTAGATGTGCTGTTACCTTGGTGAGCTGCAGGGGGTCTATTTGTGGCGTTAAGTCTGGGACTTGCTGCTGGGGGTCTGCTAGATCCAGTGGGACTTTTAGTGGGGTTGGCAGTATTTGGCAATTGATGGATTGGCTCAGATTGTATACTTTGTGGAATGCTGCAGCTGATTGGCTTGTCAGTTTGTAGTTTTTCTGTTAAAGAGCACACTTTGTTGTATAGTGTTTTATTGTCAACAATGTTGAGTAGTGGCTAATGTCGGAAACAGATGTATGTTTTAAAATTTATTAAGCATGAACAAATTTAAGGCAAATTAAAAGTGGTGACATATTGTTATTGTCGCCAACTTTTTTGTGAATGGTATTGGCAGTTGGTGTTTGATCAGCATCTGTAACAAATGGCAGAAGTGACATTTTGCATGTTTAACATGACATTAAATGCCTTGTCTGAATCATACTGTTATTCAGAATAACATGAAAATGCAATTTCTGTCTTTGATAATATATAAGTTGAATATATGTTGTAAAGTAAGATGGTTTGCATTTTGGGATCACCCTGTTTAAAAGTATGTTTCTCCTCATTTTCTCTTATAAGCTCAAACTTCTTGCATCAAATATTGTGGTGTATGAGACAAACGAAGTAGCTTCTGAATGTACTTTTCAGGCCACCCCAAGACAACCCTCTCCCTACACTAACTTGGACAATATTTCCCTGGGGACTAATATGGGATCTACCACCAGCATCGATCCCGACAGAATTACTCGCAAGAATGAGGAGCGGCTACGCAAGCTAAAAACTCTAGCAGGTAAAGTACCATTTAAGTTCCTGTAATTTCTTTAAAAGGGTTCCACATTTAAAAAGAGGTAGGTTTAGTGTATTTTGTACAGATGATTTCAAGCTCTTTGAGGGCTGATTTACTAAATGGACTTCTGAACTTGAAGACCAGTGACTTAGAATTATCTGTTTTTCTTGCCAGCACTTTTTCAGGAAAACTTCTGCTGGATTAACTGCTTAACTTTTCCACACAAAGTTAACTTGTTGATATTATAATTAGCCACTTTAAAATCGATGATGTCAATGTGTGAAACTTTTCCTGTAAAAGTACAAAATCAATTGAGTTTACATGTAAATCCTTCGTTGATTGCTGTCAATTTATCTGCTTCATTAGAAAATTATTCACCATTTTTTTTACAACCACATGAATTTTTCTAGGCTTATCTCGAGAAATATAAATCTTAATTAACACAAGTTCTGTCAAAAAATTTATTTAATTATATAAGATCAATTTAATGATTTTCTTTACTAATTGAAAGGGGAATACAGTGAGTGTTGTTTATTATTTATTAAATGGTACAATAAGTTTTAAAAGTGGTAAACATGAGGTGATTCTAGGTGAATAAATAAATTAATTGACCAGGAAACTGTTAATTCTTGACAACATTGTAATAAAAATGTTTCTCATTATGCACTGAAGCAGTTACTGCTTTTGTGTGATTATTTAAATGAATATAGTTTAATAACATAAAAACTAGCCATGTGTGAATCCGACAAATTACTATTTGCTGTTAAAGTTATCATGCAGTATGATCATCCCACTGAACAAAGTCTAGGAAGGATATAGAGAAGCTGTCTTTTCCGTATGTCTGAATAACTATTTGTCCATCCTCCCAACCTTCTGTTCATTTGTTTGTCTGTCCAGGCAGTACCTCAAATTCTGATTCATTGATTGGGTTCAAATGTTATAGGCTGATGCCAATTGAGCATAGGACTTCAACCCCAGAAGGGATTTCTAATATGGTTTCATGTCATGTCATGGTTATAGATTTTGCTTAAAGGAGATAAACGTTTTTGAGTGCCCAATTTATTTTTTTCATGAAATGAATAATGAGTTGAAAAAATATTTTGGTCAGTAGTATTTGCTACTCCAAAAAGTTGCTGTTTTTGTAGTTGTTTCAGAGACCACAATATTGTGAAACCTGTATATATATATATATCCTAACAACTGACTTATCGGAACATCTCTCAATGTGAACACTTTCTTTCGGTCCAAATGTTTCACCTCTCATTGACCTATATATTGAAAAAAATTGGAATGTGAACACCTGCTAATCCGAACACTCTTGACTGATCCCAGAGGCGTTAATTATGTTTTCCAGGAGATGAAATATCTGTGGGAGATCCAGATGACATACTTGATCGTTTTATGGCAAAGCAGACTCATAACAGGTTAGGTTATATGTTTAACAGTCATATTTTCATAAATCAACCCTCTAAATAAAATAAGAATAAGAAAAAATAGTATCTGAGAAATATGAGACATTTGTCTGGTCAATATATAGAGGTTATTTAATGGGAGGTTTTTGATACAGGGTATATCCGAGGGAAATACCCTGTATCAAAAATCGAGCATTCAATATAACGGATTTATCCTATACATGTACTTAGTAGATGATGAGAATTGAATATGCATTGAATGTAAGGGAACCCTAGTGTAATAATTACAAACGATAATTACAATCAGAACATGAATATTTTATCTCAATTTAAAGTCCTCAACAATTTATGTTTTTTAAAACCTCGACAGCTCTTAACATTTAACAGTGTATGAAATTCGTATTTATCAAATAGAGCCAAAAGTATATCCCGGGAATTCAAAAAAGCACCGAAAGAAATTCCCGGGGATTGTTGATTAGCGGGTGATATATATATGTCCCGTTCACCTCAGCGAGATATATATATCAGCCGCTCACCTCAGATATCAATTATATTCCTGCATGTTATTTACCCATTTCGGAAGCTATTATAGGAAATGTCCAATCAGAGAGTGAGAAATATGGCAGTGTGATTATAATATTGTTTGTTGTATTTCAGACCTCCATCAGGTGCAACCCTACAGGATGACAGTTGGATGAGACCCGGAAGTAACACTGCATACAGATAGTTTCAAATTCCTCTACAATTAAAGCTACACGCTAGATCATTCATGTTGAATCATTAAACTTACATCAGCTACAGCAAGATTCATTAGGACCATTCTTTAAACTAACAAATGCTAGACCATTTTGGTTATTCGTCAAACGGTACACCTTCTACATACAGTGTACATCGATCACATATAGCAAAGTTGTGCTCTACTTTACGTCATCTGCCTAAGACTGGAACAATGCAGCCCTTGGTGTTATTAAAGTGCATGCACTGTGTATCATTCCATTCAAATAACACATCGTCATTCAATGGTTTTTTACATAAGAATTATAAATCTCATGCTCAGACTTATGTATGTGATAAGAGAAGTCAACTTTTTTTCAGGCATCTATTAATCTTTCAATTCAAAGTGGCCTTTTATTTCAAAATGCTCACGATGACGTTTTGCCAATAACTTTGTATACTGCATGATAATTGTTTAGGGTAGTTAAGGTTTAGAATTCAGAAATACATGTTTATTGTATCTTCCAAAATGTCTTTATTCAAAAGGAATGGTGCAGAGTGCATGCATTTTACAACTGCTAAAAAAATTATTGCATAGAATTGGTCAAAACGAACAAAGATCTGAGAATACAGTTTTGTTGGTGGGACTTATTACTCAGTGGAGTTGCTATATCGCTCTTCTAGTTATAATTCATTATTACCACCTTGCCGAGCCAGTTCTAGGGGTTTTAGTGCTAGTTTAGAAGGCATTCAGGCATTCAACGCTGATTCCTTGAATTAAACTAGAACCCCTTTTCACATGGGATCAACGCTAGTTGCCAAGGGATATAAAGTTTGTTCAGTAATTTAACTGTAGATATTTAGCAAGTCACTGTAAATGTTGTATATTGTAAATATATTGTAAATATGAAATGCAGTCAGTAATGAACTATCCAATAATAGAGTGTGTTACTTTGGACATTCGAGGACATAAGATCCGACAAAACTGATGTATGAAATTATTATAATTGTAAAGTTATGTACAATGGCTAAGAATATGTGTCATGCGTGCACTGTTTATACTGTACATTATGTTTGACCATTTCCAAATTATATACTGGTAGAATGTGCCAAATACATAGGAATATTTTTATTTAATTTTGTCACAACTGGCATATAAATATAATTATTTTTGCTGGATATGTGGGATTTAATTTGCTATTGTTATCGTATATGACGCGGTATCGCCGCCAGAACCGTGCGAATACAGTAAAACCTGTCTAAGTAGAAGACCTTTGGTACCTCTAAAAGTGTTCAACTTAGGAGTTGTTCACGAATGCAACTGACGGCTACCGGATTAACCTATTAATTTGCATAAACTAACTCGTAAGTTTGAAGTTGTAATTTACGAACAAACCCTAACAGCGATCATGTGGCTTTTAATGCACATGATTGAACACACTTAAAATGTGTTTGCGTTTATGCGCATGCGCCAGATGTACTTCGCTATTTACAATTCCAACCTCGATAGTGGGTGAGTTGCTGCTTTAATAGCTAGATTAAATCGTTATTTAGGTCAGCCATTGCTTCTAAATTGCAATCAACCCGGTCGCTGATAGCCGCTATTTGCATTGGTTACACTAAAAGCCTTCTAATGATACATTTATGGTTTGGGAGTGTTGAAAGTACAAGATGCTTGATTATCCCTTGCAGTACAAACATAACAGGAATGGATTGTCACGTCGCTAACATTGAAAGAACATAAACAAAAATTGAAAAGTTCAACATTTCCTTTACATTTTCACTTTCACAATTTAACTAGTTTTAGTTGTTTTAATGTTCATTAAGATTAGACTGAGAATAATCATATTGTGTTGATTTGAATTATGGAAAAGGAAAAACAAATTAGACACTGTGTCAATATGCGCTCTTGTCTGTTTGTAGTTATCTGTAAAGTAGATGTATTTTATGTCAATGAAATAAATTATAATAGTATATATCTCTATTGAATAATTGAAACGATATTTGATTAATTCCTCCACAATGAGAAAAAATTAATATTATTATCATCGATAAAAACTGCTTACTTCAGTTAAAATAGAAGGGATTTAATCCTTATAAATCAAATAGAGTACTGTAATAAGTCTTACAAAAAACAATTTATATCTGTATATTAATACCCAATAAATAATGACGATATATTGGCTTTAAATATTTGAAAATATCACATTAAATGGAAGTAACACATGCACTGGTGAATGGTGATCCGCTCGATTACGATGGTTACCGAAACGGTTCGTTTCGGTAACAAAATGTCGGAACGTCGAAGGTACGATTTTTCTTTTTCCTTAATTCAGGCGTTCTAGGCAGAATCCCCACGACATTTTTTCTCACAAACGTATATCAGTATCATATGTTTTGGAAAAGGGACATATTTGCGAAAAATAGCTCAGAAGACAACAGAATCGTCGATTTAATTCCTAACTTAAGGTATGGGTTAAAAGTGCAGATCTTAATTGTTTTTCGAAATACCGTCTATGTAACTTAAGTGAGGAGTTAAATCGACGATTCTGTTGTCTTCTGAACTATCTGTTCGCAAAATCGTACCTTCGACGTTAGTAGTTACAGAAACGAGAGTTCTGACGCACCTTTAACATTGAGTCCTATGGGGAGGGACACGATTTTTCATAGTACCCTCCCTAACATGGGCTCCAATGGGGAGGGACATCTGTGAGCCTCCCTGAGCTCGGGAGGCACATACGGGGACCCCACCCCTCCCCCCTCGGCGTGGTGGCGTGTACATATTTCGGGAATCTCGGGCCCTAAGAGTAACGGACGCCCTACCCCACGACTATACGTTCCGGAAGTTAGCCATTTTGACAGGAAGTCAGCCATTTTGACCGGAAGTCAGCCCGGAAGTCAGCCATTTAACCGGAAGTCGGCCATTTTGAAGCTTTCTAGCAGGAAGTCAGCCATTTTGCATCTGTCTGGGCAAGAGGGTGACATCATAGCGGAAGTGAGGCATCTTTTAGTCGGCCTGGGTAGGTTTTAAAACGGAAGTTAGCCATCTTTTCCCTACCTCCTCCCACTTTCTCCTTACCTCCTCCTTACCTCCCCCCGCCTCCTCCCTACCTCATCATTACCTCCTCCCTATATCCTCCTTACCTCTTCCCACCTCTTCCTTACCTTCTCCCACCTCCTCTCTACCTCCTCCCGCTTCCTCCTTACCTCCTCCCACCTCCTCCCTACCTCATCATTACCTCCTCCTTACCTCCTCAAACCTCTTCCTTACCTCCTCCCACCTCCTCCCTACCTCCTCCTTACCTCATACCTCCTCCTACTTCCACCCAACCTCCTCCTGTCTCTTCTCCATCTTCCAAACCTCCTCCCCTCCCTTTACTTTAATATTCAATAGTTTATAATGTCATAAATGCCTGTTTATGTTTATAATTGATCTTAATTGACACATTTTGAACCAATCACAATACTGCACATTAGAATATTCTTATATATTTTAAGTTGTCCATGTTTTGAGTCATTTTACTGATAGATCTTGAACAGACAACATGTCTTTCAATTGTTCTGAGTGTAGTGTGAATTTTACGAGAGGTGATAACCTATCAAGGCATATGAATAAGTTTCATGGAGAAAAAATGCATCAGTCTGATGTTATGCTGAAACATCCGTTTACTATGATAGCAGGTATAGGCATGGACATGTTGAAATTAAAAGTCTGATAGGTTTCTAAATATAGAAAGAGAGCATGTCAATTTATTAAAAAAAAATTTTTTTGTTGTATTTTCAGCCGGACCAACATCGTCGGGGAAGACCTGGCTTATGAAGCACTTGATCAAAAATGTTGAACGGTATATATCCCCAATTCCTAGAAGAATCATCTGGTGTTATGGTCAATGGCAGCCTGCCTACGAAGAGCTAAGAAAATACCCACATTTGGAATTTGTGAAGGGAATACCAGAGGATATTGATGATTCAAGATACCTTGACACTTCAGTTCCTACTTTGATACTTCTCGATGATCTTATGAATGAGGCAACAAATGATCAACGGATATGTGATCTCTATAGCAAAGGCAGTCACCATCGAAATCTGTCTGTGATATGCCTACTCCAGAATATGTATCATCAAGGAAAAATGAATAGATCGATGAGCTTAAACTCTCACTATATGATACTGTTTAATAACCCGAGAGATCGCCAACAGGTGGCATTCTTATCGAGGCAGATGTACCCCGGAAATGGAAACAAGTTGGTCAGAGCATATACCAACGCAACTAGTCGACCCTATGGTTACCTGCTTCTTGATCTGAAGCAAGAAACTTCGGAGCACAGCAGATTGAAACCAAATGCCTTTACTAAAAGTGAAGTTGAATTTGAAAGTCATCACGATTCCCGCAACTTCAAGGAACCAATGAATGATTCAAAACACTTACTTGAAAGACAGGGTATTTCAGAAGTTGACTATCCGACGACAACATTTATAAATAGTAGTGATGTTAAGAACTACCCTTACATGGAACGTGAATTTCGAGAAGACAGCATGGTATCCTGTGATGACTGTGGTTTAGTATTTGATAGCATTCACGACTTACAGAGGCATATAAAAAAGTGGTGTCAAGATCAGGGACCACTACCCAAGAGGATGAGGACCCAATCTACCCAAAATATTGAGGAGAAGATTCCTCAAGACAAAGACAATGACGTTGATGACGATGATGGTGATTTGAAAGCAAATGAAACATTTGCATTCTTAAAGAAGTGGTCTATAAGACAGAATGAGGAAGACCACCGACGTAAAGTGGATGAGTATATGGATAGAGGGATGGATAAGACAGAGGCTGTAGAAAAGGCAGATAATAAACTATTGTCAAAGAATAAGGAAGAATTTATGAAAGGATATAAACAATTCGTCAAGCTAACGGTTGATGTAAAAGACAATGCGTTACACAGAAATATAATTGATTCAATAAATAATATGATGAGGAGGGGTGTCTCTGTGAACTTAGCCATTAGGAAGACACTTTTAAAAAACAAACACAAGTTTGATGAGGTCTTTATAGAGGATACAGACCAGGAAAGTAGCTCCGAGGAAGAACAGAGTGAATCCGAAAACGAGGCTGTTGAATCAAGCACTGAGTGATAAATATTAGCAATTTAAAGAGAGATCGTCATTAAGGAGTCAGATTCCGACAGTGTAAGATGGCATATCAAGACTATTTAAAGAAATTATACTTTGACAGTCGAAATTCTGGAGCCTTTGCTGGACCAGACAAACTCTATAGAGCTGTACTAAATGATGGGAAATACCAGCTGTCCCGTTATCAGATAAAGAAATGGCTGGACAATCAAGAAGCTTATGGCCTACAGAGACCTTATAAGAAACGATTCGCTCGTAACAAAGTATATGTCTCGCATATTGACGAACAATGGGATGCAGATCTTATGGATGTCTCTAATATATCATCGCAGAATGACGGGATAAAGTATATCCTGGTTGCGATTGACATTATGTCTCGCTTTGCCTGGGTTAGACCGCTACACTCCAAAACTGGAAAGGCAGTGGCGGAGGCTTTCGATGATATATTGAAAGAAGGTCGACAACCAGATGTCACTAGGACGGACAAAGGTCAAGAATTCTGCGCTAAGGTTGTACAAACATTGTTGAATAGATGGGGAGTCCGCCATTTTGTTACGGGTAATACCCCCAAGGCCAACTATGCAGAAAGATTGATAAAGACGTTAAAGACTAAAATAATGAGGTATATCACGTACAAACAGAACCATAGATTTATAGACAATTTACAAAACTTTGTGAAGAGTTATAACGCCACTTGGCATAGGGGTATAAAAATGGCTCCTAAAAATGTATCTAAAGACGATGAATTGGTTATTTGGTGGCGGATGTATTATCCTAAATCAACTATCGTTAAAACCAAATCTAATCACATCTTTAAATTCCCCATTGGAGCTCTGGTAAGAATTACCCAGTCGAGACATGTTTTTAGTAGAGAATACGACCAACATTGGACAGGGGAAATTTTTAAAGTAACGAAACGTTTTATTAGGCAGGGCCTCCCATTATATCGTTTAAATGATTTTCAAAATGAAGACATTAAGGGTACTTTTTACCAATCGGAGCTTCAAAGAGTACAAGCGAATGAAGATGATATTTGGAAAGTAGAAAAAATCTTGAAAACACGAACTAGACGAGGGCAACGGGAACATTTAGTGCGTTGGCAATATTGGCCAAAAAAGTTTGATTCGTGGGTTAAAGATTCCGATTTAATACCTTTGTAATTTGTGTATGATTCAATGAAGAATTTTGAATGTTATAATGTAAATATGTATTATAGTTGATGTATTTTGAAAAGAAGTGTGTTGACGAATTAGCAAATAAATATTTATCCCAACCAAATGTAACATCCATTAAACGGTATGATCTTAAATCGATGAAGGACGTTACACTAATTAAAGTTGATGGATGGTTGATTGATAATCGATAATCGAGCTAGGTCCGCACTTTAAAGTACAGTCCAGAGTAATTTGTTTCGTAAACTGACAGCTGGATGACCTTAAAACGATAAGACCTCGCGAGTACGAAACGCCTGGTTGATAGGTAATCGATAATCCGCCTGGGCCGCACTTTATAAATAAGGCAGTGACATTTACGACGCGTACTGGTTTATCGATTTATTGTTTTTGGCGGGAATTCGAATAGTATCCTTACAGTAAACGTACAAACGTGGGGTAGGGCGTCCGTTACCTTAGGGCCCGAGATTCCCGAAATATGTACACGCCACCACGCCGAGGGGGGAGGGGTGGGGTCCCCGTATGTGCCTCCCGAGCTCAGGGAGGCTCACAGATGTCCCTCCCCATTGGAGCCCATGTTAGGGAGGGTACTATGAAAAATCGTGTCCCTCCCCATAGGACTCAATGTTAAAGGTGCGTCAGAACTCTCGTTTCTGTAACTACTGACGTTCCGACATTTTGTAGCGTAATCGATGGAGAACCATGCAATGATATGTTGGAATCTCTTATTCAGATGTTACGATGGCTTTCAATTTTTGGTTTGCCACGAGAGAACTTTTCCTTAATCGGCGTATTAATGGGCAGCTTCCTTATTGAATGATTGGTTAGGCGACAAGTAATACATACGCTCGACAGATAACATGTCCGGGGCATTTCCATATTCTATATCACACAGTTTAAAATCAATCTCTGGAATTAAAAAAAAACATTCGCGATCGTTTGCGTGGTTCTGGCGGCAATAGCGCGTCATATATCTATAGCCATATAATATGCCTCAATAGAAGGGTATGCTACTCTGTGTTACAAACATGAAAACTTTAAAATGAGCATTGCCATGCTTCCCTTTATAATTTATCATATTTTTCATGGATACTGCAATGCATGATATCAGAGCTTTCCGATGGTACCAATATTTTGGGGGTCAGTAAAATATTAAACTCCCATATTTTAAGGCTTTGGAGGATTTTCCTATTCGTCTATGGATAAATGTATCAAATATTCGTACTGCCTTGAAGAAAAAATTGATTTAGAATATAACTAAAGCAGAAAATAAGTTAAAATTCAGTTTAAAAAAATTTGTGTGAGAATACAAACATTCAATAGCATTTTGCATAATTTTGATGAATTCCATTTTGTATCACATTATCAACATGCATGCACATAATCCTAAAGCATTTTCCTCCAATTTTGCAATTTTGAAAACTCGAGGCAATGCTGATAATACGGAATCTTGGAAGTTGCATACCCTTTTCTTGAAAGCTCATGATATAAGAATTTTTAAAAGACACCAGGGCAGTGTTTTGAATGAAATTAAAGGTACAGGTTAATATTTGATGAAACGATGATTGTGATCTGAGTTAGGCCTCAAGTAATACATCTAGATTGGCATCTTAAAGCAAAATGGAAATTTGGATGTTTTTGGCCCACTCTGTATATAAAGGGTGTTCATCGGAATGGTTTCTATAGATGGGTTTACATGGAATATAAACTGGTAATGGTGTACAAATCCGTCCAACTTCCATTTTTCTGTAGAAATACAGTTATAAGAATACAAATACAGGATGGATGCAGGATACCTACATATATGCAATTTTTGAAATATTGATTTTACCAACCAGTTTTGTTCATCCATCTTATATTAAAGGCAGAATCAGATCTATAGGGGGGGGGGGTGACACAATTACAAGCGATATATTTAATTGATCCATCAATGAAAGGTCTGTGATATGTTTTCAATTGTTGGGAGTCATTTATTATTTAGGATTCAAAGTACAAAAATGGGGGGAATTTGTTTGTTTAAATTCTCCCAAATTATATAAATGAACCATATTTATAAACACGCATTATTGTAAAAATCTTAGTTTTCCCCAAATAAAGTTTACACTTTGGGCATTCTTAGAAAATAGACATGACAAGGAATGATATGACCCTAGAATATTCTAAAATTGAATTTTTTGCGTCAAGATCATGAAGAAGATAATGATGGATATACTTGCTAGATCTGATTCTGTCATTAAGCATTTGATAAATAGAATATAGCGGATGAAGTCGGTAATACATCCGGCTATGAATGTTTTACTCCGTCCAATAAAACAAATGAACCGTTCTTGCACACTGTGATTGTAACTTATATTACTTTATTATGTAAATATAAAAAGCTTACGATATTTACATCTAAAACTGTTCTCACAATTATGTATGGATACAGGGTGTGCCAAAATTCAACTACATACTACTATTCATGATTAACGGAGCATTATAATGTGTTTCTCTACTTTCTACATCTTTATTATAATTCCAATATATTCTAACTACAGGCTGCATTCATAGCACATCCTGTTTACACAAACAACATCTTATTTGCACAAACAAGCCGTTACTTCATTATATTTAAAAGGTAAATATATTGATTGAATATAATTATAATTACATTGGTTGATCACATTTGACGTACTCTCATCCACATAATTGTAGCGTGTTGAAACTTGAATACACCAATGTAATCCAAGGCACACCTTGGAATTAATCCTTCACGGTTCCCTCAAGCATATCATTGTTATTTGATCTCCTTGTATGGAAGTAGAAGACACAGAGATTGGAAAATAATAATCTTGCCTCAAGACCCTGGACTATCTACTCTAACAACTTGTGTCACAAGGGTTTGTAGCTAGACTAGGAAAATAACCGACTTTTCAACTGAAGGATGGGTATCGATATGGCGAACTTTTTGAACACACGTGTCTCTTAAACCAGCCATCAAAATATTCTGAAAATTTTACACATTGTCAATTTAATGGTCATCTTTTGAATGGTAAACATATAATTTGAAAGAGATATACTTTTCTCTATATTGTTAAAGAAAACACACCAGACACTTCTTTCGTTCTTGGTATCATATGTTCGGAATGAAATGAAACATCTATCCGAACCTCACTGGAACAAAACGACACAACATGTTTAGGTCTCTCAATATTGTAATTGTACAAAGGAAAGTTTGGTTGATTTAAAAAAAGTATCTTGTTAATGAAATTAAAGGTTTATCTTAGTTTTTATCTATTTCGGGGGTTTTTGTTTTTAATTTTTTGAATACTTTTTGTTAAATCAACCAAAATTTCCTTTGTACAACTATAATATTAGGAAGTCTAAGAAAATGTTGTATATGCTATTTTGTTCAAACAGGCTTCGGAAAGATATTTTATTTCATTCTCAAGAAATGGTAAAAAGGAACAAAAAACAATTGCACTAAAAAACAAAAATGTTAAATTGTTGTCAATCAGTCAACATTACATAAAGGACCGTGTTTTTACAGAATGTTTTCAATAATTGGTTTAAGAGAAAAACATTGTTGAATTCAGTTCTCCATATCGATATCACTCCTTTGTGCAAAATAAGATCGCATGTACATTTAATGGGTACATGGCATGTCTACTGGATATTATTTAGATGGCTTCTTATGTGAGTATGGAAAAACGTTGGAGAATTCTTCATATCATTTTTACGTCAGATAAATACGAACAGATATAATATAAAGTCCTAAGTGATTGATGATTCGGTGGCAAACGAAACATGGTATACCAGAGAAATTTTGTAGGAAATTAATTCTTTATGCCATCGTTTAAAATGATTTCTCCGCTCTTTGTCTGGTGATTTTGATTGTTTTCTTGTTAAGAAATCAGCTGGCCGTTGTATTTTTACACCCTGACTACGGCCCTCGAATCGCACCGTCTAAAAACAAGGTTATTTCCACGATTACTGCCTACGCTCGACCCAGTATTGTGTCGACTCAGGAACATGAACGCCTGTCGCATTTGACGTCGAAAATTGTCCGACATGAACGCATATAGCAACGGGTCCAAGGCTGTATTCAGGTATAGTATGATCCTACTAAAGTGTAAGAAAATAATAATGTTTTTGTTAATGGGTAGGCTCCCCCAATATTGCCACATTAAACGAATATAGTGAGGCAAACCACAAATAGCAAATGTACCTACAATCGCCATGAGGAGACGAATCACCTTTCTTTTCATCTTCAAAATACGACCGTGTATCGTGGAGTCTCCTTTGCGCCCAGCATGATTATCCGGTTGAATATGCGTTGCCTGGGCAGATTGCGGAGTCAACAAAGGGGTGTCCATTCCCTTTCCGACACGCATCCCTTTTCGCATCGATTTTCTACTTAATAACGAGGAGTTCGAATCCTGGCTTGAAACGGACTTTTTGGTTGCGACTGGCGGGTGCACAGCTATAGTATCTGGTAGTTCGTGGTGGTGACAGGTATTTTGCGAGGTACGATCAAAATTTAGCTCAGTAGGTCGGATCGCATCGCTATGGTGTGTCAATGATCCTCGTCTTGCCAACGCAGTGCATCTGTCTGTATCCCGACTTTTGCTGTGAACTATGTCAAGCTTAGGAGTGGAAAAACTCGTATCTTGTTCAACATCAGTCCTCAAAGTGGACTTCTCATTCTTTCTCGGATTCCTTTCGACTCTGTTCTTCATGGGAATTGTACTCCTGTCGTCTGTTTGGGGTTGCTGGGACTTGGAATCTGTAGGCAGTAAACCAGATTCATCTAAGGCCTCTGGGAGTCTTGAATCCGCTGTGTTGCACATTGTTGATGCAGTCACCGAGCGTGGTATCGTCATTGCCGAATCCATTTGTTCTACAGATAACCTGGCTTCTAATGAGCTGAAGGACGTTGATGTGGCCGTAGAGCGTCTACATGGCATCGTAATTGTCCATTTTTTCTCGGATGAAGACATTCGTCGGCCACAGCATCGGAGAACTGTATTAAGAATACTTGATCTAGTATCTTCGCCATTCGAATCTGCTTGTAGAGTAGGATGGCTGTAGAGTTTTCTAGCCATGCATGGATACATGAATGCAAGTACCATAAGGGGTAAACAGTAAAATATTACAAATGTAACCGTATCGTATATTTTGATCAGCTTGTATGTTCCCTGTGCGTAGATGCAATATGACTTCCCATCCGGACTGAGGGTAAACTCGGAGAAAAAGATCCAGGGTAAACTGTAGGCACAAGATAAGATCCAGATGATAACGAGTATGACCTTTATACGGCGTTTGTTGAAAAATCGACTTCTGATCGGGTAAACGATGACGTAGTATCGTTCGATTGATATGCCGGTGAGTAGGCTGATTGAGCTTGTATGACCAAACAACTGCAGGAAAGACAGACATCGACACAACACCTGAAACACAGACAGACAAGAGCTCAATGATGCTTCGAGAACATTGGACTGGGAGGGTAAACATTTTGCAGAGACCATAGACAGTGTTTTTGTTATCATTGTTCTGTATCGTGTCTCTCCAAAATAAAATGTCACCACCTTTATTGATTGTTTCACGGACTTGTAAATTGTAGACGTGGTTTAATCATAGAGAGATTTTGCTCAAGTTCTGTCTGAAGCTCATACCTTACTTCCATTACTTGTACTCATATATACGCTTACTATGTTTTTGTAAATTGAATAATTATCACCTGCTAACCTTAGAGCTAGTGGCACTTGTGACTGCTAGTGCAATTTTCAAAAATAGTTTTGGCCCAAAAAATTGTACAATGTCGATACCTGAATCGTCATAACATTACGAAGGCCTCGGTCAGACTTTGGAGTCGGAATGCCCATTTGCAATTGATTCCTCAAGGGATTTCACAAAGGCCAAATTGAGCGAGGCAACGTTGAATCACTCTATGGAAAAACACCACATTGGTGTACATTGGACTAAACGAGGCGAAATCTCTGTCATTCTTACCTCTCCAAACACCCAATAGTTTGCTACGACATACACGACAAGGGTAGGGATGATGCACCCAATGCTTTGGAACAAGTCGGCAACAGCCAAGTTGGCCAGGAATAGATTCGCTACAGCCCTAGCTTTGTAGTTCCGAGCGATTACTATGAGCACAATAAGGTTCCCTAGAAATAATAATTATGAATTTTCATTTAGATATATGAGGTGTATGTGAGAGGCAACTTATCATAGCTGTGGACTCAAACAGTGCTAAAGGAGGGACTCTGTATTACAGAATAAATGTACCAATAGAAAGGCATTTTTGTTTGCTTTGTATGGAACAAGTTTGAAGAAATACGGTGCAGTATTTAACTCACAATCCTATTGGTTTTCAAACATCTGGTAGGTCCAAAATTCAAATTAACGGGCTTTCAACGTGCCTAGTTGGACCCCCGTGACTCTTCTTACTTAAGGAAATTGTTGAAAAGACAAATGAAAAGTTGCGAGTCTTTAAATATTTGAATTCCCCGCCAGTTTAGATTTTAGATCATCGAATACAATACTTATTGTAATCATGGGCTTTCGATTGAATGCCAATGTTGTAATACATTCTCAACTAAAAGTTTCCTTATTTCAAAACAATATTTATTTCATTTTATTTTATGCATAAAATGTGTAAACTCGAATTCAGGTCTAAAAGAAGTATGCTTTTGTCTTACACAAGCGTTGGTTTCACTGAAAACTACTTTCTTTGTGCAACTTTTCTCCGCTTTATTTCCCTGCTTGTTTCAACCAACGATTTTAACAGTCTTGACGCAAAATCATGCAAAAATCAGAATGATAAAATGACTATAATTATTACCCTGATAAAAAGTTACGTCATTAACACACGAGATGTTTTTTTCTCGTTATCTAGCAATATCTAAACCAATTTTTTTGTTGACATATAAAATCATTAGCAGAAGGGAAGACAACATTGGCATTTTGGCAATGGAGTAGCGTCATATACGCATGCGCATGGCGTACTCTCAATATTAAGAAAAAGTTGATTTCCTAAATTGAATTGCCCCATTCATAAGAATAACAATCATATATTAAAGACAAAAAATCGTTCCTTCGAGGTGATTACGAAATGAACCAGCGCAATTGAGTGGATCACCATTGATTAAAGGCAGAATCAGATCTATAGGGGGTGACAAAATTACATGTAATATGTATAATTGACCAACCAATCTATTCCTTACAATATCAAATACAATATCTCCCAAAAGATTCACAATATGTTATAAATTGGTGAAGTTATTAATGATTCAAAGTGCAAAAATGGGTGAAAAATGTTTAAATTCTCCCGAATAATAAGAATGGTAACCATTCTTATAGAAAAATAATACATTATTGTAAAAATCGTTTGTTTTCCTTGAATAAAGTATGCACTTTTGTGATTTTTAGAAAATAGACATGACAAGGAATGACATGAGCCAAAAATATTCTAAAATTGAAACAATTTTTTGTTTAGCCTGCTCGCTATCTCTGATTCTCTCTTAATAGTCTTTGGCATAAATCTTATTTTCTGGAATACCGAAGTTTGGAAAATCCTCACCTAGTTAGCAGTACAAGTTCCAAAATTGACTACACGCACATTTAATCAATTTAGACATGTTTCAAAATTGAACAACTACACGCACATTTAATCAATTTAGAACAATTTCCAAAATTGAAAAACTACACGCACCTAATCAATTTAGAACAAGTTCCAAAATTGAAAAAATGCTGAACACCTTTAATTGATTCAAAAACGACCGGCAATTATTTTGTTTGAATCGTGAACAATTCTTCCAAGCTTTAGTGACAGAGAAAAAGGTTCATATTCACGACACGTATCATTATGAAATCAATATTTTAGGGTTACTTAGAATAAGAATAACAGCTATTATAGCCCTTTAAATTATAGATTATTAATAAAACCGTATACTTACCATCTATGCAAACCATTCAAGATATATATCAGAGACCATTGATTTTGTAAGCATCTTACCATATGAATTAAAGTATTTTCTGGTAATCAAAGATGAGAATTGCATCTAAATTGACCTTGTAAATAAATCTTTGACCTTGAGCAGGGCTTTGACACATTGTGACTGCATTGATTGTATATCATACACATCCCTTCACCGCTTGATTAATTAAGATTTATTTTGTTCTTTAGCCTAACTTGCCCATTATTCCATGAGCATGTAATCGTGTATAAAATCGTGTATAAAATGTGTCTGTCACATCCTTAGCCTCCCTACTTACCAAAAAGTGAGCACAGAAATACTATAATATAAATTGCAGTGAACATTGGCCGAAACTCATCGACGTTTGGCATCTCAGCATCCCAGATTCCAGTTTCGTTTGTGCCATTGCTAATCAGGCTGTCGTTATAGTTTGCCCGAAGCAGCACTTCGTAATCCCAAATTTGATGTCCATGACTTTTATTACTGTATTGTCCAATATCACTGCTATAGTGACTGGTTGTGTTATAGAATACCCGTGAATAAAGAGCTCGAAAATCAAAGCTTTGATCCGCTCTGTCTGTCATATCTGATGGCAATAAGAAATGCCTCGTGACTTGATGTTTTTATCCGCTGTAATTGTGACATATACAGGGTGGTCCAAAAAGCGGAACCTTTATTTAAACATTTGTAGCAAATCAATTCTAAAATACTAAAATACATGTGAAATCTCCGTTCGTTCGATTGTGATTTGGTGACGAAGTTTATAAATGCAGCCTATCATGTTGATGGGTTTAACAAGTCATTGTTTGATATGACACATGAATTACATGTACAGTCCTGGTAAAAAATCATAGTTTCAGTATTCTTAATACCTTGAAGAAGTCTATTACCCAAAACATCAATGATAGCAGGTATATTATATTGCTAAATGCTATTGCTGGATTGTAGATAGTTTTTTAAATAATTGTCAACAAATATAAGGTTAGTGTTTCCCTTCCAGTTTTAAAATTGATTGCATATATATCAAAAATAGATAAAGTAGTTATTTTAATATTAACAAAGTTTAACCAGTTTCCTCGCTTAGGAAAGGAAGACATATATGGATAACGGGTATATTACGTAGCCTGCATTGGATTCCAATATCCAAAGAAAGAATAAATACCCACCCTGTTTATGATATTTTGGAGTCATGTACACGTACAGGGCGATCCGCAGTGAATGCAGAAATTATTTACATAATTGATCCTAAAATGGCAAAATTATATCTTCAGTGATTGAGCAGTTGAGTAGGGTCAACAGTCACTTGGCCTGTAAATGCAAACTCCCGATTTCTTGGTAATACTATACTTTAGAATCTAGCAATGATTTTAGCTATAGTAGGTGAGTTAATTGCATTTTACGGAATTGTATTATTTCATATCACTGAATGGTATTATTTTTCTGATTCATGCCTCAGAAAATTCAAAATGGCTGCCTAGAACAGGAATTCGCTATTACTTAGATATCTCGTCATGGCATGATTACATAATGCTATATTAGAACTCAAATATTGTATTGTCTAAATATGACTTGTACCTTTGATTAAATTGTCACACAAATATTAAATCAGTGGAAATTCTGATATTGTATGTCATTAAATTAATTAAACATCTTCAAAATATATGCCTTTTTCTAAATGGTATAAAAAAATTTATATCATATTCCATAGCTTCTAATTTGACGTTAAAACCTACAATTATTGGGCTGTAGATATGGCTGTAGAATCCATTGCATTAGGTTTTGACGGTCTTGAAAAATAAGAATATAATCAGATACCTTGAACTTTAAAATTGGAAATTATGCATTTTCTAGAATGGCCGCCAAAAAATTAACAAAGATGGTATATTTAACAAATATGGTATATTTGCTTCTGTGCCTGCTATAATGATAAATTTGGTGACAAAATCTACAATTTTTTGGGCGAGGTTAAGTATCCTCTTAAATATTAAAATGATAAAATTAGAGTTTCTTCATTACAAGATGATTCATAATATTCAGTGCTGAATCTGTATACATAGGATTTTTTCAAAATAGTCGTGAATTGACAAAAAAATATTATTTTAGACGGGCAAACTTAGCATGATGGGTCTAGGAAACTCGGCATGTGAATGATAGTTGCAGTGACATATTATCTTATGTTTCAAAACCAAAACACAAAGTCGGGATCTGCAAACGTGGTAAACACAACAAAAGGCTGAGTTTGCCACTTGTTGAGACGCAACTATCAGTAAGCACGGTGTTATAGCATGTCGGTTACGCCACCTCTGAAAACGAGGTTGGACGGCTACGTTCACTGATTTATCCAATAAAATGGCCGCGATGGAAGAGAAAAGTATGGTTGGTGCTTTATTTTCTACTACTGTGTATCAATGAAAGAATGAAAGATTTATGTAAGCGTCGCATTCGGTGATACATTCAGTAATGTATATTTTGAACGTAGTCTTTGCAAATTGATGCCCGGGATAACATGAAATAAGAGAAAACTGACGAGTTTGAAATTCAAAACTAAATTTAAAAAATTTACATTACATTACATTTACATACATTACAAAATTTAGTAATCTGTTTATTTTTGTTGTTAGGGCATGGTCTACAGTCTAAAAACCTTGTGGTATATAGATGTAAACTACATACGATCATACAAAGCCAATTGAGCATTGGAAACCACCTAATATGTTCTACTCAAGCCATAATACAGTCATTCCACATATAAGCAGACATTCGTGTCGCCAAGGGTTTTTTCTCAAGCGTTAATAGATATATATAGAAACTTTTTAAGAATATCTACTTAGGACCAATACCCACTTGTACAACCACCATACAGCAAATTTTAATTGTTAGGTAGTAAGTGAGAATTTTTTCTAACTTAATTTGATGACAAATTCCTCAGGTACGTTATGTCGCCAGAGTGCATAGTGATGTTTTATAAGCATAACTGAAGTAGTTATAGATTTCAGAACACATCCAAACTTCCTGAAAAGATACCTGTGGGTATATACTTTATTTTACCAACTTTTCGAGTAATTTAACCCTTTCCAACCTAATAATCAGATGCCCGGAACCCATGTCGCCAGTTTTTTTTCTAAAATACCACTTTAGATATTTCAATTTCTAGAGAATGCACGAATTACTTAAATGTTTAACCCAGAGTGATATTTTATCAGAAAATGATTTATCAAAATGCATGCAAAGTTTAAAAACTGTATTCTATCCAGAACAAAAGTTATAGGTCATAAAGGTGTCATTTTTCAATTCAAAAGATAAGGATTTTAAGGTACGTTACAACATTTCCCAACATTTTGTAATATCTTGATGGAATTAGTAAATAAATTCTTGAATATGACAAGGCGGACATTCAATACAATGTGCTCATTACCTTTGTTCGCTCTGTTCTATTGCTTTATTGGAACATGTAATGAGTTTTCCTCATGTACGTTGCAATAAGGTACGTTACGGAAAGTGCGAAATAAGTTGATAACTCAGCAATAAATGCTACTAACTCAAGTGGAGGAGGTCATCACGTGATCTCATGTTACGCCATGCTTTATTTGCAGTCTAAGGAATAGGGATTTCTTCCTAATAATCCCTAAATAATACAGCAATCGCATAAGTACAACACCTGTATCTTTTGCCTAAGCAAAGCTGCTTAATCAAAGATCTAGGATATCCCGATTCGGTTGAAAGATATTCTAAATAAACAACTTAATTGGTCATTGTTAAAACATGATGCCAATTTTTTTTCCCAAATCACATACGACTTGAGTTTTATATCAATTAAGGTACGTTGCTTTTGATAACGTCACTTAATACTTGTTTTATATCTGTCTTAACAGTGGTAACTAACCCGGGAATTCACAATTTGTTGCAGAATATGGCCAAGACTAAAGCAGAAATTCAAAAGAATTATACAGGGCGTATCAAAAAAACGCAACAAGTTGTTATCTCGTAAAATCACAAAACTAGTAATGACTACATCAATTTCATTTAATGTACCATAAAGCCATGTCTCCCCTCTTTGCAATGATATGTCATTCATTCACATGTGGTAATGGTTGGGTGAGAAATCCTTCCATTTACACAGTGGGTCAAAATCGGCTCTGCGCCAAGTTTTAAATATTGAAAAATCAGTGCAAGGGCTAAGTGCCAATGGAAGTTCCCCTGACTTTAATTGTTATGACTTTTTCTTTTGGAGCTATCTCAGGAGCATCTGTGCTCACAATTCCTCCACCAGATATTGCAAAACCTCGAGAAAGATTTGCCCATGGGCTGCTTTTCTTTGCTTTAACCCACACATGATTTAGGGGTGAACCATGCATGACGTGGACAGATGAGCGCATCTTTATGTGCAAGGAAGTGGTGGCAATTTGAAGGGGTATACAGGCCTGTCAACTTGGGAACACCTAACATGAGTGACTTGGAAATGTTGAACACCTCCCCTCAAAATGTGGACACCTTGGTCCAAATCTGGGGTAGGTACGAAAAATTTCTAACGGAATGCGTGACATATACGTAATTCGCGTGAAAAGTCCGAACGAAATGCGTACATTTTTTCCGGCGTTCGTATTTTTGCTGTGTAGACGATCTTTTTTAGAAATTTTTCTACAGAAATATTTTTGCTTGACAATTACCAGGTAAAATGCGTATTTGCGTGACATTTTCTGTCACGCAAAAATAACTGGCGTGACTTCAAATTCTTCAGCAAATGCGTGACAAATACGCAAATTGCGGGACAGTTGACAGGACTGGGTATAGGATGTATTCTTGCAAGAGTATGAGCAGCTGATACGCAGGCCAGCTGCGCGCTACACTAAATAAGAAAATTTAATTTTCAAATCACGCTTGAATTTCCCGGGGAATCGTCTAACGAGACTCCGCGAGATTTCTCGAGAGAGCTCTCTCTTTTGGAGGCATGACCCACCCCATACAAGGAACTAATGTCGTGCCATTTTAGTTTCAAAAACGAGTCTTTTCTCGACATTTTGGTGTATAGAACATTATTTTTCTTCGACGGGAAATAAGTTTTTAGAAGGCTCAAAGAAGGCTGGTACGTTTTGAGTGATAGATTTAGGGTAAGTCTGCAAAAGCGTATCACAACCGGGCCATTAAAGATTGGGGCTGAATGTTGACTTGATTTTCTTCAAAATAAATCGTATTTTTTGTAATTTAAAACAGAATTAATGTTCCCCCGGTCAATGTAGCGATATTTAACATATAATCGGAGGTAACCCAACTTCCGGTTTCAGGAATTATCGAATATTTCTAGGAAATATATGAAAAATAATGATGAATTCCATCATAATTTTTTTTTATTTGTGTTTATTTTAGGTGTAACACTGTCTTGGGGCGATTAATGTTGACTTATAGCTGGTTACTGATATCGACTACATTTTGAAGGTAATTTTTTGTAAAATCTCATTAGTAGTAATGTGTGCATCCAGTGTAGACTCTTTGAATTGTATCAAGCCTTACCTGTATCATGTCACAGTTATTCATTTTGGTCTGTTTGTGTCAGTGAGAGCAGCAGGCCCGTACCCAGAATTTTCCA